AGCTTCCCATCTCACATCCTTAGACATATGAGGTCTGTTTCCAAAGCTAGACCTTGTCATTATATTATTACTCTGTTGTTGTACTTCTTCCTCGCTGATACTAGTGCTTGAACTGTTGTATCCGATACATTCCTCGCCTTTGTTTCCGATTTCTGAGTTTTCGTTGACATCTTCAATGGCTGCTCCGTCTAAGCTGAGTTTGTTTGGAGGACTGTCTGGATTCATCACAACAGATTTCTCACTGAAAGAACCAATCTCCACACTCTGTTCCGACATAAATACGGAATCTTTATGATCAACTTCTTTGCCAGATAGAGAATCTTCCTCAATGATCTCATTGTTGCCGTATTCAGGAACATCTTCGATGTTCTTGTTACGGAATGCAGATGTTAAAGAAACCTGAGAGGTCTCTGTATTCATCAAATCCAGAGAGCTTCTTATCTTATCAAGTTTGGTCTCTGCACTAGCACCGATCTCATGAGAGCTCTCATAGCTTGAGCTTGAGAAGTCAGAAGCCAATTCATCTTTAACACTCTGTTTCAGCTCAAGATCTGGCTCTCCAAGTGAATCTTTAGAGGGCTCTTCTTTAGCTGCAGTGTTCTTCAAAGCGAAATGGCATCTATGGCAGAGAAGTTCCTTTGCAATGGGATCATAGAAGCCATCTACTTCATCATACACATTTGTAGCCTTCTTCTTCATGGAACCTTTGTTCCTTAGTGCCGGTTTAGCTCCTCCCCCTCGTGGAATGGTTCTGGTTAACTTAGCCACTCTCTTGCCGTTAACTATGGTGGAACTCGGTGTATTGGCATACAACAACCTCACTTTTCTAACTGATTTCAGTCCAACCACTGTCTTATTGTTCCCTGATCCAGGAGATGATGAACCCAAGTTCTTGTTCTCGATACTCAATTCTTGGTCGTCAAGAGACAAGTTCTTGTGTTTTTTAAGTATTGTCATCTCATCGCAATATCGCTTTGATGTCTGAGAGTTTTGGCTCGAAGAATGTATCTTAAGAAGACGAAGCTGCTGCGATATACTATCCGATGAACTGCTTTGATCCTCGCTGAGTAACTCGACAAGAACCGCTTTCCCTTCTTCGCTAGCTCCACTTCCCGGTTCAACCAAAACAGAACCATAAACCGAGCCTCCAGTACTAGTCTTAGGAATCCTTTTGGTAGCTGCGGTTTCTGATGCCTTAGTGACACATAAATCTCTCAAAGCTTGTTTTAATGTCGCTGGTTCCGCATTTCTCTTGCTAGGCGATCTCGGTCCCCCGGGATTCGCGGGACTTTTCAAAGCATTTCGTTGTAAAGGATTGTTGTTTCTACTGCTACTACTTGCACCAACTTGGTAAGAAGGAATCATTCCGGATGTTCGAATGCTTATAGACTCGAAAAGTTGGTTTATGTCATCTTCTAGTGAACCTCTGTAACCTAATTTCAGTACCGGTCGCTCCAGATCCTTGTCGTCAACAATGCTTGATCTAGAATGTGGGATAGCCGTTGATTTCGCTGTGTAAACAATAGAGTTTTGACGGTCTTCTTTTTCTTCAACAATTTCACACTTTCCGGCAAATGAACCCATAACATTAAAACTCAGTCACACAGCATCTTAGTAACCGCGGAAATTCGAGTAATCTAAACCGGTAGATACATCTTTTGATCCCACACGCACCTGAAATTATCTTCACAGTTTTAAGGAAGATTTGTGAATTTCCTTGTTAAAAAGTGGATCAAATCTCTGTCAGATGAAATTCTTACTCTAAAGAGAATACAGTTTCATAAGAACAGAACATAACAGAACAGAGCAAAACAGAGCAAAACAGAGCAGAGCAGAGGAATATGGAAAAAAAAATCATCAATGTTTTATTAACAAAAGATTTTGATCAATGACTAAAGATTAAGGAACATACCAGACGAAACCTATGAAACAGTCACATATCTGGAAAATCTAGTTCCTCAATGTCTGCAACTACAGATGGTTCTTAGTTTGATATTAATGGGTTCATGTCTTAGTTCCACAGAGATCATGTCAAATTAAAAATTGAGAATTTTTCATATGAAGTATATTATTCATCGCCAAATTAACAACTTTAAAACAAGAAATATGAATCTAAACTTTAGGCAAAGTGGTGTTCCTATGATTTACCTTTTTCTTAAATGATAATAAAACAGACATGTACTATTGCATACAAAAGAAAAACTCTAATTTCATCATGATGAATCATCTATGATCAAGACTTCAAGAGTAAGACAGTACCTGAAGAGATTATTGACGAAGCAGAGAGACAAGAGAAGCTGTTGTTTCGGCTTCTGTCTCTTCTCTCTTTTCGTCTGTTGGGTTTCTTTGTCGGTATATTTTTGAAGAGGTTTCAAAAGGATTCTGCATTTTTCTGGGCAGTTTGAAGAACAAATCATGGGACCCATATCATATGTTTGTGGGTCTCATGTAACAACGAGATTATTAAATATTTTTGTTCAATTCGATGGAGACTATATTGACATGTTGATCACTACTGATTTTTCCGTTGACATGTGTCTTTGAGTTTTTAACTCTTAAGCATAAGAGTTTAATCTTGTTTTAGTAGATAATTATGAACCATGTCACTTTGCAATGACAGCTACAGAATTTTATTTGGCAAGGTTGTATTTTAAGAATCGTGTAATTCATGTGTATTGTCTATACAGTATTAGGAATTTTCTATGGAATTGATTAAAACTTAAGAAAAAAGGCGATAATGATGGACCTAATGTACATTTGACAATAATGCTCGTCTTTCATCACTATAAGTCTAGAAATATAAATTAATACATATCACATCGCTCGAGGGAAATTATAATGTTTCTCTCTTGAATATTCAAAAGTTAAAACAACTTTAACTTATTAAAAAGTTTACTAGTTTTCTTAAAGATAAGCTGATTTTTAAAGCATATTATAGTTTTCATAAAGCTTAAAATGTTCGCAAATCCAGGAAGATCAGGACCACAATAAATAATTTAGTACACTTTTTTATATTAATTAGGGTTGTCATCATGTTTTTTTAGGTAAAATATACAATACTCTCACATCACCGAAATATTTTCAATATAAAGTTTGATACATATGAAATTATGAATCACATCGTCACGTAAATGTGTCGATTCACCCCGATTGTTTTCCCTTTTTTTTTTTTTAAATCAACAAATTGTAAGTAACTTAATACGTGAATAATGCATGTACAAGTTTGTCAATTGCCAAAAAAAAAATTTGCTAAAGAAGTTCGTCAATTGCAAATTGCGATAAATTTATTTTGTTCATCCATCGACGATAATGAAATATAGCAATTGCAAATTATCACATACCTTTCATTAATATCGGTCTTCTAACACGTAAATTGACCTTTTCTTGACTTGCTAATAAGTTTTTATTTTGGTCAAATGTTTGATCCCTTGTGCTTAGCACTAAGTGTCTAAGTCTGCATATAGTATACAAATGAAAGTTATGTGCGCATTTAAAAACAAAAAAATTCTAACAACAGTTTTAGGTGTATACGGATCCAACAAAGTGAGAAGTTCATAAAAAAAAACTATTCGTGGGTATTCCTCGAAATCTGACATATAGGACCGGCCCATTAACATAAAGCCTGTCATATATATAAGCACGAAAGTAACCGGTGAATTAAGATCCTTCTATAGTTGTCACTTGTCATTGTAAGAAATATTCGTCATCCTCAATAACGCATGCATTAAACTAAAAAGAGTACTCTTTATATTCGAGTGCTAATTACTAGCTGCATCTATATGAAGTAAGCATCGTCCAAGAAGATTAGTAACAAATATCAAAATCGTAAGGATATATTACTACAATGTAAATTTTAATCTATTAACATATGTCAAAATCAATAGGGTACTTTTGATACGTTAGATTCTTGTACAGCCCTATCTCTGTTCCTTTCTCATTAATTTGGATTTTAAACTCTCATTATTGTAGGCATGCATGGAAGAGTTTTAGGCCGCCAAGGTCCACATCATTAATAATTTAGTTAATACAATGGCTCATCACATCATTAATATTTAGGTCCCAACTTCTGCAAGTCTATCTGCAAGTTTAATCTTTCAACCCATTTGGAATTTAGCTCATCATTTTGACATATTTTTTCTCCATCTTTTGACTAAAATCCAAATCATCTTTCTTCTCAAAACTGTTAACATAATACTCTTATTCACATTATGTCATATGTTATAGTAATATACTAACTATACAAAATTAAGTAGTTTCTTTCTTTACTAGTAGATCTTCTTAAAACATAAGATTACGACTTAAATCATTTAGATTATTAGTAGTTTATTTAATTACTACTACTAAAGAATGATTTTTAAAGTTATGGTCTTAAGGTTATTCATCTTTCTTTATGGACCGCAAACAAAATCCTATGATTAGTGTAGTAAATACATATCCTTTTTGTATTATATCAGGTTTAGGGGTCAAGATAAGGTCTTACCTTTATATGCAAATAAATTATGGAATTTGGTTCACTAATCACTGACACAGATAATCGAATTAAACTAAAAACTTCTTTGACAAAAACTAAAAACTTTTCATAAAACTACTGGTTTTGTTTAATACATAAATTCAAATCAACCAACAACTCGATCAAGATATTCTACTATATTCGTCAATTTGACTAGTGGCTGCTGACAAGAGTCATGATTCCTTTTATATATATATTCTCTTGATATGTAAGTAAAATTCTCCAAATATGAAAGCCTGAAAGTGAAAGGTATCTATCAATAAACCGGCTCGTACCGGAATCTAAATCTGAATGTCCGTTTTATATCGACCAGCTCTGTCACGTGTTAAATAAGACCGGGTCAAAAATATTAGACGCTGACTCGATTTTGATTTCGATTCCGATTTATGCACGAAGCTGGATATCTAACGGCTTAAATGAAGCCACGTGTAAAGATTCCTTCCAGACCGGACAAGGTCTCCTATAAAAACCCCTGACCCAATCACGTTTCTCGGATCCAAAAAGAAGAAGAAAAGGTGAAAAAGACAAATCGGAAATAAAAATAAAAATCAAAGAGACGATTCGATCGCATCAATGGCGGAAGAGAAGAGCTTCAAGTATGTCATCGTCGGAGGTGGTGTCTCCGCCGTAAGTCTCTCTCTCTGTCTCTGTTCTTCTTCTCCTTTCGTTTTTTTTTTTGATCGGATTTGTGTTTACTATCTCTTCGCTTACGAATCGTCACTCTACACTGCTCACTGTTTCGCTTTTCGAATCCTCATCGCTAGATCTATTGGTTCTACTGATTCGTAGAAACTAGGAAGTAGATGAGAACGATGAAGATTGAGAAAATTTGTTGTTGTTTTGGAATGTTGTGATTGACAGGGATACGCGGCGAGAGAGTTCTTTAAGCAAGGTGTCAAGCCTGGTGAACTTGCTATCATTTCCAGGGAACAAGTAAGTTTCATAATCAGGACTTGAACTTTATTTAGGCTAGATTCTTGCGATGTAGTCATCTTTCAGGATTCTTGTGATTTATAGTATTGGCAATTTTTTTGCGTTGAACAGGTGCCTCCATATGAGCGTCCTGCTCTAAGCAAGGGATATATTCACCTCGATAGTAAAAACTTGATTCTACATCTTTGTTGATTACATCATTTGGGGTTTTAGTGTAGTGTTTCTGAATTAGATTGTTTGTTCTCATGGTAAATAGATAAAGCTACACTTCCGAATTTCTATGTGGCTGCTGGAAGTGGGGGAGAGAGACAGTTCCCTCAATGGTACAAAGAGAAAGGTGAGTTTCCTTTTTGTGTGCTTTAAGCGTTTTATAACTCAATGTCTCTCTACTCTCTTATATGATGACGTCGCTGCTGCTACTGTTTCTGCAGGTATTGAGCTGATTTTGGGCACAGAGATTGTCAAAGCAGATCTTGCTGCAAAGACGCTTGTCAGTGGTACTGGACAAGTCTTCAAGTACCAAACTTTGCTAGCTGCAACTGGTTCTTCTGTGAGCACAATCTCCATCTACTTCTTACTTTGGAGTTTCCATCCAAGTCTTCTTTTTGCATCTCATCTTAGGAATTCTTTAAATTGTGCAGGTCATAAGGTTGTCAGATTTTGGCGTCCCAGGTGCAGATGCTAAGAATATATTCTACCTGAGAGAACTCGAAGATGCTGATTACCTTGCTTATGCAATGGAAACAAAGGAAAAAGGAAAGGCTGTGGTTGTTGGTGGTGGTTACATCGGTCTTGAACTCAGTGCTGCTCTGAAGGCTAACAACCTCGAAGTTACCATGGTTTATCCAGAACCTTGGTGCAGTAAGTAGATACATTAAACTAAACCACTAACATAGAATTCTCACGGCTCTCCCTTTGCCTAACACCATTCCTTTTTGTTTTGTCTTTGAAAAGTGCCTCGGCTTTTCACCGCTGGCATTGCTTCCTTCTACGAGGGTTACTACGCCAACAAAGGAATCAACATTGTCAAAGGCACTGTTGCATCCGGTTTCAGTACCAACTCAAATGGAGAGGTTAGCAATTAGCATCATCGTTCAAACTTGACAAACAGCAGTTTTTCTCTCAGCTGCTTCAACAATATCTCTCTGTTGCTTAATGATGCAGGTCACTGAGGTGAAATTGAAGGACGGAAGAACATTAGAAGCTGATATCGTGATCGTGGGTGTCGGTGGTAGACCAATTATATCACTCTTCAAAGGTCAAGTTGAAGAAGAGAAGGGTGGTTTGAAGGTTGGTGACTTGCATACTCCATTTTCTTCAGCATCTGATATATAGTTTTTTTTTCATTATTGTTAACTCATGAGATCTTTCTTTGATTGCAGACTGATGGGTTCTTCAAAACAAGCGTCCCAGATGTATACGCCATTGGTGATGTAGCCACCTTCCCAATGAAACTCTACAACGAAATGAGACGCGTTGAACACGTTGACCATGCTCGCAAATCCGCTGAACAAGCCGTAAAGGTAATAAAAAAAAGTCTTCTTCAACCCGTCTTAACGAAGGAGCTGTATAAAATCATCCTAATTGAATCGATTTATGTAATGATGTCCTAGGCAATCAAGGCGGCTGAGGAAGGGAACTCAATTCCGGAATATGACTACCTGCCATACTTCTACTCTAGAGCCTTTGATCTCTCATGGCAATTCTACGGTGACAACGTTGGAGAAAGCGTATTGTTTGGGGACAATGACCCCAAATCGCCTAAGCCGAAATTCGGGAGCTACTGGATTAAAGAAGGAAAAGTGGTTGGAGCATTTTTAGAAGGTGGAACTCCTGACGAGAACAATGCAATTGCTAAACTTGCACGAGCACAACCTTCTGTTGAGAGCCTTGAAGTGCTGTCTAAGGAAGGCCTTTCCTTCGCCACAAAGATATAAATTGCCTTTTCTAGGTTCTGTGTTAGTGTGAGCTTTGAGTTCGAGTGGCTTTTATGTCATTTTGCTATTATGATAGCAGAGTGGACATTTTTGTTATTTGTTTGACTCGCTTTCTTTGGATTGTTAATTTGGTTCCAAAATAAAATTGAAAGTCACTCAATTAACTTTTCTGATCTTTTTCTTTCTTCGGTAATGGTACACCAAACTTGTTGGAAACATTTCAGTTCGCTTTTTTACAAAAACCTTATTTCATTTGTAGACTGTTTTACTAACTTGTTGTTTTGTAGGAGATTGGTCCTTCTCTGCAACACAATTCAAGGTTTAATTCAACTAAAATTTTGGAGAATTACTGTATATGTTCCTATTTATTTCAAGTTTCAACAACACTAATATATACGAGGGAAAAAAAAACACAACACTAGAATTAAAATGTATAACCGAGCACAATTTAAAAAAAACAAACAATGATCTAAAAAAACAGTCTTGTCTCTTTAACGGTAATCGTTATCAGATCGAAACAACAGAATTGGACTTCTCACAAGATGTCCTCTGGAATCATCCCATTCTACAGAAGCAGACACAATCCCTTTCATCGTCTCATCCCAAACTCCATCAATCACAACCTTAAAATTCTTCTTCTCTCCAGGCTTCTCGAAACTCATAACCTTAGGCACAACCTCCACTCTCAAACCCTTCGGTGCCCAAACCCTAGCCACGTAGGTCGATGGTCCGTATCCCACATTCCTCACTGTTCTATAGAAAACTTCAGACACTTTTGTATCCGTAGAAGTCACTTGCTTGTGCATTGACGGATAATTTAACCCGTCGGATCCTAACCCTCGCTTGAAATTCTCGCATTTGTATTCTGTCTTCGTCGTAGTGTTGTTTTTGTTATTGCCGATTAAAAGTCCGATGCTTGTGCTGTTATACCCTTCTTTACAGAGGAATCTTAGGTATGCGTCCTCTGTGATGTCGTAGACTAGACCCGGGTGAATCGCTCTTCTCGGGTTGATTTGACCCGACCCGTAACTTAATTCTGCTTCGTTGCCTTTGATTCTCATAGGAGTAGCTATAAGGAAGTGTAAAGGTTGAAACTTTCTGTTATTTTGAGAACATTTTGAGCTTTATTGTTTGATGATTTTAGTTACCTGTTGTCATAAGGGCGGATTTGATAGCGGCTGGAGACCAATCAGGATGGAATGATTTGACATAAGCTGCTGCAGCTGCTGCGTGAGGACAAGCCATTGATGTTCCTGACATTATGGAGAAAAGTGTTCGTCTATTGTCGTCTGGATAACCGGTTACCGATGCTAGCTTCGAGTATGCCGCGAGAATGTTTAGTCCCGGCGCTGATATGTCAGGCTTGAGAATGTTGGGACTTATTCGTTGAGGTCCTCTTGCTGAGAAGGAAGAAACCGACGGAGCTAACATTTTGGTTGTTTTAGTCTTAAAGATAACAGCTTGAGGATTTCTGTTAAAGTTCGATTGTGTTAGGAACAGCAAGAACAATAGAAGTAAGAAGAAAGACATAGAGAGAAGAGATTGATTGATTACTTGGTGGAGTTGATGTATTCAGTGATCTTTGTACCGTCTTCAAAGAAGACATAAGATCCAGCTATGAGAGTTGAAGTGGCCATATCAGTTGGTTCTAGAAGTTGAACGATCACACCAGCTCCTTTTAAGCTTCTCACAACATGGTCTTGACCTTGACCTCCATTGCCTCCTTCTTCGCGTCCTGCTTCACAGTAAACTACCTTCCCCATCACTTTATCTTCCCCTAATGTCCCGGGCTCACAAGTACTGCATAAACTCACAACCGTTAAGACGATCAAGACTGTGAAAAACTGAGAAAGATTAAAGGCTTTTTATGTTGTTGACAATTTACCTGGGCTCTCCATAGCCTCCTGCAGATAAGTTAGACGCAAGCGAACCGCTTGTTAACGGATACATTTTCTTTCTTGGGTTAAATCCGTTTAGAGAGATCCCCTGCAAAAGAGATCTTGGAATCTTATGGTATTTGCCATACAAGCAAGATTGAGACGATACTCAGTTCTTGAAAGAGATATACTTACAGACGCGGTGAGGCCATTTCCGAGTTTGACAACAGTTTCAAACTTCCGGTCGAGTGAGTTAGCCGCAACAGTCATTACCCACGGCGCGAGGTTGGAAACCGTAAAGAGACCGGGACCATTATTGCCTGCAGAACACATTGTCAAGATCCCTCTCTTCATCGCGTGAAACGCTCCAATCGCGATTGGATCTTCGAAAAACGGAAGTGACGCTCCTCCAATTGAAATTGATATTATATCGACCCCATCAGAAATAGCCTCGTCGAATGCCGCCAACATGTCCATATCTGTACATCCTGAGTCCCAGCACACCTTAATTTGAAACAGAGCATAATGTGTCTCAGATATTCCTTCTGTTCCAAGAAAACAGAGTAATGATATAACATACAAAACAAACCTTATAAGCCGCTATTCGAGCAGAAGGAACACCGCCTCGAGCTGTTCCGTTTGCAATTCCGAAGAGGCTAGCGCTGGAGACTGAAACACCGGCAATTGTGGAAGATGTGTGAGTCCCATGACCATCGTAATCCGCTGCAGAGTCTCCCTCGCCATCGGGAAGGCCTTCTTGTTGGAGGCGGTAGTACTTTGCTCCTATTACTTTACTGTTTTAACATCAATCCAAAACCAAACTAAGTAAAAAGAAGAGAGTAAACAAGTTGCAGAAACAGAGGATGATGGAAACAGAGCATTTGTACTTATTGCAACGAGTAAAGTTATTTCCAGTTACACATTTTCCTTTCCATTTAGCTGGAGGAGGGCCAACGCCTTTGTCATTAAAGCTCGGTGAGTCGACATCGATTCCTTTTGACAACAACAGAAAGAGTTATAAATCGGAGTGTATCGATATTTCTAGACTCAAGTTCTAACTACTAAGTTTACTTTACCTGTGTCAAGAACTCCCACAATGATATTACTCTCTATTGCTACACTTCTTTTGTATTTAGACTCAACAAGTCCTAGAAAATCCCATGATCTTGTAGTGTGAAGCTGTCTTTGAGTGTTCTTAAACACCGATACAACTCCTTCTTCGCCTGCATAGAAACAATTCTAAAAGAATAATCAATCTCATCAAGATAAAACCCAAAAACATTCTGGCAGTTTTGTTACTTACGTGATAGCTTCTCTGCTTCATGAGGAAAAAGCCTCGCCGCAAATCCATTAATGTTTTTCCCATAGCTATATATTTTTACTTCTCTTGCCTTGCTCTCGCTGCAAAAATATGTATATTCGAATCAAAATTTGGATATATCAGTGACAATTCTATGAGCAAGAACTGATCCTCACTCTCCGATCACTGTCAATAGAAGATTGTGATGGTTTTCGGCGGCTTCAACATGAGAATTCTCAGTTGCTTCTCCCATGTACACAATGTAAGGCTATAAAGACAGAGAAACAGAACAAAATGATGAGAGATTCTCAGTAATCTAAAACTACTGATTGTCTCATCACAACACATAAAAACACTCATCACTCTTACGTTATTACCTTTCTCTCGTTGTTTTCATCTTCCGTGGCTGCTATAAACGCGTTGTTAACAAGGAAAAAACAGAGTATAAACAACCGTACACGCTGGTTCGAAACCATATTTTGGATATTGAGATGCGTTAAATTGAGATTTGCTTTTGTCCGAGAAGAAAATCTACACTCTAATGTTAATAAAACAAAGAGGACAGTACTTAAATAACCACTAATCTTTTTAACTGTTTTATTAAGGCCTTAAACTGTCTTATACTAATATACTTAGCCTTAACAAGGAGTGAGAGTCCTTTGGCTTGTTATTAGGATCTTGTTCCACCTCATTTTCCGGTTTATTAGTTACTACACGTAATTTATTTAGTTTTAATTTATTTGTTTTTGTTTCTCTTAATGAAACTAAATAGGGTGTAAATGAGTAGTAGTTATTTGAGATTTTATTAGTCACACAATCTTTTTAACACACAAACACATAGAAACACAAATGAATGAAGAGATACTGAAAACAGAAATAGAGAGCTCAAACATTGAACTTCAGAAGAAGACACCTAAGAGAAATGTGTGTGCGTGTGTGTGTTTTTTTTTTTTGTTTCTCACGCTTTGATCAAAGACGCGGTAAGACTTTCGCGTAAAACAGAGTAAACCGATCTCCATCCTTCTTCGGTAGGGTGAAGTCCATCCCAAAAGAAAGCAGATTTAGGATTATCACACACGATATACTTCTTCACTCCCTTCTCATCCACACTTCCACAGTTATACTCGCTGCTCACGCCTACGCAACACGGCTTTAATGGACTCTCAAACCTTGTACTCCCTGCATTTCCGAAAAACCAATCAGCATAAGAAAAAAAGGAGGCAAAAAATGCGAAAAAAAATTAAAACTATTTTATTTACCTGGATTAGCTCCTTTGTTCTTGAACACAGTCAAGAAAGCATTGTAGAGATCAAGGATGATGAAAGTCGACTGCTTGGTCTCGTTATTGAGCTTTGCCACAACTTGCTGCAATAAGTTGTTGTGGAGGTTAACTAAAGCATTTTGTGTCTCATTGCAACGCTGGAACGATGACACAACGGTGAACGGAGGGAGACAACCGAGCGGTTGCAGCGATGGTACTGCAATCTTTTTCACTCCCAAAGCGTGGATCCGCCTCAAATTCACCTCTGTTTGATCCACAACTTGCTTTATGAATGCTGGAAATTCCTGTAAGATGCAATGAATCGCTATACCTTTTAGCATCACTATCTAAGTCGGACAAAAGAGGGTACGAAATGTTTTTATCTTACAGAGGCAGGGCGGTTTAGGGCGATGAAATTGGAGTAGTCGTTGCCAGCGACGCTAACGAGAGCAACGGAGGAAGTAAGCTCGGAGGGATAGTAGATGTCGCCGGCGGTGAGAAGGTTCTGGAAGATGTCTATTTGAGTGGTCATGTTGGGCAATGGATTTCGAGTGTTGAACACTCCTGTTCCTCCGTATGCAAAATTCATTCCGTACTGCAACCGTTTCTTTCCCGCGTAATCTTTCCAGAAGTATGGGATTGGTGATTTTATCCCCACGAATTTTGCTACAAAAAAAAAGGATATATTTCATGAATTTGAGAGTTTTTGTTACTAAATTTTGTAGATTTTATGAATTTGACACTGTATGACTTCTTAACTTTAGTTATATTCATTTGCAGTGCTCAGATTCGGTAAATCATAAGAAATGTGACGAGAATATGTCAGTTGTTAGTTTATAAATTGATCTAAATTTGCAATCTGAGTCTTTTAAAAATCATTTTTTCAAGTAAATAGTATACCAAAAATTAATGCATTTGATCGTTGACAAAATGCAAATTTAATACATTTTCATCAAGCCTTAGAAACTGATATAGAAAGGCTATTGATGACATAAGACTTTTCTGAGATAATGTTCATTAAACTATAATGTATGTGTGTACTTTAACAGCGCATATGTTGGTGTTTAGCTTTATAGTCTTTTTGTATTATTATAATTAAAAAGATGTAAAGCTTGGAGTATGTTGCTTTGTTGATGCTAAGTGGTAGTGGCGCTATGATGAGAGTATTAAACAGAAATAATAATTTTAAAAAAAAAAATTTAACCTTTAGATTAAAAAGAAGATATATAAAGGACAAGAAGAAAAAAAATAGATCAGCACCGAATACAATGAACACAAAATATATAAATTAAGTATATTGTTACATGTTTGGCATTCCATGTAAATTACATGTTACTGTCATATTGTGTGAAATTTACTGAAGAAAAAAAAAGTGTGACCTTATTAACGTGTTCAAATTCAATAACAAAAGACGTTATTTATTAAGTTCTAACTTCTAAATGATGACAACGTAAGAAAAAGGACGCTGGTCAATTGGACATATAGAGGACAAGAAGGATTTGACGCAACACTGACAACTGGTAAATAACTAAATAATCGAACTAATATCCCTTACCAACCAAACCCAATTTCAAAATCAAATAGTAGTAGTTCCTAATATATTTCCTAGAGAGACTTAAAAACATCACTAAACCGGAGCGAAGGTAAACCAACTGACAACACAAGCAAAAGTTTTGTCCAAAAAAAAAATGAAAAAAAGAAACTGAAATGATTCCTAATCTTCTCCATAATATATTCAACCAAAGTACGAGACACAAACACAGAGTAGGAATTAGGAATATAAATGGTTATAAGGAAAAGGTTTATAGGATAATAAAAAGGAGAATATATATTAAAAAAAAAAAAAGGAGAATAGAAATAGTTTTTAAGACTAATAAATAGCAGAAAAGAAAGTAAAAAATTCACTTTGATAAAAGCAAAGTACAATAATAAGAAGATGGCAAGAGGAAAGAAAAGCAAAAGTGAGTCGCGCACTGGATTGACACTAGACCACTCTTCCATCATTGTTTTTTGAACCTTATTTAAACATTACGATTTACGCGTCATCATTTCCATATATCTACATATAATATATATGTAAAATATATGTATATAATAATACTATCTTATTATTAAGACATAAGGTTATAATTTTAAGCGAGGCTTAAACATCGATTAGTTAGGTACCAAACCTAACACTAATCAATCATTTACCCATTTTTACATAATCTATGTTATAGCCTAGAACTAAAGTCAGTAATTGAACTGTTACAGCAGGAGACTTTAGGTGGTTAGTCAATAAAATTGATTAGGCTTTTTAATTTTTCTCAACAAATTTAATTAGGAATTTAATCGAGATATTTATAAATCTGTTGAAGATGAAAAGTTACCTAGAAAATCTGTAGCGACACGTCCGTCGGAGAAACGGCCAGCAGGTTTTCCGGGGAAAGTGATACCGTAAGGGAATTTCCACGAGCTAGAGAAAGCCTTTCTAATGTTTCCGGTATCGGCATAAGAATCTCCGAACACAAACAGTTTCGTTGGTCTAAATGCGTACAAGTGATGATTTTGTTTTGAACCCTCCACTCCATTGATTTCTCCTGCATAATCAAAAAACATTAAAAAAAAATTTAAAAAATTGAAAAATTGGTTTCAAAGAAATTAGTTGTGATGAGAGCTATAAGATGAATGTAAAATTGATTACCAAATAATAGCGAAGTGAATAAGAAGAGAAAGAGGGAGAAGAAGAGTTTGATCAAATAATCCATTTTCAAGATTCAGAGCAAAGGGTTCTCTTTTATGATAAAAAAAAAAAGAGAAGGGAGAGAGAGTAAGTGGAAGAGAGAAGATGGTTTTTTAAAAGAGAGCACTTTGAGAATTGGAATTGAATTTGTGTTCTCACTAATGTCTTTGTGGCTTTATATAGTAAGCCACTAAGCCTTAAAGATGTGAAACGACTTGATCTGGTCAATTTTTGTATCTTTATTCTTTGTGTTTATTCAATTTGTTTTGCACCATTTGAGTTTCTTAATTATGTTTAATTGTTTATCGTCTGAGTGTGATTACTAAACAATTGGGATAAGAGATAATGGCTTTCATTGGTGTAGAGTCTATAGAGTCTATAGAATATAGAGTACTATTATAGACTATGTCTGGAATTTTTGCCAAAATTGACGGGGCGATAATTTTTTTGTTTATTATATAGTATTTGGCGTTTTAGTGTTATACTTGTAAAACATTACGAATTACATTGTTTATATTCAATTATCAAATATATATACATAAGTATTTTCAAATATGTGTTGACTTAGATTCTCTTCATAAAAGGAAAATTCCAGATCAAAATTAATCCCTAAAACTTGTGGAAAAACTTATTTTTTCTCATCACACGGTACGACTTCAAATTTGTAGGCTGATTCTCACTTTTGAAAAATATATCCAAATGAATAAATTATAGTTTATTCGTTATTAAAATAGATTTTTTTTCTTGGTAATTGGTAAATAAGACTATAGACCATCAAATTGCATAAAAGTCCAACTTTTAGTTTTTATATAATATTTTATTTTTATCTGAATGTATCTATTTTCTCTTTTCTATCATTGAGATTTTTCTGTTCAATTCTTTTTCCACGGACAAAACGTGGCCTCGTACCCAAAGACTTTGTTTCTTTTATCTACGTCAATGGAATATTGGCATACCCTCCTTGATTATTGACTAGCTTTATTTTTGTTTTAATTAATGTATTGTCCCAACGAACGAGTTTATTAATTCCTCGTATGTTTCTTTTTTTTTTTTTGGTGAGAGGAGGGAAGACAATTCGTATGTTTCTTTATTACTGTAACAAATTGGTTTTATTCTTTTACCAATGGGTTTTGTTCCAAAAAATAAAATAAAACAATTCTTTACCAATGGGTTTTGTTTCATAGTTTAAGAAAAATAATAACGAATCAATAATGTTTACCAGATAACACTACATATAGTATTAATTAAATAGTAGGTTCGTTAAAATTCAACACAAAACTCCCTGAAAAATGGATATACCTTGTATTTAAGACGATGACACACGTGAGGGTTACAGACTTATAGATGTCCAGCCGCCCTAAATGAATGTCTTAAACTTCTTCTTTTTTTGGTATGAAAATGTTTTTAAACATTATTGTTAATTACCATCCTCTCATACGTTTCAGTTTTCACGTTCTTCAAACGCGGTTTAAATAAGTAAACCAAATATGGACCGAACTATAAAGAGATGAAACCCAATTAACTTATTTTCTTAAAAAATGCTTCAAGTTCAAATAAATTCAAAATGAATTTAATAGGTCAACTCTTTAATACATAACAGATTTAGTTTAATTGTTTTTTTTTCCTTACTAAAAAAATGTAAAAATGTAAAAGTCGAAGCGAACAAATTGTAAGAGAAGTGATCGCGAATAAATTGTAAAACCAATATGTGGTTTTACGGTTTGGTCAAAAACTCGGTTAAAGGTTTCCCTAATACCGAGTAAATCGATCTCCATCCTTCTTGAGTAGGGTGAACTTCATCCCAAAAGAAAGAAGACTTAGGATCATCACATAACGTATACAACTTCTTACCGTCACTCGAACGCCCACAATAGCCTTCGCAACACGACTTCATCGGATTTTTAAATCTTTTGTTCCCTACATTTTCACAAACCGATCACACAAAAAAACCTATAAAGACTAAGGTTTTGATATTGAAGATCAAACGTGAAACTTTTGTTAACTTGTATTCTCACCTTTGTTCTTCAGAACGGTCATAAAGGCGTTGTGAATATCAATGATAAAGAAATGCTGCCCCTTCTTCATAACCCTGGACTGTTCGTTGAGCTTGGCCACGACTTTTCTCAACAATTTGTTGTGTAGTTCCACCAATGCGCTTTGTGATTCGTTGCAACTCCTGAACGAGGATGCAGAGGTGTAAGAAGGGAGGCATCCGATCGGCTGAAGCGATGTTACTGCTATCTTCTTAAATAGCAGGCCACTCAATATTATCATATTAACGTGTAAATTATCCACTACTTTCTCTACTATTGCTTTCAAGCCCTGCATTTAAAGATTTATTGAAGATAAAAATCAAATAATCACCCAAAATAAAAGTATACATTTGTTGTTATGAGTATACATTTTTTTCGAAGAACAAACAAACAAAAGTGTTTAGTACTGTCTAAAAATAAAAAATCTAAATTAAAGTTGTTTTTTTAATTATTATTTAAATAATAATAGACTAATTTAAATTTAGTCTAAACCGATTTGGATGAACCAATTGGATTTAACCAGACCATAGCCAAAGTTTGTACGAACCAAAGTTTATTCTTTCACATATAAAGGCAGAGAAACTGGTGTTTGATCAACAAAGCCTTGATGACATCTAAGTAAAGATTAATGTTTTTCTTACAGCGGCAGGGCGATTTTGGTCGATGTAATAGATATAGTCGCCTCCGGCGTAGCTGATGAGAGAAACGTCGGAGGGAGTAATGTCTCCGTAGACACGGCCAGCGAGGACAAAGTCTACTAAGAAATTCACCTGAGCAGTTATATTGGGGAATGGACTATTCGGAGAGGACTCCAACATTTTGGACGCCCCGAACGCAAAATTCATTCCTCTTTTTATTTTTTTCTTTCGTCCGTGAGTTCTATAGAGGTACGGTGATTCTGCCCCCAACACTTTTTCTGCACCAACCAACACAAAAGTTTTATTTAACATCCATTTCAATATATAGATGTTCTATAAAATCATCTAGACATCGTTGGAAGGGTACATGACTAATCTAAAGAGATAGCTTTAACATTGATCATGGAGAGAGAGAGAGAGAAAAAGGAACCTAGAAAATCGGTGGCTATGAGACCATCACAGTAACGGCCGGAAGGTTTACCGGGGAAAGTGATACCGTAAGGGAGGGCCCAAGCCTCTGTGTCGCGCTTCGTGTTTCCGGTATCCGCGTAAGAATCTCCGAACACAAAGAGCTTCGGTACTTTTCTTGGTCCAAGAAGCTGGTTTGAACCCATTTCTCCATTGATTCCTCCTGCAAAAAAAAAAAATGGAAAATCAAAATTTGGCCATAGAGGTTTTAAAGAATATGTAGTGATAAGAGCTATAAGATGATATAAATTACCAAATAAGAGAGAGAAGGAGATCAGAAAGAGTTTCATCAGGGAATACATTTCAAAGTTCAGAGCAAAGACTTATTATAAGGTTAAATTAAAGGAACAGATAGAAAAGAGAAAGGACATGGAAGTGAGAATTTTTAGGATTGAAATTTGAATGTGTTCTTACTAATTTGGCTTTGTTTAGAGATGGTAACCTTAAAAGGAGTCGATTTTGGTGTGTGTGTTTTGTGAAGGACAAAAATAATTTAAATTTAAAAAATGGGCGACAAATAAAATGGAGAGGAAATCGAGAGTATGTGGAGGACATGGATTAAAGAAGAGCAATTTGAGGATTGAAATTCGAGTGTGTTATTATTACTTGAGTCTTTATATAGATCAACATTCGGGTTATGCACCATAAATCACTGTGTATACCGTATGTGTTAACTAGAATAGTTTATTATTGTTACTAATCTTTATATTAAGTAGAGTCAACTTTTCAATTTGCATTCAAGTTATGCACCATAAATCATTATGTAGCCGTATGTGTTAATTATTTTGGTAAAACGCTTTCAAATTAAATTATAAAGAAATAAAAATCTTATAGTAGTTCGTATATAAAAATCTTAAAGTAGTTCGTAATTATTTTTTAAGAAAGATTTTTAAAATCCGAAAAGAAACAAAATCAAAAATTTAAAAACTATTTTTAAAAATTTGAATTAAACTTGAATGCTAAATTTACATAATAATAGGAAAAACAAGTTGAATGTTTGGAATCGCTAACGACTAATGCTGGATCAAAAATCCGGTTAGTTTTCTTATCATTATGCAAATTTCGTATCCAAACAAATAATTTTTAAAAAATAAACAAACATAAGAAAGAAAAGATTTTTAAAATCCGAAAAGAAACAAAATAAAAAATTTAAAAACTGTTTTTAAAAATTCGAATTAAAAACTTGAATGCTAAACTTACATAATAATAGGAAAAACAAATTGAATGTTTGGAATCACTAACGACGAATGCTGGATCCAAAATCCGGTTAGTTTTCTTATCATTATGTAAATTTAGTATCCAAATAAATAAAGTTTTTGTTTTTTTAAAATAAAAAAAAAAGAAAGAAAAGATTTATAAAATCCGAAAAGAAACAAAATCAAAATCTTAAAAATCTGAATTAAAAACTTGAATGCTAAATTTACATAATAATAGGAAAAACAAGTTGAATGTTTGGAATCGCTAACGACTAATGCTGGATCCAAAATCCGGTTAGTTTTCTTATCATTATGCAAATTTAGTATCCAAACAAATAAATTTTTTAAAATAAACAAACATAAGAAAGAAAAGATTTATAAAATCCGAAAAGAAACAAAATCAAAAATTTTAAAACTATTTTTAAAAATCTGAATTAAAAACTTGAATGCATTTACATAATAATACGAAAAACAAGTTGAATGTTTGGAATCACTAACAACTAATGCTGGATCCAAAATCCGGTTAGTTTTCTTATCATTATGCAAATTTAGTAACCAAACAAATAAAGTTTTTTTAAAAAAACAAACAAAGAAAGAAAAGATTTACAAAATCCGAAAAGAAACAAAATCTAAATTTTAAAAACTATTTTTAAAAATCCGAACTAAAAACTTGAATGCTAAATCTACATAATAATAGGAAAAACATGTTGAATGTTTGGAATCGCTAACGACTAATGCTGGATCCAAAATCCGGTTAGTTTTCATATCATTATGCAAATTTAGTTACCAAACAAAAAAAAAAATTTAGAAAAACAAACACAAGAAAAAAAAAGATTTTGAAAAAGCTTGTAAAAAACATTTAAATGTTAAACTAAATACGTGAATTAGTAAGGAAATCAAAATCTTCAATAAAAAAAAAAGAACAAGAAATTAAGAATCAACAAACCTGACTCATGGATTGTTGTTTGCTAAAAGCCCATTCGTTGTAATCTGAAGCCCATCTGTTCTTCTTTGACTTGGGCCGAAACTGCAACTTTTGAGTATGAAGAAGATCAAAAGGCCTATCTACCATTGGCAAGATTCACGAACCATCAAAGGGACTAAAGCTCTAGATCCAATTGTCCCTGTTAAGAGTTAAGACCAATCACTAAACCGTTACCCTAATCAGTTCACACATTCATCATCCTGCCTCCAATTGTAGTAGAATCACAATTCTCTGCAAATCGCAACTCTTCACGGTTTCTGGACTTACATACACTTGATTGCTCGGTCACAACAATAAGTAGACCGAAAAAACAGCTTTTGTTGATGAAGAAGATCTCTCTTCAGGCAATTCCTAGTCTGAAACTCTGAACCACCGAAACCCCAAATCTCGTCGTCACTTTCACGGTCACGAGATCAGCGATCCTCTTTGTAAAACACTCGCAGAGAAAGAGAAGAATTTTTAGGGTTTAGAAAGTAGAAGAATGAATTATGATTTCTCGAGGAATGAAGAAAAGATGAAATATTTATAAAGAGAGGTGCACGCAAAAAAAAAAGGAAACATCAGATTGTTTTCCTTTTTTTATATTTGGACTTTAAATAAAAAAGGAAATTGATCACAATTTACAACGGTCTTATTTCTCTAACTGCAATTTGCAGATTTCAAATTTTATTATACTCTGTTCCACTATCCTTCACGCGTAGGCAGGCCTACGCGCATCATCGCCGTATCTTCTTCCGCCGAGATTTCTCTCCGTTCAGTCATGCCACCAATTCACCTTCTCTCGAAGCTTCCCTTCCAAATTCAGGATTCCTTATACCGATCAAAAAGCTTCTAACTGTTACTTGCTAATGACATAATCCTAGGATCCAAACTGTATCAACTTCTGGTTTCTTTCTAGTGTTTGTACAAAATCAGTTTCTGTGTTTAGTATACGTACACCCGTGTTGGCATATTTCAGTGAAACGTAGATTCATCTTTTATAATTCTTTTGTTCAAATTTGTTATTGTTGTCAATTTTTTTGAGCCACTCAACTTTAAGTATATGATTAGACCAACATTCTGCTTCTAATCCCATTGTGGTGGTCTCAAGTTGATAGTTTTTTTGAAAAGTATGATTCCAAATCAAAATTAAATTAAACGAAGAAAGGATTACTATAACACTACATATATACAAAATACGTGTTTCAATTTTTTTTGTTTTCTTACTAAATTCTCTAACAAAAAAAACCTCAAAAGGGAAGTAAAAGTCTCCTTTTCACATTTGAAAACTCACCGATTCATACTTTCCCTGTAGTAGCCCCTTCGTGAAGGAAGGTATTAAAGATGTATAACGAATAAGCCGAAAGTCATAACAAAAAGAAGCCAAAGAAGAATATTTCATCTGATAGTATTGAACATGCGCTTTCTAATGTTGTCGATGTGGGACAAAGTGAAAGTGTTATATAAGAAAGTAAATTTTTTGTCCCATATTCGATTTCAAGAAATCGAAAAAGACACGTGAAAGTGACCACAGTCGCAAAAATATCTAAAAATATTAAACACAATTCGAGTTTTAGATGCCAAAAAGTAATTTTACCCGTTAGTCAAAGACTCGGTTAGAGATTTGCCTAATAGCGAGTAAATCGATCTCCATCCTTCTTGAGTTGGATTAATTTCATCCCAGAAGAAAGCAGACTTTGGATCATTACATAATGTATACTTCTTTGCACCCTTCATATCCATACGTGCACAATCGCCTTCGCAGCACGGCTTCAACGGGGTTTTAAACCTTTTGCTCCCTGTATTTCCACAAACCGATAACACAAGGAAAAAACTTAGACTAAAGTCTTAACATTAGAGATCAAACGTGTAACTTCTGTTAATTAATTACCTTTTTTCTCCAAGACGGCCATGAAGGCTTTGTGAAGATCAACGATGACGAAACGGTCCCCCTTGGTCCTAAACTTGTCCTCTTTGTTAAGCTTGGTCACGGCTTTCTTCAACGCCTCGTTGTGGAGTCTCACCAAATCGCTATATGACTCGTTGCAACTCTGAAATGAGGATGCAACGGTGACACGTGGGAGGCATCCGAGCGGATGCAGCGAAGTAACTGCTATATTCTTAAATTTTAAGCCGTTCATTATCCCTAGACTATACTGTATATCTTCCACGATGAACTCTACAAATGCTGGGTAGGCCTGAATGCAAGATCCAATATAATGAACGTAAGAAATGATTGTTGTCCTCAAAATGATTTTTTTAAGTATATTTTGGATTTCTTTTTTGCCTTCACATTTTTTTAAAGAAAAAAATGGTTTAGTATGTATATCTATAATTTCAATTGATTTTTTTCACATATAAACTCAGAGAAATTAATGTTTGAAACAATCGAAATCTTAGCATAAGTGTCGTTTAAGAAATATGAATGTTTTTCTTACAGCCATATTAGGGTTTTGGTCGATAAAAGCATAATAGTCGCTGCCGGAGTAGCTAAGGAGAGCGTAAGAGGAAGCAAGGTCACCGTCGATAGTGTAGACACGGCGGGCGAGGGCAAGGTTAACCAAGAAACCGACCTGAGTAGAGATGTTTGGCGATCGATCAACCGGAGAATCGAATACTTCGGACCCTCCGAACGCAAAATTCATTCCTCTGTTTAATTTTACTTTATTTTTTCCGTGAGTCCTCCAGAGGTAAGGTAATTTTGCTCCCAACTGTTTTGCTGCACGAAGGAAGTTTTTTTTTTTTTTTTTGCACTTCAATTTCAATAAATAAATATATATTATCGAATTTGACTATTTGAGAACGAAAATTAAAGATTTTCACTTTTGTAAATTCATGCTTATTTTCGTTAAAAGTATATTAATGTTCAAACGATATAAGACGTCATAATAACTTTCAAATGTTATAAAAAGAACGCTCTAATTCTCTTTATTTCAATTAGTTGATGTTTAGTAATATTCGTATGAAGATTTTATCTATCATGTAGAGAAACATTAAGAAAAGATGATGTAGATTGTAGAGAATGAGAATGAGACTGAGTGAGAGTAGAACCTAGAAAGTCGGTGGCGATAAGGCCATCAGAATAACGGCCGGAAGGTTTACCGGGGAAAGTGATACCATAAGGGGGTTTCCAAGACACTGCATTGGGCTTCATGTTTCCGGTATCAGCATAAGAATTTCCGAACACAAACAGCTTTGGATTTTTATTGGGTTGGGAATGCTGATTTGAACCCACTGCTCCATTGATTCCTACTATACATGCACACAAAAAAAAGATTAATTAATTAAATTCGGCCATATATGTTTTACAGAATCCTCTATTGATAAAAGCGCTTTGAGATGATTGTAAATTACCAAAGAAGAGAGAGAGGGAGAGGAAGAGTTTCATCAGATAATACATTTCAAAATTCAGAAGCAAATGCTTCTTTCCTTTACTGTTGTTAAGGACAAAAAGAAATGGATAGTCTTAGAGAGAATGTGGAGGAGAGAACTTTGACACTATTAATAAGCATCGCCGTTCTCGAAAGTTTGACCAAATCGTCACAACTTACAAAGGCTAATGCAACCCTCTCTTTATTCGACTGAGGCCAAATTTTGGTTGCGTGGATATATATTAATATATACATATGTGCCATTTAATGTTATGTATGTACAAAATTCCCATTTTTTGGGATTAATTTGGCAAATAGCAACTCAAATAGTGAAATTAAAAATTTAACATATATGAGAAATAAATTAAAATGGACAAATTTACCCTTTTTCATTTTCTCACAAAAAATAGTCATTTATTACCAAAATGTGTTTCTTATCGTCTGATGTGTTTTTTTTCATTATTAACTTTCTATGGTATGTTTAATTTTGTGCTAACCAAAACCAATTAAGAGATAAGATTCCATAAATATGGTCAATTTCTCTTTCGAAGTCACATAGGTAAATCACAAAGCTCTTAGTGCAATATGCAGTTTTCCCTTTCATTATTCAGCAAATTAATTAATATCTGAACCCTAACGAGGACCAAAAATTGGATTTCTAAGTTAGTGAAAGCCTTAAATGAGAACCATCTTGAGAATACAAACAGATAAACACGTCACTCCTTTCTTATTTCAATTTAAAGCAGGCCAGCAGGGTATACAAAAAATTCCAGTTTTCTGTCTTGTAAGGAAACTACCTAAGTTGTTAACTCCCATTTAGTATTTAAATGCAAGCAATTTCTTCGCATACTTGGCATTCTTCACTTCTCCTCTTCTTGAAGGAGTACCAAAAACAAAAGTTAGGATAAGGTATTGACGGAAAATGACGCCATCACTGCTATTATTGATGCTGGTCATGACGGCGATTTTATTGGCAACTCTGTTTAATGGTTTTCCTCCGTATCTTCTCCGACACAGGTTTGTACGGACTTCCACCACTACATTTTTGGCTCCTCAATTTTCTTAATGTTTTGTGAGTTTTCTGGTTGATCAGTATTTACCTGACTTCACTCCAATTTTTTTTTTCTTTTTATAAAAATGGGTTTGGTTTTGGAAATATACGTATAAGTATAACAATAGGCTGATTATTTGTTCTTCCTACTGTTCTCAAAATGAGAAAATTGCTAACTGATATATTGTTGAATATATAGAAGATTTATTGTTTGAGTAAAAAAAATAAAAAATCAGATGAAACTTCCATTTCATTTTCTTCAACTTCCAATAATTTAATTGTATATGTATATTCCCAATAGTAGTAAATGCATTTACTCATAAAATGTTTGATTGATATACCATTTTCTATTTCTCGCATGAAAACTACGTTTAGGTTAAGCTTGGGCCACGTACATATTTTAAGAAATTTTCTTATTTACCTTTTTCATATTCTTTTATCTTTTACAATTATATTTTTTTCCCCACCACATTTAATTTACTTACAATTTGACACGTTAAAGTTCCGAATAACTAAAATAATTAAGATACTAGAAGATAGAGATTTGGTTATAATTTGCCACCCTGTATAGTTGTAAAACTAAATAAATTTTTTTTATTGAAAAGTCCAGTGATAGTCAAAAGTCAAAACTGTAGTCACCCTTTTTAGTTAATAAATTTAATTTTATTTGAATACACATCTGCTTTTTGCTAATTTTGTTGTAAAGAGACGTATTTACATTTATTACTATCAAGGTGTGGAACAGAGCTAAAGATGAGCAACGATGATAATCACGGATCGTCTTCTTGTCCAAGCAAATTTACGAGTTTGTATATAGCAAATCTTGATGCCCAAGTCTCTGAAGAAATGTTGATTCTGATGTTTTCGGATTTCGGAAAGATTAGAAGATCGGTTCTAGCAAAGGATTTTAGAGGAGAGTCACGAGGATTTGCTTTCATTGTGTTTGAAAACGCGGATAGTGCTAGACAAGCCATGCTTCATATGAACGGAAGGTTAATAGGTAAAAACATTTCAAGTTTTTGGTTGAGTTAGTTTATATTATGAAGAACAAAAATACAAAGGTGACTGACTAAATACCAATTATCAGTTCTTTGGAATCGATTGAGTTAACATAAATCACTGTTTTAAGGTTTTAATAATCTTTTTTTTTATGTGATGAGTAGGTCAGAAGATTCTATACGTTGAGAGGACACCCAAGGTCGAAGAAGGTCGAGACATATGATAGCCTACGTTGGATTACTGCTCTCGGCGTTTAGGTTTTGTGCTAGAAACTTATGATTTGAGAATTGTCCTTAATTTTGATTGCCGATAAAACATTTTTCGCTAAACCTTTTCGGGAAAATCACATTTTTAACCTTCAAAGTGGTACTAAGTAGCACTCTAAACCTCGGTATATTTTCACTAGCACTATAAACCTTCATATTAATTTTACTAACATTTTAAACCTCCAAATTAAGTTTTTTGTTTATGTCGCACTAAAAGATAACAGAATAGTAACTCCGTCAACGAAAAATTTAACTCCCGTCAACGGAAAAGTAAAACATGTTTTTTGTTTTTAAACGTCAAAAAATAAAACGCGTTTTTTTATAAAAAAAAATTGTTATTTTTCTGTTTGCCCCAAAAAAGCAAAATCCCCAAATTGAGTTACAGTTCTAAATCAAAACCCAGAATACAAGAAGAAGAGTGAAAGAGTGATTTCGAGTGAAATTGAAGAAATGAAATCAAAACCCAGAATAGAAGAAGAAGAGTGAGAGAGTGGTTTTGTGGTATCGATTCATTAAAAATCATATATTGAGTGATTGACTTTGGATTCATATAATGAAAATCAAATCGGAGAGGATTTTGTATTCTTATGAGCCCATGTGCAATGTTTTGTTTGGATTCGTATTACACTTATGTTCTTGTACTTCAAACTTAGAAACCCTAAATCCCAAATTGATTTGAGGATATTGAATTTTTAAAACTTTAGACAACGATTATAGGAAGTGGTACTAATGATCTTTTTTTTGTAAACACGTTTTACTTCTTTCTTTTTAAGAAAAAATACGTTTTACTTTTTCGGTGACGGGATTACTTTTTTGGTTGACGGAGTTACTATTCCGTTATCTTTTAGAGCGACACAAACAAAAACTTAATTTGGTGGTTTAAAATGTTAGTAAAATTAGTTTAGAGGTTTATAGTGCTAGTGAAAATATATCGAGGTTTAAAGTGCTACCCAGTGACACTTTGAAGGTTTAAAATGTGATTTTCCCAAACCTTTTCTATAATATGACAACATAACGGTTTCATCATATTTAACAATTTTGCCTGTATATGTGACCACGATTCCTTCATTGTCGCTGTGTCAATTGTCATTATAACATTGTCATATACAAAATGTCGTCTAGTTCAAAATTGTATCTTAAACATATGCATGTACAAGATGGATACAAACACTGGCGAATAAGATATAGCCATCAAGTCAAGAGCCGCTTGCAACGAGTTCTGAACACCTCCAACCACACAACGGTCCGATTCTGGAACGAGATCCTAAAGCAATGTTTTCAAAACATCACAAATTAACTCAACAGAAACAAAAACTTTGAATCAGTAATATACAATACAAAAACATTTTCAGTTTTAAATTCGTACCTGCATTTGTTGGATTACTGCAAGATCGAACATCCACAAACCAAGCCTAGAAGCAGCAACTCCAGCCATGAGCATGTATGATGCTATCTTCTCACTTTCAGCACAAATTGATCCAACACACACCAAAGACAGGTCCACTAGAGAAACAACAACCAACTTTGGTATCATATTCATATAAATCAAAGACCGGTTAATGTATAGTTTTGATCCATCAAATAACCTCAGTAGGCCCAATTATTTTAAACGGCACGTACTGTATATTCTGATGAAGAAAACGGCAAGATGTGTTAAACGCGTAAACGGCGCGTATTTCTTAACCACTCTTCCGGGTCACATAAGTCATTTAACCACAAATCCAGAACATTCCGACTACTCTCTCCCTGAGCTCCGGCCATGGCGATTCGTCTCGCGAGGTCATTGACTGCGTCACGGCCGTCCCGTGGAAATCGCTGCTCAGCGTCAGTTATCACTTCATCTGCGATTAACGGCGGCGAGTTTTCTGATTTCCGTAGAGCTTTCGCCTTTTATTCGTCTTCGTCTTCTTGGTGGTCGTCTCCCGATGATTTGACGACGGGATCGAAGAAGAGAGAGAAGAATACTACAGACCGTTTCTCTGCCGTGATTGACGCAGTCCATGACCGGAAACTCCCGCCGGAGCTACGTGGTAGACGCGATTTCGTAAGGTATAGTCTAGCTCTCTCTATGTATTCATCTTCTTGTATGTGTTAGGACTTTGAAATCGATATGTTATATACTTAGGGTTCATAGGTTTCGTTGAGAATTTAATCAAAAATACGAAATGCTGAATTCAAATCTCTGGACACGTCTCTTACCTTGATTTAGCGTTTTCTTCTTCACATGTCAATTCCAAGGTCAATTTCACTGTTTCCACGGTTTTGCGGTGGAGTTTTTGCAAGGCAATTCAGCTCAGAGACTAAGCGAGTTAACACCAAAGTCAATTATTCTATGTCTGATGATGATGATGACTCAGATGAGGAAACTCCGGTGACTGAAGATTCTGGAAAGCCACCTCCTCCTTATGACCCTTTTAGCAAGAAACCTGCAATTGAGGAACCAGAGGATCCTAAGAATCTCCAAGAAATATTCCATAAGATGAAAACAGAGGGTTTTACGAATGAAGCTGTGAAAATGTTCGATGCATTGTCGAAAGACGGCCGCACACATGAGGCGCTAGAGCTCTTCTCTCAGATTAAAGATAAAAATCAAATGCCAGACGTGGTGGCTCATACTGCTATCGTTGAGGCTTATGCTAATGCAGGCCAGGCCAAGGAGGCTCTTAAGGTTTTTATGCGTATGCTTGCCTGTGGCGTTTCGCCTAATGCCTACACATATACTGTTTTGATCAGAGGGCTTGCAGCGGATGGTAGAACGCTAAAGGATGCGAAGAAGTACTTGTTAGAAATGATGGGAAATAGCATGAGCCCTAATGCTGCCACTTACACTGCAGTGTTTGAAGCTTTTGTAAAAGAGGAAAAAGAGGAATCAGCTAGAGAATTGTTGCAAGAAATGAAGGGAAAGGGTTTTGTGCCTGATGAGAAAGCTGTGAGAGAGGCTCTTCAATCTAAAAGAGGCCAAGTTTTTAGGACTGTCATCAACCTTTTATTTGATAAGTAGTAGTAGTGTTTGGTGATCTTTCAATAGGTAGAACAACTGGCTTTTATGCGATGCATCTGAGAATGTTGCTGTGTCTTTTTTTTTCGATGTTGACACAATTGCGCTGTAGCTTTGCTGTTTTATTGTGGATGCAATATTGCTATGACATTTTTTTTGTCAGAGAAAGCCTAAGCTTGTTGCTTTTTTCTTGCATTTGTGGTTAATCTTCCAAATGAGATTCTTCTTCTTGTGAAATATGCTATTGATTTGACCTGCTTGTAACGGATGCTAACATGGGATGATGTTGCAGGTCAGAGACTGATATAATCAACGTGGTCGAGCAAAGGATATGGCATTCAATGGAAGAAGGCCACTTTGAGAACTTACCTGGTAAAGGCAAACCCTTGAACCTCCACACAAATCCTCACGCAGACCCAGCGGAGGATACATTGTATCGTATTCTTAACAAGAACGGGTTTGCTCCCGAATGGGTGGAGCTCAACAAAGAGATAAGAAACAGAGCAAAAGAATGGAGAGTTGCACTGAAGAAAACATGGACTATGAAATTCGAGGAAGACCAATCGGGTTGGGAAGAGAGATCAGATTTGCTGAAAAAAGAATTGAAACAAATCAACAACATGGCAAGTATTCAACTACAAATCAAGATCCTGTTGCGATATATTATGGTTTGCTTATATGGTCTCTTGTTTCTGGGCAGGTTTTCAGGTACAACCTGATCGTTCCTTTCGGCCGTCAAATGTTTGGACTGAAGTGGGAGAAAGAGATTGATCTCTTGAAAGATTAACATCTTCAGAGGCCAAAAGGTTGGTCACACTTCTATGAACTACTCTGTTCTTGTGTTTGTAGTACATCTATTGATAGTATACGAGTCAATGTGCCTATTGGTTCTTAGGCTAGATATAAAAAAGAATAAGAAATAAGTGTTTGAGTTGTTTCATGTATGATGTTGTATCCATCAAATACTCTTTTGAAAGATAATTATAGCTAAGAAAGAAGTCTAATCACATTCTGTAATTTGAGTTATTTTCGAGTAGATGAGTATGCAAAATGGAAGTCAACGAATCGAGTAACATGAAAAAAAAGAGAGAATCTTTTTAGCTGAAAAAAGAAAGAAATAGAATCTTTTTTTAAGTTTTTCCGTATTAAGAAAAATGAGATGTGATAGCGACGAAACATCCACTAAACACATGGTTCATGTCCAACCACATGTTTCTCAGAGATCTTAAACAGAACACCACTGCACAATTTCCATCTCACAATTCTTTCTCCTGTCTCTCTCTCTCTTTTTTCTGTGTGAGAGAGAAGACTCAATGGTCTCCAATTGCTTAAGCCTTAGTCTCCATCTCAATCTTCATCCCCACAAACACAATCGTCATTCTCTTTCTTCCTTTAGATCCCAGACAAAAGCTAAACTCTATCAACATGTCTCATTCACAGATTCAAGCCACAAGAGATCCTACACTTCTTGTGTGTCTACCTTTGACTCACAACACAAAAGTAGCAAACAATATGAATTGGGCAAGCACAACTTCAGTCCGAGCCGGCCTGGTTACGACTTGGGTTTGAGCCGATCTGGTGTCATCCGCCCAAGACTCTCGGCGATGACCGGCTCAGAATCCAATGAATTCGGGTATGACGAATCCCAATTCGACCCATCCCTCACGAATGACGACTTGAAACCGACAACACCTAGCCAAAGAACGTTTTCATGGTTGGACATGTCAAGTTTATGGATCGGTCTCGTAGTTGGTGTGCCTACTTACTACCTCGCCGGGAGCCTAGTGGATCTTGGCATGGCGTGGTGGCAAGGGATAGCCACAGTGGTTGCTGCCAACCTAATACTGCTTGTACCGCTGGTCCTAACCGCTCAGCCTGGCACTCTGTACGGAATATCCTTCCCTGTCCTTGCTAGATCATCCTTTGGTATCCGTGGAGCTCACATCCCGACTCTACTCAGAGCATTAGTCGGTTGCGGATGGTACGGTATCGAGACATGGATCGGAGGAGAAGCCATCTTCTTGCTCTTACCGGCTCACATTAAGAACTCTGCTTTGTCTCATTCACTACCCTGGCTCGGCACTTCTCCGCTTGAGTTCTCTTGTTTCATCGTCTTCTGGTTGGCTCAGGTTTGTATTGTCTGGAGAGGAATGGACGGAATCAGAAAGCTAGAAAAGTACTCAGCTCCAATTCTGATCACTCTCACTTCCTGCCTCCTTGCCTGGTCCTATCTCAAAGCCGGTGGATTTGGTCACATGCTTTCCTTGTCATCCAAGCTAACCTCTGCTCAGTTCTGGACTCTCTTCTTCCCCTCGCTAACCGCAAACATAAGCTTCTGGGCAACTCTAGCTTTAAACATCCCCGATTTTTCCCGGTTTGCGAAATCTCAGACCGATCAAATCATCGGTCAAGTCGGTCTTCCCGTTTTCATGGGTTTGTTTACGTTCGTCGGCGTAGCTGTTACGTCCTCCACAAGTATCATCTTTGGAAGAGTCATCTCCAATCCGATTGAGCTTCTCGGTCAAATAGGAGGCCTTGCCACAACTCTACTCGCTATCGTCGGAATATCCCTAGCCACACTCACTACAAACATAGCTGCAAACGTGGTCGCGCCAGCAAATGCGCTTGTCAACCTAAACCCTAAGTTTTTCACATTCGGAAGAGGAGCCTTCTTGACCGCAGTTCTTGGAATCGTGTTTCAGCCATGGAGATTGCTCAAATCGAGCGAGAGCTTTGTGTACACATGGCTCATTGGTTACTCAGCGCTTCTTGGTCCAATCGGTGGCATAATTCTCGTCGATTACTACCTGATCAAGAAGATGAAACTGAACATTGGAGATTTGTACTCTTTGAGTCCCTCCGGTGAATATTATTTCTCTAAGGGATATAATGTCGCAGCTGTGGTTGCTTTGGTCGCCGGAATAATCCCAGTCGTGCCTGGTTTTCTACACAAGATCAGAGCTTTGTCGAAGATCTCAAATGGGTTCGTGGTTGTGTACGACAACGCTTTGTTTTTCAGCTTCATCATCGCAGGATTTGTCTATTGGATCATAATGTCTCGTCTGGGAAGGAAACAGAGCTCGTTGTCTTCTTCTTCACAGCCGCTTTTGTAAATCTGGTCATTTAATTGGTTCCGTAAGTAACTAAAACTAAGTTATCAGATGTAAAATTACACAGAAGAACAAAAAGGAAAAGAAAGATTATGATTTTATTGCTTTTTGTCATTACGGATTTAATTCATTTACATAATGATGATTTTCATGCACTAAACTGAATAATATTTTTTTTGTTAAGAATAGGTTATTGATTTACAACAGCCCATGGGCTTGCTCAAAGCCCGTAAGAAACTTTCCAAACTTAAATAAGTCAATATTTGGAATTCCAAAGTGGAATCCAATGTGATTTAGAAAATGATGCTAAAGTTACTTCAACATCCCCAATTTCTGCAACAAATGGAGGAAAGTTAATATATCGAAATGTTCTGTATAAAGATTATATATAAGAAAAAGGACGGTCTACTAATTATAAAAGATGATTTATATAAGCATCATTAACTAAAGATTTCAATTTGGAAACAAGACTTACCGACATAATAGGATTCGAGACGTGAAAACAATGTAGTAATTAATGGTCCCTTTTTTTAATATAAACAGGCTGTCACCAAACGAACTGTATCTAGATCCAAGATCTGAAAACCATGTGCAAAGTCACGTTGAGTTTTGTTATGTATAGTATAAAGTAAGTAAAGAGAAAGAAGGAGAAGAACATTATCACAACTATCCAAATCTTCAAGATGTGAAAAATTAGCCAAGAAGTCCATCTTGTATACTTTATACAGTCTTTGCTCATGTCCTAATGCACAAATCAAATCGTGAAGAAATAACCGGTGACTGGATACTTCCACATCGCCAAGCGGGGAGATTCTTCACATCAATAGTCCAGGTTTGATCTCCTTAATGACTTTAACTCTTACACTCACAAGATCTAGAGCAAATATATGGTTGCGTGTAGGGAAAACTAGTTTGTATGAAAAAAGTTTGTAATGTTTCAAGAAATTCACATTCGATCTTAGTAGCTAATGATAGTACTTATCTATTTTGCAGACATGGCATCGTGGCGCTCTTGGGTATAAAGCTAGGAATAAATGATTGCTCATAGCCTCGGTAACCAAGCACACCGTAAATCTAGTCGGAAGTGACAATATCCTTTTTGTGATAGTACTCGTGATTGGAATCGCAATAACAAGGTTTGCAGTGGAAGTAATCTTTTTCAATCATCATATCCATTTACAACGACTTTAAGTATAAGTCGATATATGGGGATGTAACGCATGTTGTTTTCTGCGAGGAGCATTTGCACATGTTTCATGTAGCATGAAATCACATTCCATAGATGAATAGTAATTACCTTAGATAGGACATTGTACTGCTTGAAAAAACTTGTTAACGTCATAAAATTTATGACGAAAACACCTATAAAAAGTGTTTTTTCAAGCATGTGTCCATGAGAGAAATTTTTATTCATATATGGAATGTGATTTCATCCTTCATAAAATATGTGCAAATGCTTTCCACAGGAAACAACATACGTTACATCCCATCTACTTACACTTAAAGTCGTTGTCAATGAATCTGATAAAATGTTACTTCGACTGTAAGCAGTGGTTTCGTCTATGAGTGTCGCATACATGTACGATCGGAGCTTTGTTGGAGATCTCTAAAGGGCCAATAGTTGAGTTTGCTCTGGTTTTCAACATCTTCATTGTAGGAATTTGACTACTGACTCATCATGCCTAGCCTGATAAAGTGATAATGATGTTTTTTCCCATTACAGTTTGGTTCACATAATGTGTATGATTTGCCATATTATTGGCACAGCCCATGGGTTTATTCCAGCCCATCAATCAAATGTTGCAACTTTTCCAAATTTCGAAAAAATTAATAATCAAAATATCAATTTCATATTTTCATTTTCCGTAGTACCCAATCAAACCCAAAAGATTCTTGTATACTTTACTAATTCCTCGCTCAAAACAAAATCTAAAAATAACTGATTAGGGAATTTTTTTTTTTTTTGTATGGTTAGCTTGTTTCACTAAATCAAAACGAAATCTAAAATATTCACTAGTTAGATTCGATTTTATCAAGAAATTGGAAATTTTCATTTTCAGTTGCTCCATATATAAAAGTGAGTTATTATTAGGCATCATGCAGCAAAGAATCAAACAAACCAATATCGAAGGCAACAAATGGGGAACCAAATGGAGACACAAAATACAGAAAATGTCAATGACTTCATTGTTGATCCAGAAACTGCAGTGAAAGTTAAATTGCAAAACCAACAACTCAGGACGACATGCATGAACCTTCTCGTGGGCATCATTCAGAAACTTTACCACAAGCCTCTGCATGATTTCTCCGAGTCAGAATTAAGCAAAGTTTCCGAGGATTTGTCTGATCTGACTAAAGTCGGTTTTGATCTGCAGTGGTTAAGGTCTAAGCTTGGGAAGGTTTGCTTGGACAGGAAGAACCATTGTGCCTCTGAAGCTCGCATTGGAGAAATTGAACAACAAGTCAAGAAACTTGAGGTGATGATGTCTGATCTCAAAGCTGATTTGGAAGAGGAGAAGACCAAGTTGAAGAGGCTATAGTTCGTTAGGGCTTATTTGCATAGGGTTTCTTCTGCGACAAGACATGAATACCCCTACTTTTTTCTTTAAATTCAACGCTTTTTTTTATTGGCCAAAGATGATTTTATAATTTTATCTAGTTCTTAAATGTATCTCGTTCTAATTTTATCTAGATTTAAATGTATCTCGATATTTTGTTAATTTTATCTAGTTCTTAAATCGCAACTTTTTACAATTAAAATCCACTAATATAATAAATTTGAGACGTTTCAGGAAAAAAAAAATTAATAACCATAAGATCTACTGCGAATTTTCAGGTACACTAATTCCTAGTTCAAAATAAGATTTAAAAATAATAAAAATTATATATGATTTCCTTTTCCTTTTTTTTAATTCGTTATATATCTTAAAGTTATCTTATTTTTAAATTAATCCGAAACAAAAAAAAATCTAAAAGGATTAACAAACTCGATTTAGATTTGATTTAGGACTTGGTAAGTCTCGGTTTCTTTGGCTGCCTCCTATATAAAGAGAGGGAGTTCTAGAACCATTAATTCATGAAGCTAAAAAATAAAACAAACTTTGCTCTGAGAATTCCCTATACCGATTTCAAAAGCCAAGTTATGGGAAATCAACTTCAGTTGTTGCAAAGACGAAGAAAGATTAGAATCAATGGTTTCGTCATTGATGCTCGTCACATGACGTTAGCAAAGTGGATTTTTCAGACATATCCAGAAACGACAGACAATGTTAAAGTGCAAAACCAAGATCTCAGGAATACTTACATGAACCTTCTCTGCGACATCATCGGGATAATTTACCACACGCCTCTTGGTTATCTCACCGAAGCAGAATTCAGCAAAGCTTCCAAGGATTTGTATGATCTGACACAAGCTGGTTTTAAGCTGGATTGGTTGCAGTCAAAGCTTGACAAGGTTTCCTTGGAGAAGAAGACTTCTGAAGAACGGATTGTGGAACTCAAACTAGAGGTCAAGAAACTTGTGATGACTGTGACTGATCTCAATACTGAGAGGAAAAGGGAGAAGATGAAGTTGAAGAAGCAACCAACCTGGATACACGCAGGCTAAACAAAAGATTGGCCACTAAATTTTACTCTTTTTTTTCTTAAACACATATTTTATTTTTAGAATAATATTGTGGTTATTTAGGGTTATCCAATCTATTGTTAAGGATTGTTTATCTAGGAACGATAATTATTCGAAAAAACATAATTAGGTTATACCCCTACGTTTTCTACTTTATACGAGTTTTTATTTAATAGCTTGCCAGACACGGTTTGATTAGGGCTCTCTTGGGTTTCTTCATTGATGCTCGTATAATGAATGTGTTTAAATTTACCCGATTTTAATTGGGTAGAACTGGACTATAAATGGGCTAAGAATGGGCCAGCTTAAAAGTATTTTTGCTAAAGGTGTGTATATACACAAATTGCTAAAAAATTTTTTGTCTGAATACACTATTAATGAAAGACAAAAGTGGTGTTTAATTTTAGATATAAAAACCGAATATTCTTTTATTCCTCACACACCGATAGGGGAACACACCTGAATGGTGCATCACAGGGGATAACAACAACACACACACATTCAACACAAACATGACGAAATTAAAGACAATAAACCAAACCAAACCGGGAACAAAGTAAACAAGGAACATAGACAAAATAAGAGCTAGCTAGTAATAATAATCTGCTGATTCCGAGGGGAACCGAAGCTTGCCAAAGGATCGAAGTTGCCCAAACGAGGGATAACAAAAGACACATCAAGCTTGTCTTCATCAACCTTCATGCAATCTTCATCGCTCCATTCACACACAATCATCATCATCACCATATTGATAATTATGATAATGATGATGATGATCATTTACACAACACCCACACACAAACATTCATAATCATAATCTCCAAGAGATCTCTTCTTCTTCTTACCTTTTGTGAGCACTCTTGTGTTTGGGGCCATCCCCTAAAGAGAAAATTGAACCTCTCAAAACCCTTTATTGGTGAGATCTTCTGATAGATTCAGAGGGTTCTTTAGGGGATGGCCATATTTTGTGTGTATGGTGTTGTGCCAAAGAGAGTTTCAACAATGGATGTTGTTAGGGTTTTTATGGCTTCTCTCTTTGTCTTTGGTCATGGAGACAAATTAAACGAGAGGTTGAAAACACTCATTGCATAAGCTATAGTGTTCATTCCACTTTTCCTTTAAAATACTATTTTCTTTATAATAATTAATCAACTTAGTGTACCTACTGTATCCCGTGTCTGTTGATGATAGATTATTTTGTTTTTTTCTAAACTGTATCCAAAAGTGAATACAAATATAACATGTATTATATATATGATAGACTGATAGATTGACGTGAAAACTACTCCCTCCGTATTTTAATAAGTGTCGTTTTAGGATTTTATTTTTTTTTAAAATTAGATGTCGTTTTCAAATTTCAATGCAAAATTTCTTACTTTTTAATGTTTTATGATGTCATAAAACATTAAAAAGTAAGAAATTTTGCATAGAAATTTGAAAACGACATCCAATTCAAAAAAATAAAAATTTTAAAACGACAATTATTAAAATACGGAGGGAGTATTTTTCAACAATATATTTGTATGTAAAACTATATGAATTCAATGTATTGGGTTCTATAAGTTATTGTAAGTGATTATATATAAAAGAAAAAAAGATAAATGAAAATGGATATATTATTGGTGTAAAGGGGAATAAAAGTAAGAATTTTCATTGGTGTAAAGATGACATTGAAAGAAATCAAATTACCATTTTAAATATTATTTTGGGAAAAAGTGGAAGGAGATGATGGAAATGGGGAAGTCCATGTAAAGATGTTGGGAGAATTTTGGATCTTCTAAAAGGAATATGCCAATTACCAAACATGTGTGTTTTAAACAACAAAACCATCTCATCACTCTTTATTTTACTTATAAATCTTATTTCTTTCTACCTTTTTCATTTAAGTATGCACGTCGGTAGAGCTCTATCTGTCTTGTCCGGTTCAATAACAAGGTTGTGGTCGGTTACTTATGGTTTAAAAAAATTTGGGGTTCTTTATCAGTTCTTGGACTATTTTATATCTTTTTGGTATGATCCTAACAAATTTTCTTGAAGTACTTTTAGTTTGCTAATCGCCTTATCGAATATTTGAAAGGTGTTTACTGTTTAGCGCCAACTTTTTATTTTTCTACCTTTTTTATAAAAAAAGTAAAACCAACCACATACATAATTGAATGCTTAATTGATCATATCGGGCAGAAGAAGAAGGCTTCATCTGCAATATGGAATATCATAACAACGAAAAGGAATCAGATCCTTAGTTGATTAGTTATGTTCTTGACCGATTAATTGAATTTGATGGTTAGGTAACTAATAAGCTGATTATACCAAAATCAAGGCAAGTAGCGATTAGAAACCACTATGCAACTGATTAATCGGTTCGATCTATATATGACGCCTAAAATTTGATTTCCGATGCAATTCATTCTTAGAAAAGAGATCTTGTGAGTCGAGATTAGAATTATTAGGCCATGTTTACTTCGAAACGTTAACGTATACAGAAGGAAACAACTCTGTCTCCAAGTAATTTACACACTGAGTTTACTAAAAAAAAAGACATTTTCACATTCCCAACCAAAGAATAGTAGAATACAATAAACGTAAAGTTGACACTCCATATACAATGGCAACGAACCTAGTTATGTAAGGTAAGCCAAAAAAAAAAGAGTTTGATAGAAATTTACCTTACACAATTAGTTTTCATCATCTTTTGGGGTTGTTTCTTTACCGGCGTGGTTCATTCATAGACTTTCCTTCAAACAACTCACCCAACAATCTTTCAAGATCTTCAGCTGTATACTTTATGTATTTCTGAGGATTCTTCCCACTCTCAACCAAAGGCCTACATTGATCATAGGTTTAACTCTCATTAGGGTTTTACATTTCGATCAAATATGTTAAAAAGCGCTTTTGCAGTAAGAGAGAAAGGAGATTTTTACCCAAAGCGTTTGAGGAATGATCTGTAAGCAGGTAATAATACTTCGGCAACAGCAAGTCTTAGTGACTCTCTTAACTCTGTGTCTGGAACTGTCCATTGAGATTGTCTCTGATGCAACTCATCAAACTGCATATTGAACATCTTGAACCTGTTCCATTTTTTTAAATATGATTTATCATCATTACCAAATATATTAACAATTCACAATTGTCTGCGCTTCTTTTTAGCTGTTTAAGCCTTACCTCTCTTTCAATAATCCTCGTGAAACTCCACTGCTGTTTCCTCCCTCTAAACTTCCTCCCCCAGATGAGGTTAAACCTTGCGCCGATGAGCATTGTAATATCTACAAAATATATGTAACAGTTTCTTAGTAACGATATAATGAAGATTCTATATAATAGTGTTTATTTAAAGAGTTAGACAAATAGAAAGAACCTTTGTCCAGGCAACCCTTTTGTATTGGTTTGCATGTTGCTGCACGATACGCCTATGTCTTTGAACCCAATCATCGCCTAGCAAATCCTTGGCTTCTGACCTGGAAAATTATCATATGAGTAAAGCCAACTACATCAACTGAGTGCCGGTTTTTTCTGTTTTAATAAACCCTGATCAGTCTTTAAGCGTGAAACTAAACAAACCTGCGCACAGATCTGACCATGTAATGAATGTTGTTCATCAGGAACAAGTGTGTCAATGCAGGATCTTTGTACTGTTTCGATTTTCCATCCAAGTTGTTTTGAAGTGCCTGCATTATCCGCATTGTTACAGATGCTAGCTGCGAATTTGAGTCATCTCCATTTCCAAATTCCAAGAAAAGTTGCTTCAATGTCGTTTGGTAGCTGCTACCAAAGATCATCAATTAAAGCGTGGAAAGAGACCATATGCAAATAGCATGATGAAGAAGAAGAAGAAGAATAAGAAAGAGATTCAAAGAAATTAGTTGGGTTAGTCCTAATCAAATCGACATATATGAGGTACTTACTCGAATAAGAACTTCACATAATTGATGACATAGCTTGTTAGTGGGTGGACGGTTCCATCTAGAACAGCAGTCTTTGTAGCATCTTTCTCAACAGCTTCTTCGAAATCACCAAATGTTTCCTGAGCAGTCTGCGCCAACCGCTTTGTCAAGCCCGTAGCAGAATCTCTAATTTCAAGGCATGCTTTACCTTTGAAAATTGTCTCAATCTGTCCATGGACACAAATTTCATGAGATTGTCACACCATCTAATGTTAACCATAAAGTGTAGCACAAACACTAACTGGTCATCAATTAATTCACACTTTATGTCGTCCTAGATAGCAAACTTTAACCACATATGTATCACAAAGTTTTTTCTATGTGTGCCATGCTGCTTATTATGGTGGGGATTTCAGTAGGACAATTACATGTCATCAATACTCAACAGCTCAAAACATATCTCACATGGGAAGAAAAACATTAAAGACAATCGACTTCCAAATATTACTCCTCAAGTAAACAAAGCAGCTAGGTTTGACACTCTAAGAAGTAAGTGGTGAACTCTATGCATAACTATGCAAACTGAACTTTTATGTCTAAATATTGTAAATCATTATATGTGTGTCAATAAAAACTAGACGTTTGCAGCATCCTATATTATAATATTTCACCTCACTAGCTTAAACAAATGTAATACATGTTTGAAGGTGAATCAAGTATGTACCAAAGTTCATAATACTGAAAACTGACAGTCTAAAGATCAGAAAAATCCACCAAAAGCTGAAACTACAAAATTATTTTTCCATTTAACAGAAGACTCTTCAGTAAATGTATGGCGACTTAATGATATTGATGAAAAAAATATTACCTCTGTATGAAGCTCCCGCATTATCTCATACATGTCTAAGAGTACAAACAACTTTTCTGGAGATCTCTTGCTCCTAGCTATAGCATCCCCAAAGCTAAGTAGCATTGAGACACTGCTCACTGTAACCTCTGCAAAACACTGATCACTTAGAGAATCGAAACCTCGAAATATCTGGTCACATACTTGCCTTTCTCCAGCAAAGAGTAATTTAACCTGTTGAAAATAATACCTCGAGTTAAAAGTCAACAGAACATGTTAAAATTATTTCAAACCTTAACTAGAGTTCTTACAGCAATGCGCATGAAATGGATCCAATTTCCAATTTTGGCCTCCAAAACTTCCCACTGCATCCTCTGAACATCCTCTTTGCTAAGTTTTTCAACTCCCAATTTCCTTAGGCTTTCTTCCAAGACAAAAGATCGTGTTTCTCTGAACAAAACACAAAAATTTGAACAGCAGGAGATTATAAACAAATTCAAAACACACAAATGCATCTTAAATATGCATTGGGAATATGCCATTAGATTATGCAGTCGCTGCTTAAATCTGACTATACTAGTAGTTGCGGTACATAGTTCATATGGAAGAATAAAAGCAAAGCTTCTCCAATGCATTACACGTATGAGAAAAACAGCATTGCATCTAGCAATAATTTTTTCAGATCAGCTAAGCACAAACAGCGGAGCGCACGATGTGCACATCACAGCCAAACTATTTGATATTCTTATAAGAACACACAGATATCAAAAACCCACGAAAATTTCCTAGGTGAGGGTGAATACAAATTCATATTTCAGAAACATTTCTCTCTAGCTTAACTAGTGAAACAGGACAAGGATGGTCAAATATAAACTCACGACTTGCAGAAACCATGGAAAAACTAGCTCTTAGTAAATGAGTGGTGACTGGTGAGCATTACAAATAAGCTAACTGTAAACCGTAATCGTTCAAAGCAACTATACCTTGACACAGTACTTTGACTCATGTTACAATTAGTAGTTGAAAGTTTAATCTAAGAGCCTGATTTGAAAATGAACTGTACGACACAGATGATGAATGACCAAGAATCAAAAGTTCACCTATAAATTTGTAGCAACTGTTGTTGGTGACCAGCCTGAACCATTTGCTGTGCCAAGTCATGCAAAAGTGGCAATACCCTTGACGGAATGAGGATTGGAAGTGTATAAGCTGCAGTTTCCGTGTCATCGTTGTGATGTCCTCCGTGGGGTTTTCCACCTCCATCACCGTCTGAGGATGGTCTCAGTGAGTTGGGAAGGCCATCAAATAGGCGATCAGGCTCCACGGCTTTACTGAATATAACAAAAAAAAAAGAGATGGCTTTAGCATTCTTCCATCTAAAACCAGTTGCCTGGAACACTCGTATCATAGGAAACTTGTATATTGACAAGTGTTTGTTTTCACAAAAAAAAATTTGCCAAGTGACAACTCCGATAATTTAGAAAGACCCATTCAACGATATTGCCTTTTTTTCTCCTGCTAAAAGTATTCTTGGTTATTTGCAAGAGAAGTAAAGAAGTAAGACCCTCATAGAGCGAATACCAGTTCCCGAAAAAACAATAACTAGAAAAGTAGCTAAAAATCCACAACTAGCAATGTTCCCTGAAGTTACAAGGTAGCCGGAGTCATGGTTATAGCATGCAAGAGCATCAAGTTTGAAAAAGTAACCATGTAGTTTCTTAAACTCTTATCAGGCACAGAAGCACAAACCTGTAAGAAGCTAGCAACTGCTTAAACTCTTCTTCCAGCTTTGACTGTGCTTTAGCAAGCAAGCTATTAGCATGGTTGAGAACTCCATCGCTACTCTTAAAGCTTTTGTTGCTCATAAAATAACGAATAATCTTTCTGAGTTGAGCAATTGCATCCAGATAACTTTCCAGGTCCTCATGTGGCCCCTTGAGTACTTTAGTCTCTGCCTAGAATTGAATTGAGAGCATAATCAGAAAACTAAACACATCTCTTCTCAATGTAGATCATTATCATTTATATCTATTTATACCAATCCATGTAAAACAAACCTGACGGAGGAGATCGAATTGAGACAAAATAACCTCAGCAGCCTTAAGAGTCCTATCAATATTCTCATGAGCTTTCCTTATAGCATGAGTTCTAATCTGAGATTTCAAAACACAGTCAAACCAAAATCCGATCAAGTCAGCAGAAATTCACACAGAAACAATCCCAGATCTGGATAGAATAACAATCAGAGAAGATGATCGGAGCTCTCTAAACCACACCTGAGTAGGACGCATGGCGGTTTCGAGAGCAGAGAGACGACTATCGAAGGAGCCGAGGATAGAAACAACATTATCGGTGATGGTTTGACTCTTCTGAAGAGATGCTCTCATCAACACAGCTCTTTCGCTGAGTAGATCCATTCTGCTATCAACAGCCATGGCAAAATTCCAAAACTGGAGAAATACTTTTTTGAGTTTTTCTCGTCGCCTTTCGAAAAATGGAAGTTGAAGAGAAAGAAAGAGAGACGACGACGGATGACTCGGTTTGGTTTGGTGGGTGACACAGCCGAGCCGGTTCAAAGCCAGCTAAGCGTTTTCTTTCCCCTTTTACTTAACCAGATTTTTGACCAGTCTCTTAAAATATTGACCTCTGTTTTAAATATTCTTACAACAAAATTATAGAAATAATTAAACTTCCATAATTTTTGTATTTCCATTAACCAATAATGTAATCTTCAAAAAATATATTCAGATGCTAACCATAATAACCCATATCTGATATTTATAGTCAGCTATGCTAAAGCATAATGTAAATTATCTCATAATTTTTCTTTGTTGTTTATTTTGTTACATTACATGTCTGTCGACAACATTTATAAGCATTGAGCAGTGTTGACATATCCAATAAAGGAACGTGGCCCACAAAATAAAAGGATATGGCCCGAACATGAAACAGCCCATTAAACACGGCTACCAATTTGTTTTTTTACACAAAGCCACTAACTATAGAAAATAACATTAGCGACCAAATATATATATATTTTTTTTTCAAATATTTCTCAGTAAATAAATGGCTTTCCAACAATTATAGATTAAGATTTTCTTAATGTCATGTATAATTTTATAACATACGAAACATAGCAAATATACTAACAAGAAGTGAAGGAAACACTTGACATTATATGTTGAAAACTAAAAAAAAAGAATTGACAAATGAGGATTGCTAGATGATCTTTATTTCCTACTCTAGCCTCTAGATTGACATTATATGTTGAAAAAAAGAATAAACATAGCCTCTAGATGATCTTTATTCTTTACTCAACTTGGCACTTTGGTGGGTCAATTTCGACAAAACAGTTCTATCCTCCAATAAATTGAAACAACACCAAACACACACATACACACAGAAATGTTTATATCTCAATTTAGTTACGATCATTTAAATGTTTACTAGAGGTGTAGATAATATTTTAAATTCAAAAGAAAATAAGAGAAAGAAAAAAAAGTTAGGCGAGCAAAACTGCAAAAGGGAGATGATATTCCTAAGATATCTTTTCTTTTCATGGCTTTTCCGTCACTCATTCTGTTCCTAAAACCGTGGACAATATTCTCATATTTCTATTTGGATATTTATCTATTTAGAGAAAAAATAGTTTCATATTTATTCATCTGCCGTTGAGTAACTTTTTATAGAAACATAAACCTTCTTGAAATATGTTTAATTATAAGAGGCATATTAAAGAAGACGACAAAATAAAAACAAATCAAAGCAAACGACGACAAAAAAGAATCATACTGTATAAAAAAAGTGTTTTGCCAAAAAAAAATGAAAAGAAAATCAAAGTGTTTTGACTGTTATTGACGTCACAATCGGAGAGTGGGAAACACGTCTCTTGAATACGCGCGTGAGATTTTGCACCGGGCGGAGGTGGGGTTTTGCAGGGGCTTGGCTGACAGCAACCAAGGCCTTGTTTGGGCTCCCATAATTCATTAACCATCACTGTTCGCCGACTCTTTAACAAAAAAAGTAGTTTGAAAAAGAATTTGTATTATAATAAAATTTGATTTCTATTTTTGAAATGATGCTCTAAGAAAAAGTGATTACAAAATAATTAGTTCCACTGGTGACTAAATTTTAATCATTGTAACTTTGTAAGTTTCAGATTATTACTTTTTTTTAACTTATTTTATTTTTTGGGAGCAATTATAGAGAAAATACAATGTAGCCAAAACAATGAAAACTTAAGTTATGACTAAAAAATGTGTATAACTAGTGACATATTGACGGTTTCAAAACATAAATAAATAGTTTTTATAGAAATAAAGTTCTCTTTTTACTGTATAGATACAAAATTAAAAATAAACATGAATTCCAACCACTCTTTCTAGGCGGTTTAATGAATCGTCTAATTTTTTTTTACTGTTTAAATTTGTTTGTTTGTCTAAAAAGTAAAAATAATGCTCATTCGCCTGTTACTATTGCTAATTTAAAACGCTAAAACCCCAATCGTGCCAATTGGTAGTCCACGTCTCCACGAAAACGGTTGGCCTCCAACCGCAGTGGCTGATGATACTTTCGTAATTTTGTTTAATAGATATGTCCATCGCAGCCGCGATTCCAAAACGCTAAACACACACGTCGACAAAAGAACCTGGAAACACAAAACAGAGACGTTTGAGTGAAGCAAAGTGTCGGAGAGAAGAAAGCAAAGAACAAACGTTACTGTCTCAGGTCCGTGTCTTGTCTTCTTCAAAAATCTCTCATTTACCAGTTCTCCTCTCTTTCTCCGTAAAGAATAAATCTTCCAGTTTCTTCATCACATTTCTTTTCCTTATTTTAATCTAAACATTTGTTTGCATCATTCACAGGCTAATAAAAATTCCCCCTTTTTCTTAGATCGCTACTACTTATAAAGTATATATATAGAAACAAGTGTGCAGATAGATGTAATTATCAACGAGGAAGCATCATTATCATTATCATTATCATCATTACAGCTTCATAGATTCATATTTTTTTTTCTAAAAGTTTGCTTTTTTAGTTGTTGGTGGTTAAGTAGGATTTGATTTGATCTTCTAGAATTACAGATCGAGAAACAGTTGAGCGAGAGATTAAGCAAATTTGAGTTATTTTAGAGAAAATGGGATCTTCTTCTGGGCAAAGTGGATACGATCTGTCTTTTAAGATCTTGTTGATTGGAGATTCTGGTGTTGGTAAAAGCAGTTTGCTTGTGAGCTTCATTTCCAGCTCTGTTGAAGATCTTGCTCCTACTATTGGTAAAATAGTTTCTTTAACTTGTTTTCTCTTTGATTCTCGAGAAAAGGTCTCAGATTTTTGTCTTAAGAGCTGAAATTGAGAATGAAGCTAAGTCATATCTTTTGTGCTTTGACTATTGATCAAATAGTAGTATTCTATATATGGAAGAGCTTGTATTTGATGATCATCTGTCTAATTTGTGTGGAATGATCTTTGATCGAATTGCCACTGTAACAATCTTGACTTTTTAGTAAGACCCAGTTAGATACTTTCTGTCTGATAATCTAGCAGTCTGGTCTTGGTTTGGTTTAAGGATATCTGTTTTGTCGGATCTTATTGGCACTATATTGTTGGTTTAACATAATCATTACTCATAGGTGTTGATTTCAAGATCAAACAATTGACAGTAGGAGGCAAAAGACTAAAACTCACAATCTGGGACACAGGTGATTGATTCTATATTTGAGATTTTAAAGTTTCAGGTTTCTAATGAAACTAATGGTTGTGATAATATTCTCTGTTTTCTCATTGTTAGCTGGACAGGAACGGTTTAGAACACTGACGAGCTCTTACTATAGAGGCGCCCAAGGAATCATTCTTGGTAATGTTCATCATCAATCATTCAATCACAGGAATAAAAGATCTCTTTATCTGTAAACTGTGTTTAGATAATGTGTCTTGGTGAATGCAGTTTATGATGTGACGAGAAGGGAGACATTTACAAACTTAGTAGATGTGTGGGGTAAGGAGATTGAGCTTTATTCCACAAACCACGAATGTGTAAGGATGCTCGTTGGGAACAAAGTCGATAGAGTGAGTTGCAATCGAAATCACAAAGCTTTTTCCCAAAACACGGTTTGGTCATTCGAAATTTTTCTTGATGAAACATATGATTACAGGAATCTGAGAGAGGAGTTAGCAGAGAAGAAGGGATTGCTCTAGCAAAAGAACTCAACTGCATGTTTCTTGAGTGTAGTGCTAGAACTCGACAAAACGTGGAACAGTGTTTCGAAGAGTTGGCTTTGAAGGTAAGATCCTTAAACCCGCAAGGAAAAACAAAACAATTCGGAAAGAGAGATTTATATATAACATAGAATGAATGTGATAAAACAGATAATGGAGGTACCTAGTCTCTTGGAAGAAGGATCAAGTGCTGTGAAGAGAAACATCTTGAAGCAGAAACCAGAACACCAGACTAATACTCAATCCGGCTGTTGCAGCTAGTGACCCGGGTCGATGTTGCATATAAAAAACTCGAATCTTTCTTTTGTGTATTGCAAACTGAACCTGATTCTTCTCTCTGCAGTTGCCTCTTTTGTGTGTAGAACATAATGTAGCTTCGATGTAAATTTGTGGGATTTTACTTGTATTCTTCTTTTGCTTCTGAAATGAGATTTGTGATAATAACATCATAATATAATAAACCCCATCCAGTGTTTTCTTAAATCCGTGTGTTTATTTTGACTCAAACAATGGATTCGAGTAGAGAACAGCATTCGAAGTGAATAAGATAAATCCTGATTTGAACAGTGAAGTCAGAGATATACACACACACTACAACAGTTTCATTTTTCATAAATTCAAAGTCTTTTTAACATAGTGTTTTGACCAACATAAGTCTTCCATATCAGGAAAGATCATTGTACAGGAATTATGGAGATAACAAATTAGACATAAAGATCACAACCATCAATGAGATTTCCTACTCGTTCTAGGTAACAACATGAGAATTATCTCTGATTTGAGACGTAAGAGATGAGAAAGATGGCCAGATACTAAAAAACCAGTGCAGGCGAAAAAGAGCAATCATACTCCTAAACGTAACTACAGCAAGCTGACTTCTCGGCTGTAGAAGATGATGAGGCAGTATCTTGTTTAGTGATCTTGATGCCTTGGGGCTGCAAAGCAACAAGAACAGTAGATATGTTTATTACTCAGCTATAATGTCGGTATAACAATATGTAGAGCGAGTATTACTGGTTGATTCCTGTAGTTCTTACCTCTGCTTTTGTATCGGTTTCTGTCAATCTTTGTTTTATGTCTTTTGCGATTGACATGAAAACATTTTCGACATTGAGGTTTGTTTTTGCACTCTGCAACAATTGTAATCACATCAGTAATCTCAAGAGCATATTAATGAAAAACAGCAGACATGTTCTGTTTATTTATCTAGCTCACCGTCTCAAAGAATTTGATTCCATACTCATCAGCCAAAGCTTGACCCTTTGCTGTTGGAACAGCCTGAACAAGAAGATCACAAATCAGTACACTAAAACTAAAGTCTTGAAAGTAACTATGCAACTAAAGATTACTTACCCTTTTGCTTTCATCCATATCAGCTTTGTTACCAACCAATATTTTGTTGACATTATCTGAGGCATGTTGCTCAATGTTCTTCATCCAGTTCCTAATATCTGTTGAAACAATCGTGTTCAATTGCCAGAAGTCTCACAATCCGATTTTCTCAATGTCATTGCAAAATAATAACAAGAAGAACAGAGAAGCAATAGACATACTGTTAAAAGATGACTCATCGGTTACATCGTAGACAAGCAATATACCCATTGCCCCCCTGTAATACGCTGAAAGTAAAACAAAAGGACCAAAACGCTTTAAAGGAAACTGCAGAAACAGATGAATTGCCTTTTACTTCTTAAAAGTATGAAAATACTCAAGTTATCATCAAGACAAGACTAGAGAACCAATCAACCGATGCAACAACATTAAAAATCCATCTTTTTACCTGTAGTAATAGTTCTGAAACGTTCTTGACCAGCAGTGTCCCAAATCTGCAATTTGATACGCTTCCCATCAAGTTCAACAGTTCTTATCTTGAAGTCAATTCTGTGAAAGTAGTAATACACAAACTTAGGCAACAAACAACAACATTTAGACAAATCTTGAAGTAAACAGAAGAAGACATACCCAATGGTAGTAATGAAACTTGTAGTGAAAGTATCATCAGAGAATCGAAGTAACAAACAACTCTTCCCCACACCTGAAACATACATATACACCAAAAAGAACAAATTTTGTCAACGAATTCCACAATTTCTACTACTAGTAGTAATTAGCACAAACAAATCAAAATCATAAAACCCTAATTAAGATCGGAAAAACAGACACGAAAAGATTTACTTCAGAAAATGAAATCAAACCCTTTTTGAGATTTTTCTTCTAATTGCTAATTTATCACAGAACATAGAAAACGAAGCTAACCGCTATCGCCGATGAGAAGAAGCTTGATGAGGTAATCATAGTCAGAACGAGCTCTTGCCGGCGCAACCGCCATCGTAGAAAAGAGAAAAAAGCTCACTAATTTATTGATCTCTTTGCTTCTCGGCAAAAACTAAACCCAACTCTGCTTCTTCTTCTTCTTTTTTTCCGACGAAAGATTGAAATTTTTATTTTCTGGAGACAGCAAAAAAAGGAAAAAGCTAATGGAATGCTTCCTTCCAATGTCGCTCGCTGAAGAAAACAAGTTGATTAGCTGCTGAAAAAAATTATTTTGCTGTATATTATTTTCATGTTTTTATACATTTTAGACCCGAAACTTTCAATATTTCTAATTGACCCCATAACTAATTTTGGTTAAGAGAATTGACACCTAAAATCCGATATGAAATTGAATGGAAAATGAGTTTTTTTTCCTTTACACTAAACCGTAAATCAAACGAGATAAATACCTTTATTTCTTTAATTTTGTTATAAATACTTAACCGGAATTAAAACTAAATCAAACCAAACCGGATAATACTCAATCTAAGAACCGGTTTAAATATTCATATTTAGGACTAGAGGTTGCTTAGTGGTTTAAAATGGACAAAGTCAAAATTTATAAAATGGTAAGAGTGAAGAGAGTAAAACAATTGGGGTGATTGTATGACATTTAGGAAAGTTCAGGGGGAAGAAAAAAAGGTAGGTTAGATATGATCAAGTGCGGTCGGTATACTGTACAACAGAAGGATAATGGAGTTTAAGGTGAGCTGTCAAGCAGTTAGTGGGTGAAAACGGTTGCTTCGCTGTATATACGTCGTACACTAGCGTAATCCAGCAAAGTATCCAATCATGCCAGAGTCTCTGTTACATGTGGCATGGTTCAAGAAAAAGTCAAATTATATAATTCATCCACACATATCTCTTAATCAAATTAAAAGTCGATATTTTTGTTTAATAATCCACTATGTACATATATACATTCATAAATATAGTCTTACGAATTCAACATTGAATTTGTCACGCCTCTTTGCGTAAAATGATGTATAAACGCCGTAGAAGATTTTATTTTCAAGATAATTCATAAAAGTGAAACATAATTATTTTATCCCACCCAAGTGAATGAGTAATCGTTGTCAATTACTCTACATGGGCTCGATGTTTTGATTTATTACAAATTTAGATAGACAGTTTGTAATTGTATATCAATTAAAAATGCGACAAGGACAGCATTAGTTATAAGTCTCACCGACGTTTTTGTTTAAAATTAACTAAACATAGTGCTATTACTTTAAATGGATAAAAATTTGAGGGCACCACTCTCGTTTTCAATTTTATGTTCTGAGCTTTTCGGAGCGATTATGGTTGCATTATATAATCCAATGTACTTGTAGAAGACATCGTTAATCACAATACCTCTTTTTATATCAATCGTTTTCGAACTTCCTTTATTTCTGTTTAAATGTTAGGAATATTCATTCGTTTTGTTAGTAGTAAGAAGTTGCACTTTCTCTACATATTATGCTCTTATTTTCAAAAGAAAGATATAGATGAGTCATTGACGAGTCATAGACTATATAAAGACATAACATGATCGATACAAAGATACCATTATACCATTAATGGTACGTAGAGCTCCTATTTCTAGAAGTGTTGTAGCATATATCAAATCACTAAGTTTGTAACAGTAGTTATAGTAGAACTATTAGTTTCCCATACTACATAACATGATCATGAAGATTCGTTTGTTACTACATAGTCTACATGAATGTCTTGTGATATATGTCAAAATTCTCAAGACATCGGTCAGTATATTATTGTATTTTCTAGTAAAAAAACACACTCGATCATCAAAATTTTCCATATTAGTCGAAGCTATGATCAAGTCACATCTACTGTATACTTCAACGTTGGACTCTCTAAACACGCTTTCAATCCGATTTTTAACGAGTTTTTTGTATAATAGTATAATACTGTAGATATATATGTAGTCTTTTGATTTACTCTAATGAAAATGATATATCTATTATTATATTATAAAAGAATCTGAAAAAACGAAAAACCCCAAACGGAAGTGAAGTGTATCCAAAGGAGTTAGTGGCGGCTAACAAACGAAGTGACTTTATGCGAAAGTCATCGTCACATGCTTCTTCCGTTCTCCAAGGAACATCCTCAGCATCTTTCATCATTCTCCCAAAGTTAAGTATTATGTACATACTTGTATATTATTGTGTATATATTGATGATTATTAGAAATGTGCTAAATGATGGAGCAATGAGTAGTTTCAAAGAATGAAATAATTTGAAGTTAATTCAATCAATGTCAAATTACAAGAATGAATAGACAATATTAATAAGAGAAGGGTTAATGTAATAAAAAGTAATTACAAGAACTACTTAATTAGTGATGACAATCAATCAAAGAATTGGACGCTGCCGCGAAGAGAAGAATCTGATCTTTGGACGCAAATGCGAATTTTGGTTTCTCGCAACATCGTTCATCTTCTGGTGCTGGAAGATTCAGATCTAACTGGAGAAAGTTCTTTGGCCGTATAGATTCTTCATGGTGATGATGACTTGATGATGATATCGCTGTTTTGATTGTTGAACTAGCGTTTGCGTTTATTGTTAAACCTCTATGTCTCCTCATATGACCTCCTAAGGCTTGTCCTGAAGAAAACTCGGCCTTGCAGATCGAACATTCATGTGTTTTCTCCGGTTTCTTGGTACCATCATTGCTAGTTACTTGTAGAGAAAGAAAGCTTCCTACCGCTCCTGCTTCCACCGTTTCAGCAGTAGACACAAACGCAGATTTCTTCTCGTCGCATTTGAAAACGCTTGCTCCGAGTTTGGGCTTCTTGTGGCTAGCCCTGTGGCCTCCTAGCGCTTGAAACGAATGGAAGCTTTTATCACACGTTTTGCACTGGTAAACACCGTCTAGCCCTAACCCTAGAGAAGCCACCGGTTTCTTGTTGCTAAAGAAACCCATTCTCTGCATCGACAAATGATCGCCACTGCTCTTTACTTGATGTCCTTGCGACAACAACATCAGACAATTCGCCATATCTTCATCTTCATCGGTAGCTCCTCGGAATTCTACTTCACCAGCAGCTTCTTCTTCTCTTACCTCCACTGATGATCGCTCACCGCTACAAACGCTGGATACTGCAGCTGCGTTCATCATAAGAGGAGACGCAGAACGCTGACGTTTGGTGCGTTTTCCCTTGATGAGGAGAACAAGACGCGCGTGGTCTCCACTCTCCTCAAGAACACTTGTCATGATCCCTCCGTTTTTGATTGGCTCTCTGTATTATCAAGAACACAAGAGATCGTATATGTATTTATGGAGAGAAGTATCAAAGAGTGTTTGGTTTGGTTTGTATTTGTTTATACACACAGTACTCTTGTGTGTATATATATATAATGAAATGGGTAAGAGAAAAGATGAGAAAAGAAGCAAACCCAAAATAACTTTTGGTGAAGGATTCCTTTCTGGAAGTTTTGGTTTGCAAGCCTGGAACCACTTGTTGTTCTCTTCTTGTTTTTATTTTTTCCCTTTCAATTTTTTAAATTATATTCTCTTTTTTTGGTTAACTTTTGTTTTGCTTGTCTTATGAATCACATAATTTTTTTTATGAGTATTTAATAACTTTTTATTAGTTAAATACTCATAAGCGTCCTTATGAATTCCATACACACACATTATTATAGCTAGTAACAAAAATGTGGAATATTCAATGTCAGCACTAATCTTAGAAGATTTTTTTTTTCTTCCTGAGAAGGAATTAAATCTGTTTTAGACTTTCTGTTCAAGAAGGGGTCATTCTACATTTTGAGTATAGCTTTTTCTTTTTTTTAATAAAAATATAAAATGAATTGCAATTTTTGACACTTGGAATGTTATGTATTATATTAAGAAGAAATCAAACTGGATTGCGTATTCTAAATATGTCACTCAATTTTGATATTTTTTTTTCAATTCTACATTATCATTAACTAAAATCCTAAAACTTTATAAATATCAATCTATAGTCCACATGTTTACTTAAGCCATCCACAAGTAGTTTCAACACGCAACACAGTACCACAACACACACAATTCAATGAGCAGCAAATTACAAACTTCTACAAACTTAAATTGACGTACTGTAATAAATTACATTTAAGATTTGAAGCCAACTAGTATGATATATATATATATATATATATATATATATAAGCTATTAAAATGCAAATTTAACTTGAAAATACGTCGACTTCTAATTTGTTTATCAATACTACTAATCATTGTGGATTTATATGTACACTGAACTTAACTTGCTGATTAAATAATTAAGTTAATTGATTGGAAAGTAAAAGGCAATCGAATTTTGGGGTCGAGCAGTTCATGTGCAGTTGAGCCAACCCACAATTACACAACACACAATTATGAATCATGATCCTAGTTATGTACAATATTTAATTACAATATCACTCCCTATGTTTGCGCCTCTTTCTAAGAAACATTGATTTTTATTTTGGTCATCCAATTATTTGATCAAACCATTATTAATCTTGTGATTAGCTAATAATTAATATGTATTCGGTGAAGTAACCTCCCTTATAGTAGTTTGTTAAATATTTTGTAATAATGTGTAACTGTAGTCTAGGTCTTTGTAGTATACCAATAACTCGGTGGCAGCAATCTATTTTAATATTCATGCTACATAATTCGATAGAAAATTCTGCAAAAGTAAGCAAAATAATGAGTTTCTTAGAGCTGGATTGATATATATCCAACTTTTTACTCATTCAACTCTATATTACAAATTAGTTGTCCTTGGCTCTCTCTATAATTATTTCTTGCTAACGTGTTATAAATATATAATAGATTATTAAGAAGAATATTTTTGAGTGTATTGTGAAGCTAGTATCACAATATTAAAATCATATAGTATTAAAAATAATCGAATGTAGAAGGAATTGATTTGAAGTCTTGGCGTCGAGGATTGTGTGTGTATGTGAAAGAGAGAGAGAGAGAATTGCTTGGCCGCCAAAAGAAGCCATTACTTGCCAACTAGCTAGCTTCACTACTCACCCTAAGCAAAGCATATATATATACTTTTTTTTAATTCATCAACATAATTAGTCATCCATCATATATTCATCACCATCCTAACAAAACCGTTTTTGCAAGACTTGTCAGAAACCGTTAAGTAGTGGTTGCAACTTGCAAGGATCACCTAGACAAAGAGTATTGGACATTACCAATGTTTGTTATAATTGTTTACTAGCTGCTCAATATATGTTTTGTGTATATTTACATCGTTATCCAAATAATTATAACAAACATAGATCACTCATTTTATAAACATTTATAAACATAGATCTCTCATTTTATAAATATTTTACTCAAATAAAATTATGTTGATGACTTGATGATTCAAATATGTTTATGCTTCACGAGGAATAAGAAGATTATGACTATATGGGCTTAACGCAGGCATGAACTAAATTCAAGGCCCAAATAATTTTGCATTAAACCGAACCGTTCGATTGAACCAAGTTAAACCAAGAATTTTTACGAGAAACCCAAACCATTATTGTCACTTTGTTTTTTCCTCTTGCTCTGAGCCATCGTCTTCTTCTTCAGAGCTAACATCAAAAAAGCTTCTTCGATCTTCTTCCTCGTGTGGTTTCCATTTCGATTCGTCATTCCGAAAAGGTTCGTGTCTATGTTAAACCCTAGTTTCTCCCTTTTAATTGATCATTCGAATGAAGTCTTAGATTTGGGATTGAATCGTTCGTTGCATCGATTAGAAACCCTAATTGTTGGAATCTGTTGCTGATTTTGCTTAGTTTGTACAGACTAATGGCTACAGCTACGTATCCACCTCCTCCACCGTATTACAGACTCTACAAGGATTACTCAGAAAACCCTAACTCTGCTCCTGAACCTCCTCCTCCCATTGAAGGCACCTACGTTTGTTTCGGAGGCAACTATACTGTGAGATTCCTCTGTTTCCTTCACATTTTTCCCCCTCTTGAAAATCTTCATCTTCATTGGTTATTTGGTTTTAACATTTTTCAACTTTTTGGTTAGTAGACTGAAGATGTTCTTCCAAGCTTAGAAGAACAAGGAGTGCCTCAACTTTATCCCAAAGATTCTAATGTTGGTATGTCATTTTCCTAACTCTGTGATATCAAACTCAAAATGAAATTGCTATTGGCTTTCTTGTGTATGGTTTTGTTCAGTCCCTTAATCGGAATCAAACTTATTACATGAGTTCATTTGCAAGTTATGTTCTTTAAAAGTGCCTCTTTCTAGAGTATGGTTTTTCACTTCATTGGAATCAAACTTATATTACCATGATCTTTGAAAGTCGCCTCTTTGTTTTGTTGAAGAAAAGTTTCAAATATATTGTGTGTAGATTACAAGAAGGAACTCAGGTCGTTGAATAGAGAACTACAGTTACATATACTGGAGCTTGCTGATGTTCTTGTTGATAGACCTTCTCAATATGCAAAGAGGATTGGTGAAATTTCTTCAATCTTCAAGAATTTGCATCACCTTCTCAATTCCTTGAGGCCTCACCAAGTAAAGAAGATCCCATCTTTGTTTTATTTACAACATTGGTTTCATTGGTTTTTGTTTCATTGTTTTGATCTTATCTTATGTCCAGGCGAGAGCAACGCTTATTCACATTATGGAACTTCAAATTCAACAGAGGAAACAAGCTGTGGAGGACATTAAGAGGTTTGTATATGCTTTTTTTAAGTTCTGTCTTAGTGGTGTGCCAATATCAATCTATCATATGTTTAAAAATTCTTCAGAAGCTTTTTAGTAGTTCTTATGATGGGTCCGTTTGATGTTTTGGTTGTGTGCAGGAGAAGAGAAGAAGCACAACGACTTCTAAAGGATGCTTTCGTCACTTTGGATGGATAATAAAGTGTTTTTTTTTTAAAACCCATTTTGTGTAAATTAGCGCTAATAATAACCTTTGCCCTCGAAACTCATTTTGATTGTGTTTAGTTTGGCAATCAACCAATACACTGTAAGATCCTGTGTGTGTGTGAGAGAGAGAGAGACAGACGTGTGCAATCTCGCGATTCAACAAGTAAGCAGTGTGGTTACTTCTCTTGATACTAATTGATGTAACGGCAAAAGTTTCTCTAGTTTAGTTTAGATGGTGAGGAGTAAAACATAGATTTAGTAAGCCTCAAACTTGGAATTAAACAGACGATCAAAATTCAAAAGTATGCACTTAATTTTGTTCATGAGCGTGTAACACAAAGCTACACTAAGAAGTATTACATGAGAATACTCTCAAAATTCTGGCAACTCTTTCCACGAGCTAGTAGAAAGATTTAGAGGTTGTCATGTGTGTCAAATATCCTAAGTCATGCACATCTCCTAAGTGTATATGACTTTTCTTTCATTGGTCAATAATAATTGGTGGTTAATGGGGCTGTAAAGCAAGCTTTAAATATATATTAAAATAAAAAACTTTCCTACAGAATAATTTATGGTCTAGTGGTTATCACTCCGCGGTACAGAGGGTTTCCGGGTTCGATGCTCCATAGCGTTTCCCCAACTTTTTTTTTTAATACTTTTTCAATTGCTTTGGAATTAGAAGACTAAAGATTTCTCGCTCCCTTATTTAACCTTTTAATGGTCTTTAAATTGGTTGATCAAAATCACATCGTCAAATTATAAAAAAATGTTAATTCTAAAACAAATCCAGCAATAAATTAGTAGTTATTAGTTCATTTTTTTAAAGGGTTAAATAAGGAAGCAAGAATATTCAAAATTAAGAATTTATCATTAATATATATACCTGTCCAAGAAAGGAATGTAGTTATTGTTAGTATTATTTAAATCTTGCCATAAGGTAAACAAGACGATATTGCAAAATAATTTATCATTAATTCTCTCTCATCGGCGGATTTTAATGTCTGTGGTTCGATCTTCCTCAGCACAAGACTATAATATTCTTGTTTCCTTATTTAAACCCTTTTGTCCTTTTTAATGTTTCAAATTGGCTTATAAATACCGTCTCACTACCTTTTTAATGTTTTAAATTGGCTAATAAGAATATATAAGAAATTTTTTTATAAATATATAGATATTTTTGAATGGGATCCACACTAATCTCATCTATAGATTCAAGAAATTAAGCTTAACCAAAGTTGGAGAGAAAAAAAAAACATATCACAAGTAGAATTTGAGAAACAGTATTTTAAATATTTATCAAACGGTTAATCCTAAACATCTAAATACTGTTTAGGAGTATTAATTAAATCTTGCCCAAGACTATTTTCGGAAAATTTGTTGACTTAAATCTTTAAGCAGAATATCAAATAATAAAAAGAATTGACAGCGGCGTAATCAGGGAAATCATAGTTTAGGTCCTAAACTTTAGGAGTATCAAAAGATTTAATTGTCATCATTAATATCAATAATTTGTTTTTCAAAAGTATGAATTGAAATAAATACAAACACCTTTTAAACGAAAAAGAAAAGAAAGAATAATAAATACATACACCTTGCCCAAGAAAGTAACGCACCAGTCGTTGTTAATGTTAATTAAACCATGCCGTAATACAGAAGTCGTCGAAGACTATTTTCCGTAATTTATTATTAAGCTACCGAGATCCATCTTATTTTATTAATTTAAAATAAAAAGAAATAATTTAAAATGGTGGATATTTAAACGAAGGAGTCTCCCGAATAGTTATTTTTTTGAAAAGTATTTCCTCTTTTGGTTTAGTTTTTTCACTCTCTTCCCTCCGACGGGACTTTCTTCTTCGAGAGGATGGAAGCGATTTCTGGTTCCGTTAGAAAGCTTATTTTTTTACTATTTTTTCACACATATATAATGTCTCAGTTAGATCTAGGGCAAACTCTCCTTCATTTTCCAATTGACGGCAAAGGTGAGTTCTTTCATCTCTCTGGTGTCTCTGTTTTGGGTTGATGTTCTTGTGTGCTTCAATTTCTAGCTGTTACAATGTGGGTTTCTTATGTCTGTCTTGCAGAACCAGCATCCCTCCAGGAACTTCCTGTGTTGATTATCCTTGCTCTTAGATTTAACGGAACAAGAGTCGGTCTTCCTCACATCAACTTCCTTCTGGTTTGATTCTGGTAACAGGTGAGTTCTATAAACTCCTTAGTGTTGGTTTTCTTGTTTATTTCGTGAGACTAGTAATAGCTGCTTGCTTGATTCAGGTTTCATGGCAAAAGACAGATCCTATTGGTCTCATAGACAAAAGCAGCGTCGAAAACTTCTCCGAAAGGTCTTGTATCAAGTATGGGATGCATGCTGGGCAATTGCTCCAGCAAGACATTTAGACGCTCTGTTTAGGAAGCATAGACTTTTAGGGGCTCGTGAGGAATTGTCGATTCAAGAAATTATTGATAGGATGCCTAGGGGTGCATTAGAGAATCGTCGTCTTACGAATTATGATGCGTTGATAAACATTCTCAAGGAAGGAACAGTATTAGAGAGTGAGAATCCATTGAATTATGGATTTGCAGAGGAAAGTACTGAAGCTGCAAATGTCCGAATGTACAAAGCTTTAGAGGTCAATTTGTACAAGTCTGAGGAGTGTGATGATGGTGATTATGATAAGCTGCTTGAGAAAAGTATCAGAAATTCACCAATAGCAGCACGCCTTGTTCTGGTTAATGACGATTATGAGGCTATTAAAGGAAAATCAATCTATCTTCCAGATCCATTAGCACCTGAGGATGCAGGACATCTATTGTTGCTTACCGGGTTTGGAGTTGATGCAAATGGCATAGAGTTTTGGGAGGCGCAGGATTCTTATGGACGGAAGCATGGAGATGGCGGGTATATAAGGATAGCTAGAAAACAAAACTTGATCTCGGATTTCTTTGTGATGGAAATTGAAACAGAACCAGAAGCTTGAGGTAATTATTTGATAAATCCCTATTTTCAATTCCAGTCCTCAACTGTCTTTAAAGTTTTATCAGATAATTCGGTTGTTTATGATATTCAAAACTCAATTGCATCTTTGTTTATGGGAAATGAATAGTTCAATTAATTTGCATAATCATGTTGACCAGATTACTGACAAATCTTTTATATGTTGCAGGTAACTCTTTAATGCTTGGATCAGGTCTTCTGATCTTTCATAGGTTTTAAAACTCTGTGTAACCAGTAGTAAGTAAGTCTATTAGGAGATCGATAAGGCTCTGACATTTCTTAGGTTTGAGTTGTTTTTAAGATCAAAATCATATTCTGCAAATGTAAGCTGCTTCAAAGTTTGTCGGTGTATTGAATCTAATCACTCTTAATTCTGACAAGCTTTGGTTTGCATTAAAAATGATGACTCTTTCATTTCCGGTTGAATTACATTTGACAAAAAGTTTTCCTCTCAAACTAGCCATTTGATTCTTGTTTGGAGCCTCCAAATTTGTAGAACTCAATACATAAGTAACAAGGGTTTCTGATAACACATCATGTGGAGCAGAAGAGTCCAGTCCAGGTATTCTACTTTCTAGATTCCCTATGTGATGCACATTTGGTGGAAACACAATACATCCCTCTTCATTTTCTGGAATGAAACATGAGATGAAGCTGATAAGCCCGTTGCAAGAAGTGCATCTTCGGCTGGAAACATATGCTGGTCCTCATGATCAGCACAGAGTTCTTCACCTTCCTGTTATTGGTGAGATAAAAAAGCACAATTCAATCTTAAGGACTAGAAAGCAAAACCAAAACAAGGAACATATATAATGCAGTAAAATATAACAGATACAAATACTATCGAGCAAAGAGGAGGCAAGGGATCGAATATCATGTAGAAGACCCACGATCAAGTCTACAACTACATTATATTAAAGAAGTACCATCAGGACTTGCGAGTCCGACTTGATGTGACCTGCCAATATTTTACGGGACCAAGCCTCCTTGAGGGATGCTCTTACCGCTAACGCTTCACCCGTAAGAGCGGAGATAACATGTGAAGATGAGGCAGAGCCTATAAAAACAGAGGTGCCATAAAGGTTCCTGCCAATCCAGCCCATTCCACATTGGTGGCTACCCTCATTCCAAGCAGCATCAGTTTCAATTTGGATCGAGTCAGCAGTAGGTAAGACATAACCGCGGGTCTCTGCAATAACCTGCGGAGATGGTCGTCCAGGTGGAACTAAGTCCAAATGTGCTAGTTGCCAGTTCCTAGCATCTTGAATGGCTTTGAGAGTAACTTCATCTTCAGCACAATTTTTTCTGATACAAAAAAAGCTAACTTAATACATCTAACCATCTGATCAATAAATCATTAAAATTCAACTTCATAACTTCGTTCGTACCTGACATTCATAAATAACGTCTCCGTCGACACTTCTTTTTGGCCTTATCAAACCAATGAGTCAAATATTGTTTCCAATTAATACAATCAATATACAAGACGAATATTTGACCTAACATTCATCAATCAATATACTATAAGATTTTAAGTCAAATATATACTATAAGATATGAAATGCGATTCCTTTATGACTTATAACTAGAATTCAACACAAAAAAAATTGGCAGCTAAAGCTCATAAGTATTATGGGAAGACAATGAGGTTTGCAGAACTGATGCGTCCCGCTCTGTACAATTGCTATTCCTCTCCCTTCACCATTCCTTGCTTTTGTTTCATCCAAAGTTACCAAATCAACTCTTTAAACTTAGATGTTAAACTTAGTTGTGTAATAACGGTGTTAGAATCCTCTATAATACACACATATTCTTGTATCCTTGAGTAAAAAAGTAATTGTGAATTTCAAGGAAAGACCTGTTGCGAAGAGATGTTTTTTTTGTCGATAACAGTGGGGTTCACGAGTATGTGATCTCAAGGAAAAACGTAAGTTCTAGAAGAAAATAAATGTTGCATTGTAACACTGAAAGCATATAACGTTACTGCGCGTACTATTTTTTAAACATCCAGAGAAAGACATATCATACATGCATGGGTGATGATGAATAAGCTTACTTTTAACATGCAGACAAAAACAAAAGAAAAGCCGAAGTAATTAAGAGAAAATAAAGGTAGCATTATCACAGTTATGAACACGAAAGAGGTTTCTCTTCTCCTAAGAGAGAAGAGAGAGCCTTCTACTTCTCCATGTACATATTCATCTTAGTCTTCATCTTGTGCATCGTCTTTTTCTTCTCCATCTCCATCATCATCTTCTTCTTCTTCATCTCCATCTCCACCTTCTTCTTCTTCTTCTTCTTCTTCTCCTTCTCCTTCTCCTTCTCCTTCTCCTTCTCCTTCTCCTTCTCCTTCTCCTTCTCCTTCTCCTTCTCCTTCTCTGTCTCCTTCTCTGTCTCCTTCTCCATCTTCTTCTTCTTCTTAGCTTCCTCAAGTAAAATACCTAATATAAAGTATAAACAAGGAAACTAATGAGAGGATTTAATTTGTTACCAGGAATAAAGAATGAGGAAGCAAGAGCAAATTTATGTACTTGGGAGAGTGTAGCCAGTAGTAGTGCAGGCGAGCGGCCTTCTTTTTTTTAGGATATCGGGTCGCGGCACAACAGGTTCAACTACAAGAGTCCTTCCTCCCATGTTACATCGACTTAGTTCCAGCGCCTTGTCTACACATCTTTCTCCTTTAAGACACAGGAAAGCTGCACCGCTGCAAAATTCAACAGAGACAGAGAGTCTTTTAGTTATATAATTCAATAACTTTTGAGAGTTGGGGAAAAAAATCACAAATTGGAGGAAGAAAGAAGCCACAAACCTAGAGAGAACTATAACTTTCGAGACGTATCCACATGAGGAGAAATGTTTACACAGCGCGATCTGCATATCAATCTCAGGAAGCGAAGTGTCATATCCGGTAACGCGGATCCTAAAATAAATAATTTGATTTAAGGAGATAAATGTTATTAACATGACAAGCTAAAAAAATAAAAATATTGATTGCAGGAGATAATATAACCAAAATGTACCTGTGTGTTTTGGTATCCGCGGGAGCAGCAGCACACCTAGGACCAGCATACCAAGGATCATCCATGAATACTTTCTGAGAGGGTGCAGGCTTAACGATAGCAGTCCATCCTCCGACGTCAGTTCCACTAAGTTGCAATGCCTTGTCTTCGGCATTTTCTCCCAAGATCCTCATGAAGGCAACACTGTACGTAAAAACAAAGATTAGTATGAGAGTTAGCACATAGCAGAATTAAACATGAGAGCTGGGAGGGAAGAAGCCACAAATTAAACCTCTTGAGGATACCCCTTTCAAAGTCTGTGGGTACATAAATAACGTCGATCTCTCCGCATGAAGCAAAATGTTTTTCCAACACGAGTTTGAGAGGATACTTTCGAAGCCAAGTGTCATATCCCTCAACGGAAACTGTCGTGCTGGTGCTACTGCAACAATTTGATTTTGATTGCAGGTATAGATAATATTATGATCAACAACAAGAATTTCCCACAATATATATGTAAATAAATTTACCGGGGAGTTTGAGAGTCTGCACCACTATCGTCACCACTATCGTCACCACTATCGTCACCACTATCGTTCAATTCCAGCAAATTCAGACCCTAAGGTACAACAGAAGATCTAATCAGAAATTCTACTAACTTCATAATATTGAGAAACAGAGGTTAAGGAGTAAGAAGAAAATCCATAAGGAGAAGAAGATTACTTTGATGGCGGATTCGTCCATGGTAATAAGTAGACAAGAGCGACTGCTAGGGTTCCAGAGATATTTTTCAGATCTAGGGATTTAGCTTTGAACAAGTTTTTTTTTTTTTTATTCTGGTTTGGGACAATCCTTTCGTGTATATAATATAAGTTACGAACAAACTGTTGGGCCTTGAATCTAGTTCAGGCCTGCGTTAAGCCCATATATTCCTAATCTTCTTATTCACCCAAGAGGGTAGCATAAACATATTTCTTGAGCCGTTGAGGGATTTTTCCTATACGGGGGAAGATTCACTTTCCACCTATATGAACCACTTTATATATTTTATAAAATATTGGTATTCGGTTGTCTAAGGATGGTGATGAATTAAAAAAAAACTATATATGCTTTGCTTAGGGTGAGTAGTGAAGCTAGCTAGTTGGCAAGTAATGGCTTCTTTTGGCGGCCAAGCAATTCTCTCCCTCTCTCTTTCACATACACACACAATCCTCGACGCCAAGACTTAAATCAATTCCTCCTAAATTATTCATTTTAAAATTGTGATGATACTAGCTTCACAATACACTCAAAAATATTCTTCTTAATAATCTGTTTATATTTGTAATAACACGTTAGCAAGAAATAATCATAGAGAGCTTGGACAACTAATATGTAATAGAGTTGAATGAGTGTAAAAAGTTGGATATCAGTCCCGCTATAAGAAACTCGTTATTTTGCTTACTTTTGTAGAATTCCTATCGAATTATGTAGTGCATATTAAATAACATGTTTTCTGAATTTTATAGATTGTTGCCACCGAGTTATTTGGTATACTACAACGGTTTCTCCTTCTTTTTAATTATCCCACAGCAAATCCCTCAACGGCTCTAGAAATTTGTTTATGCTTCAGGAACCCTCTTGGGGAATAAGGAGATTAATTAGGATTATATGGGTTTAGAGATGTGAAAAAGAGACTATATTGGCTTAAACGCAGGCCTAAACTAGAATTAAGGCCAAACTGTTTCGTAACTATCATGTACACGAAAGGATTATGTCCCAAACCAGAATAAATCTTCTGGCGCCGTTTCTTCGATCTTCTTCCTCTTGTGGTTACCAATTCGATTCTTCATTCCCAAAAGGTTCTTGTCGATGTAAACCCTATTTTTTCCCTTTTAATTGTTACACAGAATCATTAGAATGATATCTTAAATTTCGGATTGAATCGTTCGTTCATTCCATCAATTAGGAAACCCTAATTTTAGGAATCTGTTACTGATTTTGCTTAGTTTGTGATTTGGATCTGTAGAGAATAATGGATAAAAAAGCCAAGAAACCTTTCTACACAAACGAAATCACCTTAATATATAAAAGATTGATACAAACTTGTCAAATGCAACCACTTTCCTACATCAAGGATCACATTTTTCAGCAGGGAAAAAAGTGATGTATGATATGAATCCACAATAAGCCCAAAAAGAATACCCAAAAATGTATCCAATACAACCAAATTCAGAGAAGAAGATACTACGTACTGTGATCAAAGTTAAGCCACCAATCGTGTTTCCCAGACAAGAAGTAAATTCTGTAAGAAGACCAAAAGATGTTGCGGAAGGGATCATAAACATTTCTCCTCGTCAAATTCAAAACACAAATTATCGCGCAAAAAAAAAAAAAATTCCCGATTAGACTTAGACAATTCCTCAACAACAACAAAATGGAAACCACGGTATCCTAGAGGAAAATATCCCTAGAATAAAATAAGGAAAGAAAAAAAAACCATCTTCAAACCTAAATCCCTAGATCTCAAAAATATCTTTGGAACCCTAGCAGTCGCTCTCTTCATGGACGAATCCGCCATCAAAGTAATCTTCTTCTCCTGATGGATTCTCTTCTTACTCACTCTTTGCTTTAATCTCTGTTTCTCTATTAATGTTTTTGTTCGTTCACAAGAAAGTACGCGTAGTAGAATTTCTGATTAAATCTTCTTTTGTAACTTAGGGTCTGAAATTGCTGGAATTGAACGATAGTGGTGCAAAAAACCGGTAAATTTATTTTCATTTGTATTTTGGGGAATTTTTGTCTGTGTTGATCATTGTATTAACTCGTGCAATCAAAAATCAAATTGTTCCTGGTAGCACTAGGACGACGATTTCCGTGGAGGGATATGACACTAGGCTTCATGAATATTCTCTCAAGCTCGCGTTGGAAAAACATTTCGCTTCATGCGGAAAAATGGGATATATTTATGTTCCCAAAGACTTTAAAAGGGGTACCCTGAAGAGGTACTTTGTGGCTCCCCCCGGCTCTCATCTTGAGTCTGCTGGTAACTAACTCGTTCGTTCGTTTTACAGTGTTTCCTTCATGAGGATGGAGGGAGAAGATGTCGAATACAAGGCATTGCAGCTTAGTGGAACTGACCTCGGAGGATGGACTGCAATCGTTAAGGCTGCACCGTCGCAGAAAGAATTCATGGATCCTTGGTGTGCTGCTACCGCTACGAGACCTAAACAAGAAGTACGCAGGTAAATTTGGATAATATTATCATTCTGCAATCAAATTATTGTTATTTAGCATGTTAATTCTTGTGTATCTGTATAAGATGTCATTTCTCTCCTGCAATCAAATTATTATTTAGGGTCCACGTTACCGGATGTGACCCTTCACTTCCTAAGATTGATATCCAGATGGCGCTGTGTAAACATTTCTCTTCATGTGGAGAGGTCACGCAAGTTCGGGTTCTCCCTAGGTTTGTCGCTTCTTTCTTCCTCCAATCTGTCCCAGCTCTCAAGTTATTGATGCTAACTAAAGACTTTGTCTCTGTTGAATTTACAGCGGTGAAGCTTCCATTTATCTTAAAGGAGAAAGATGTGTAGACAAGGCCCTTAAACTAAGGGGATGTAACATGGGAAGAATGAATCTTGTAGTTGAACCTGTTCTGCTGCAACCAGGAAACGAAAAAAAAAGAAGGGCGCGGACCTGCACTACTGTTGGCTATACGCCCTAGAGCATCTCCAAAGGGAGGTTGTCTCCACTTTTTTGATGAGTTCTCTTCTTTTATTTGATCAAAAATAATTCAAAATTGAGTAAACAAGAGAGAATCGCCTCTCTTTAAGAGAACTAGGGCGAAACCCGCGCTACGCCGCGGGGTATTTCTTTTAAAAATATGTTTGAATCTCTGAGAATTAAGAAACTAATCTTGTTTAGTCTAGAATTATGGTCTATTACTTAGTCTTCTTTTAAGAGAAGCAAGATGTTTAGTGAGTTTAATGTAGAGTTTAGACGTAGCTGTTTTGAGTAGTATTTTCCGTTAATATTTATGTTGGAGACTATGAATCGCATTGAAAATATTTACCATAGTCTTTCATCTTTTAAAATTAATTTTTAACCATTAGATCACATTATTTAGTTATAACGATAATTTAATAATTTGTTTGATACCTTAATTTTTTATATTAAATAATTCTTCCAAATATGCTATGCCTATTTCTTTTTAGATTTTGTAAAATTTTGGATTCTTACAATTAAACAAAAATCTATAAAACTAATTCATTGTGTGAACATAAATCTTAATGAACACCACAACATCTAAAGTTCTAAACAATAAGTGAAGCGAAACCTAAAAGACCAATGTTCATAACACGTAGTACTCACATTGGGCCTTATAGAAGCCAAACTGGCCCAATCTTAATGAAACGTGGCTGACTCCCTCGGCCTGACTGAACCAGAGACCCGTAGTCTTATCGTCGTCGTCTACTCTTCTACTCACATTGTCGTCGTCTCTCTACCTCGTCTCTCACCAAGATCTTTAACTCTATCTTTGCTTAGAGTCAACAGAATTTCAGACCACAAAGATATTCTCGTCTTAGAGTCCCCAGAATTTCAGACCACAAAGCTATTCTTCTCAGCTTAAAGTCAGCAGATTCTGAGACACCAAAGCTTCTTCTCAGCTCAAAGTCCCTTTGTTTCAATCTACTCATCTCTTTCGGGGAATCGGTCAGTTTCAGTAAATTTTGATTTTTTGTTGATTTAACAAACCGTAGAAGAAGGTCATACCTTCTGATTCCTCACCGCTTGACCTTTAACAGTATCTTCACCTTTATCACGCTTCAAGTTCTTCAAGATATCCCTATACCAGGAACACGCATATTACACAAAGAACATTCTTTTGTCTCTCAATCATTCATTTAAAATTAAAGGATGCAACAGAATTAAGACAGAGTATTTGACAAAAACTTTTAACAAAAGTCTGTTCTTTTCCTTTAAACGTATAGATTTTCTACTAATCAAGAATAAATCCAATTGCTATAATGAGTTTGAACCTACTTCTAAATCTAGCCAACACTCTTGTTTATGCTCTAGATTAAACAGTTGAAACTTCAATAAGACTATCTACCGTTTCTAGAAAGAAACACATACAAGAATTCACTATGTTAGAAATAACAGTATTAAAAACTTATTAGTTCAAATGAAATCTTACTGTTCTTGTGAACGAAGCTCCATGTACTCTTTCTCAAGCTCTTCCATCTGAGCATCTTTATTGTCATCATTACCTTCATCGCCACTCTCACTCTCTTTATCATTCCCATCTTCAAAGTCCTCGCTTTCTCCATCCTCGTCTTCCTTGTTATCTCCTTCATCATATTCCTCGCTATCTCCTTCATCATCTTCCTCACTCTCTCCCTCATCATCTTCCATGCTATCTACTTCATCATCCTCTATCCCATCAGGTAATTGATCATCTTCATTGTCGCTTTCGACCTATAATAGAGAACCCTCAACAAAATAAATTCACCTTAACATTATAACAAAAAACCAAAAATCACCTACACCATCTAAATAACTTAAACGAGACAAAAGCAACAAAAACACACCTTAAGGTTTTCTTGGTCGCTTATGTCTTCCGATTCACTGTCATTAAGTCTTGCTCTTTTAGTCCTCTTTGATCCCCTTAAACACTCTTAATGCTGCAATAACGAATTAACTAATCAATTGAGGGAGGAGAAACTATTATATAGTGCATTAAGCAAAAAAAAAATTGAAACAAAGAAAGAAGGACCAAAGATAGAGACAATGACGAGTTTAAGAAAAGTTGGATTTCTGGGTACGATTTTTCAGGAGGAGAAACGATTAAACAAAAAAAGGGAGACACTTTGAGCAAGATTTGGGCTGGAAAGAGAATTGGGCTGGAAAGATGTTTTTTAGTTTTTTTTTATCAACTAAGTGGGTTATTAAGTGGGCTTTTACTTTTGTTGGATCTAAACTTGAAAGATAGTGAGGTGGAAAAATAGGATGATGTTATTGGAAGAAAAACATGAGCTGTATTATTTGAAATGTTCTGATTGGGTATTGATTTTAACTGAGGTGTCACCTCCAGAACACTTCAAAAAGCTGAGGTGTCAGCACTGGAGAGACTTCTGCTGTTTTTATTGTATTGATTTTGAGATTTTTAGAGAGGCGGACACGTGTCGTTGATTGTATGGAGGAAGCATTTTAACAAAAGAAAAAAAAACTCTCATTTTTTTTTGGTCGTTTCTCTCTCTCGACAAAAATAAGAAACACCAATTCTCTCTCTCTCGCGATTGCGATCAAAGTTTCCGATGAATCGGCTCCAACCATAGCCACACCGATTTGATTATCTCATCGCTCCTTTCGTTTCCAGATTCTTCCACCATCTCCATTAGCTGTTCCTTCGATCGAGTCCTTGATAGAGCTCTCGCCTCCGCTTCCACTGATGAATCCGTTCAGGATCGTCTCGTCGATCGCACTCTCGAACTCGCATCGCTTCTTCTCGATTCCACTAAACGATGTTTCCGGAAGCGAGCTTCTGTTCACAATTCCAATTCATGGTTCTTTCCTCCAGAACTTACCATTAAGGTAACAACAACAAACAACTTGGGAAATTTTGCTCTGTCTTTGTATTGAATCTAGAGGCGATGATGTTTTAGGTATCTGATCTCTCTATTGATGCAATCAATTGAGGATTCTGAAATTATGCATTGTTCCTAGAAACCTGAACCATTTGCGTTATTGAATTTAGAGGCGATTTCGTGGATGATTCTCAGTAGATCATTATGCATTGTTTAGCGAATTCGTGGATGATTCTCCGTTATGCATTGTTTCGTGGATGATTCTCTAGATCATTAATCAGAACTAGGTCATGCAAATGTAGTGTGCAAATAGGAGAAGATGGTTGGCCAATTTAGAGTTTCTCATAAAACATTTTTTTCCTTCAAGTTGTTTCCAGTTAGTATGTTTCTTTAGATTCTTCTGATTTGGATATCAATTGGGTTTGTCATATATCCACTATTGTTACTTGTTTTTGATAGCTTGGGTTAGATAAGGCTGTTGATAAGTGTTGGATTGTCTATGATACTTCAGAGATTGTTTGAATGAATCAGTTTTCGTTTTAGCTTTTGTGTTCTCAGATTTCGTATTAGCTTTGATTTTGATGCAATGGATTGGTTTCTAATGAGTTTTTGTATAATGTGTGTGTTTAGTTTTGCCGTTGTTGATTATGTTTCTGTGGAGAAGACTAATCCATTCTCATATTTGGCATCTTATATTATTTTTTTCTGCAGGAGCTGCGGTGAGACCAAAGAGCATAGAAAACAAAGTTGTTGTTGTTGCGGAAGTCGAGAAGAATGTTTGGCCAGCGATAGAAGCAGGGAAGGTGAAACCAGTGATTCACAAGTATTTACCATTGTCCCAAGCAGCAGAAGCTCATGGCCTTATGGAGACTTGGATGTACAAGACTTGGAGTTTGTTTTGTTGGCTTTATGTATCTCTGATTTGGTGATAGACTTGTAACTATGAAACATATATATAACGAGCTGTTTTATAAATCAAATAATGTGTAATCAAGAACGATAAGATTCCATACTAAGAATCCACAATTTGTGGAAATAAACCAACATTGGCTTCTGAAGTATAAATCAAGAAAGGAAATTTATCAAAAATGGGAAAATGTCATCTTAATTGGTTTTGAAGTGAGGCAATTCAATAATTTTTGTTTATGACTTGGTGTACTATTTTTGTTTTAATTTAGCTCATGATTTATGACAAAATAACAAAATTATATTGTTATAGTTATATATTTAACTAAATATTATTACTAGCTCATGATTTATGACAAAATTATATTGTTATATTTATACATTATTTTGTCATATATGTTTAATATTTTATGAATTACAATAATTATTAAGTTTTATGAAAGAATATTTTTAATAATTTTTTTTTCTAAGAGAACCTCACTAGAGAACCTACCATTGGACTATGAAAAATTAAAAAAAAAAACAAAAGTTCTCATCTCACATTTTCCAAAACTTTATAATAAAAAATTTGAGAGAGTCTCATGGAGAGAGCTCCCCATTGGAGATGCTTCTTGCTTCTTGATTCTTGGTAACAAATTAAAACCTCTCATCAGTTTCCTTGTTTATACTTTATATTTAGGTGTTTTACTAGAGGTGGCTGAGGAGAAGAAGAAGAAGATGGAGATGGAGATGGAGATGGATGATAAGAAGAAGAAGAAGAAGATGAAGATGGAGCTGACGAAGGTGGAGAAGGAGATTAAGAAGCATATGGAGAAGAAGATAAAGATGGATATGGACAGGAAAAAGAGGATGGAGATGGAGAATTTGGAGATGGCTCTCTTTTAGGAGAAGACGAACCTCTTTGGTGTTTTAAAATGTATTTACCTTTGTGTTTGTCTGCATGTTAAAATTAAGTAAGCTGATCAGTAATCATCATCTCTGCTTTGATCAATGATCATCACCCATGCATGTATGCTATGTCTTTCTCTGGATGTTAAGAAAACATTAGTAAGCTCAATTAATAATAGTTATCTGCTTTTCGTATTACAATGGAACCTTTGTTTTCTAATCTTTATTACTTCGTTTTTTCCTTGAGATCACATACTCTTCAACATGCCCGATGTTATTAAGACAAGACGAAAAAAATCACGTAATGAATGTTAAAGGTATTTCCTTGCAATTCACTATTACTTTTTACTCAAGTATACAAGAATATAAGTGTATTAGAGGATTCTAACACCTTTATTACACAACTAAGTTTAAAGAGACGGAAGCAAGGAATGGTGGAGGGAGAGGAGTTAGCAATTGTACAGAGCGGGACGCATGAGTTCTGCAAACCTCATTGTCTTCCCATAACACTGAGCCTTAGCAGCCAATTTTTTTTTTGTGTTGAAAACCTGTGCTCTATTTGCAGGCAGAAGATAATATGCAAACAAAGGAAAGTTGCGAGTTTCAGCAGAGTATTATAAAGAAGCTATTGCTCTGGACCCTGAACACACGGCACATAACGTTCATCTCTATCTTGGACTATGCAAGGTCTCGGTAAGGCTCGGCCGTGGAAAAGACTGCTTAAATAGCACTTAACAAAAAAAAATGAAGCACTTAACAATCGATGCAGAACTGCTTCAAGTTTTACATCAGGTTCAAATCATCAAGTATACGAAACATTTACAACTTCTATCAAACAAACAGGGTTCTGACTACTACTACTTCATCAGAGAGGAGAAGCTAAACTGTTGCTTGAAGATTGGGAAGGAGCTGTCGAGGATTTGAAGCAAGCCGCTCAAAGCTCTCAGGTGTTAAAGATTAGTTTGTATAATCTTCAGTGTTTCTGGCACTTTTAATGTTGTAACTTATATCGGTTTGTATCAGGACATGGAAATTCATGTAGCACGTGGTAGAGCAGAGAAGGCACTGAAGATGAGCAAACGAAAAGATTGGTATAAGATTATGGGTCAGTTTGATGTTTTGGTTGTGTGCAGGAGGAGAGAAGAAACACAAGGACTTCTAAAGGATGCTTTCGTCACTTTAGATGGACAATAAAGTTTTTTTTTTTTAACCCATTTTGTGTAAATTAGCGCTAATAACCGAAACTTATTTTGATTGTTAGACACCACACCATGTTTAGTTTGGCAATCAACCAACACACTGTACCAGGATTGTAATAGAAAAACAATCTTTGAGTCTTGAGTTGGTAACGAAACAGAGTACAACAGAGAAGAGAGTGAGATACAAGAATTGTCGGACAACAACGATCCTCATCATCTTATTTTAGCAAATCCTACAAAGAGAGAAAGAGTTCCGAGTCTGTAGCAGAAGAGTGAAGTTAAGGAATTGAAGGTCTTGGACTTGTGTAAACAGAGTAGTAACAACAGAGAAGATGAGGAATTCAAGTACACTCATCATCTTCTTGAATACTTCAATCCTCTTCTTCTTCCATGTTACCCGGAAACCGGCATTTAATTTCGCGGGTTTAGTCCGGTTCCAACAGTTGAAGAGTTTATTATATGGGCTTTAACACAGGCCTGAACTAAATTCATGGCCCAACAATATGTTCGTAACTTATGAGTTATGATATATACACGAAAAGATTGTGTCCCAAAGCATAATAAATAAGGGAATTAACAAAAAAAAAAGCCCAGTTCAGACCTAAATCCCTAGATCGTAGGCTCGTAGCAGTCGATCTTGTCAACTTATCACCATGGAAGAATCTCCCATCAAAGTAATCTTCTTCTTCTTCTTCTTCTGCTTTAACCTCTGTTCGTGTCTCTACTAATGGTTTCTTTCCGCACAAGAAAGTAGAAAAATATATGAAGTACGTCGTAGTATAATTTCTGATTAGATCTTCTTTTGTACCTTAGGGTCTGAAATTGCTGGAATTGAACGATAGTGGTGCAGACTCTCAAACTCCCAGGTAAATTTATTTATTGGGAAATTTTTGTCGTACGTGTTGATCATAATATTATTAACTCGACCTGCAATCAAAATCAAATTGTTGCAGTAGCACTAGCACCGCTATTTCCGTTGAAGGATATGACACTTCGCTTAAGGAGTATCCTCTTAGGCTCGCGTTGCAAAAACATTTCGCTTCATGCGGAAAGATCACACAAATTTATGTTCCTAGAGACTTTAAAAAGAAAATCCTCAAGAGGTACTTTAATTTGTGGCTTCTTCCCTCCCAGCACTCATGTTGAACTTGCTGCTAACTCAAAAAAAAAAATAAACTTTGTTATTTTGTATCGTTCGTTTTACAGTGCCTCCTTCCTTTGGATCGAGGGAGACGATGCCGAAGAAAAGGCATTGCAACTTAGTGGAACTGACGTCGGAGGATGGATTGCAATCGTTAAGCCTGAACCCAAAGAAGAAACTCAGAGGTAAATTAATTTACAGATATATGTTTTTTGAGAATTTTTTTGTCGTAGGTGTTGATCATATAATATTAACTCGTGCAATCAAAATCAAATTGTTGCATTAGCACTATCACGACGATTACCGTTGAGGGATATGACACTTCGCTTCAAAAGTATCTTCTCAACCTCATGCTCGAAAAACATTTCGATTCATGCGGAGAGATGGTACATTTTTATGTTCCCACAGACTTTGAAAGGGGTATCCTCAGGAGGTTTGTGGCTTCTTCAGTCCCAGCTCTCAAGTCGAATTCTGCTAAATGCTAACTCCAAATTAATAAAACTTTGTTTTTAATTACAGTGTTGCCTTCATGTGGATCAAGGGAGACGATGCCGAAGGAAAGGCATTGGAACTTAATGGAACTGACGTGGGAGGATGGACTGCCATCGTTAAGGCTGCACCCTGGCAGAAAGAAATCATGTATGATTCTTGGTGTCCTGCTGCTACTCCCGAGGCAACCACAACACACTTGTAATTTTTGATAATATTACCTTCTTTTAATCATATTATTTTTTAGGATGTTCTTGTATCTGTTAATTTATCTCGTGCAATCAAATTATTGTTTAGGGTCCAGGTTACGGGATATGACACTTCGCTTCCTGAGATTGATATCCAGATGGCGCTGTGTAAACATTTCTCTTCATGTGGAGAGATCTGGCAAGTTGCAGTTCTCTCTAGGTTTGTGCCTTCTTTCCTCTTCCAATTTGTGAATATTTTTTCCAAACGCTCAAAAGTTATTGAATTATATAACTAAAGACTCTCTTTCTCTGTTGAATTTTACAGCGGTATAGCTTTCCTTTATCTTAAAGGAGAAAGATGTGTAGACAAGGCGCTGGAACTTAGTGGACGTAACATGGGAGGAATGACTCTTGTAGTTAAACCTCTTGTGCCGCGACCTGAAAACTTAAAAAACTTAAAAAGAGGAAGGGTGCGACACTGCACTACTACTGGCTATATGCCCCCAGGTACATAAATTTACTCTTGCTTCCTCATTCTTGATTCATGGTAACAAATTAAATCCTCTCATAAGTTTCCTTGTTTTTACTTTATATTAGGTATTTTACTTGAGCAAGCTAAGAAGAAGAAGACTGAGAAGAAGTCTGAGAAGGAGAAGGAGAAGGAGAAGGAGAAGGAGAAGATGACGAGGACGAGGACGAGGAACAGGAACGATAAGGAGAATAATATGAAGATGAAGGAGACTGAGAAGGAGAAGGAGAAGGAGAAGATGACGAGGACATAGAACTATAGAAGGCACTGAAGATGAGCAAACGAAAAGATTGGTATAAGATTCTTGGAATTTCTCAATATGCAAAGAGGATTGGTGGAATTTCTTCAATCTTCAAGAATTTGCATCACCTTCTCAATTCCTTGAGGCCTCACCAAGTAAAGAAGATCTCATCTTCGCTTAATTACAACATATGGTTTCATCGGTTTTTGTTTCATTGTTTTGATATTCTCTTATGTCCAGGCTAGAGCAACGCTTATTCACATTATGGAACTTCAAATTCAACAGAGGAAACAAGCCGTGGAAGACATTAAAAGGTTTTTATATGCGTTTTAAGTTTTCGGTCTTAATGGTGTGCCAATATCAATCTATAATCTATTTAAAAAGATTCCTCGAAGCTTATTGGTAGTTCTAAAGGATGCTTTCGGCGCTTTGGATGGACAATGAAGTTTTTTTTTTCTTAACCCATTTTGTGTAAATTAGCGCTAATAACCGAAACTTATTTTGATTGTTAGACACCACACCATGTTTAGTTTGGCAATCAACCAACACACTGTACCAGGATTGTAATAGCAAAACAATCTTTGAGTCTTGAGTTGGTAACGAAACAGAGTACAACAGAGAAGAGAGAGAGTGAGATACAAGAATTGTCGGACAACAACGGTCCTCATCATCTTAATTTAGCAAATTCTACAAAGAGAGAACGAGTTCCGAGTTTGTAGCAGAAGAGTGAAATTAAGGAATTGAAGGTCTTGGACTTGTGTAAACAGAGTAGTAACAACAGAGAAGATGAGGAGTCAAGTATACTCATCATCTTGAATACTTCAATCCTCTTGTTCTTCCATGTTACCCGGAAACCGGCATTTAATTTCGCGGGTTTAGTCCGGTTCAACAGTTGAAGAGTTTATTATATGGGCTTTAACACAGGCCTGAAATAAATTTAAGGCCCAACAGTATGTTCTTAACTTATGATATATACACGAAAAGATTGTGTCCCAAAGCAGAATAAATAACGGAATTAACAAAAAAAAAAAAAAAAAAACCAGTTCAGACCTAAATCCCTAGATCGTAGGAGTCGATCTTGTCAACTTATCACCATGGAAGAATCCGCCATCAAAGTAATCTTCGTCTTCTTATGGATTTCTTCTTACTCACTCTCTTTTTCTCTATATTAATGGTTTCTTTCTTCACAAGAAATAAAAACAATATATGAAGTAGTAATATTTCTGATTTGTACCTTAGGGTCTGAAATTGCTGGAATTGAACGACAATGGTGCAAAACCCCGGTAAATTTATTTACATATATATATTTTTGGGAAGTTCTTGTCGTACGTGTTGATCATAATATTATATTCATCAAAATCAAATTGTTGTAGTAGCACTAGAACGAAGATTTCCGTTGAGGGATATGACACTAGGCTCCGTGAGTATACTCTCAAGCTCGCGTTGGAAAAACATTTCGCTTCATGCGGAAAGATTACAACTATTTATGTTCCCAGAGACTATAAAAGGGGTATCCTCAAGAAATACGTACTTTGTGGCTTTTTCCCTCCGATTTTCCCCTGCTAACTCCAAAGATATAAAGTTTGTTTTTGTATTGTTCGTTTTACAGTGTCACCTTCATGTGGATCAAGGGAGACGATGCCGAAGAAAAGGCATTGCAGCTTAGTGGAACTGACGTGGGAGGATGGACTGCTCTCGTTAAGCCTGCACCCTCGCAGAAAGAAATCATGGATCCTTGGTGTCCTGCTATGCTATCCAAACATGAAACACAGAGGTACATTTAAATTCTTGTGTATCTGTAAGACACTTGGCTTGTCATAAGTTTGTTGTAGCTTGTAGCGGTTCAGGTTCCATTTATCTTGAAGGAGAAAGATGTGAAGACAAGGCGCTTAAATTAAATGGATGTAAAATGGGAGGAATGAATCTTGTAGTTGAACCTGTTAAGGCGCGACCCGAAGACTTAAAAAAAAGAAAGGGGCGCCCCTGCACTACTACTGGCTATACTGGCTATATGCCCTTAAGTACATAAAATTTGCTCTTGCTTCTTGATTCTCGATTCTTGGTAACAAACGAAAACCTCTCATCAGCTTTCTTGTTTATAACTTTATATTTAGGTGTTTCAATAGAGGTGGCTGAGGAGAAGAAGAAGAAGATTGAGATGGAGGTGGAGATGGAGATGGATGAGAAGAAGAAGAAGAAGATGAAGATGGAGCTGATGAAGGTGGGGAAAGAGCTTAAGAAGCATATGGAGAAGAAGATGAAGATTGATATGAGCAAGAAAAAGAGGATGAAAATTAATATATAGTAAGCTCAACAATCGATCGTTATCTGCTTTAGCTATTACAATGCAACCTTTGTTTTCTAATTTTTATTACTTCAGCTTTTCCTTGAGATCACATACCCGATGTTATCATACACAAAAGAGATTTGTTTCAAACGAGTTTCTGATATGAAAGGTCAAATATAAACCCTCCCCACCAAAATAGATATAACCTATTACTATGAGCTTTCTTCAGAAATTAAGCGTTGAAAATACCAAAAGATTAGCTATATGAACTCTTACCCCTTTTTTTCCCCATATATAGCAAATCCCTCAACGGCTCTAGAAATATGTTTATGCTTCAAGAACCCTCTTGGGGGAATAAGAAGATTAGGAATATATGGGCTTAACGCAGGCCTGAACTAGGCCCAACAGTTTGTTCGTAACTACAATATGTACACGAAAGGATTAACAAAACAAAAAACTTTTCATACATACCTAAATCCCTAAATCTGAAATATATCTTTCGAACCCTAGCTAGCAGTCGCTCTTGTCAATTCATCCATGGACGAAACCGCTATCAAAGTAAGCTTCTTCTGTTCTTCTTCTTCTTCTTCTTCTGCTTTAACCTCTGTGTCTCTACGGTTTCTTTCTGCACAAGAAAGATGAAGTTAGTAGAATTTCTGATTAGATCTTTTGTACCTTGGTTAGGGTCTGAAATTACTGGAATTGAACGATAGTGGTTCAGACTCTGGTGAATCAAACTGTTGTAGTAGCACCAGCACGACGATTTCCGTTGAGGGATATGACACTTCGCTTCGAAGGTATCCTCTCAAACTCGAGTTAGAAAAACATTTCGCTTCATGCGGAGAGATCTACAATATTTATGTTCCCAGAGACTTTGAAAGGGGTATCCTCAAGAGGTTTGTGGCTTATTCCCTCCCAGCTCTCATGTTGAATTCTGGCGCTAAGTGCTAACTCTCATACTAAACTTTGTTTTTACGTACAGTGTTGCCTTCATGAGGATCGAGGGAGAAGGTGCCGAAGACAAGGCATTGAAACTTAGTGGAACTGACGTCGGAGGATGGACTGCTATCGTTAAGCCTGCGCGGTCTCAGAAAGTATTCATGGATGATCCTTGGTATGCTGGTCCTAGGTTTGCTCCTGCTCCTGCGGATACCAAAACACACAGGTACATTTTGATTATATTATCTCCTGCAATCAATATTTTTATTTTTTTAGCTTGTCATGTTAATAACATTTATCTCCTGAAATCAAATTATTTATTTTAGGATCCGCGTTACCGGATATGACACTTCGGTTCCTGAGATTGATATGCAGATTGCGCTGTATAAACATTTCTCCTCATGTGGATCCGTCTGGAAAGTTATAGTTCTCTCTAGGTTTTTGCTTCTTTCTTCCTCCAATTTGTGATTTTTTTTTCCCAACTCTCAAAAGTTATTGAATTATAATAAGTAAAGACTGTCTCTGTTGAATTTTGCAGCGGTGCAGCTTTTATTTATCTTAAAGGAGAAAGATGTTTAGACAAGGCGCTGGAACTAAGTGGACGTAACATGGGAGGATTGACTCTTGTAGTCGAACCTGTTGTGCCACGACCCGAAAACTTAAAAAAAAGAAGGCCGCTCTCCTGCACTACTACTGGCTATACTCTCCCAAGTACATAAATTTGCTCTTGCTTCCTCATTCTTTTCCCTGGTAACAAATTAAATCCTCTCATTAGTTTCCTTGTTTGTACTTTATATTAGGTACTTTACTTGAGGTGGCTAAGAAGAAGAAGAAGATGGAGACAGAGATGGAGATGGAGAAGGAGAAGGAGAAGGCTCTCTCTTAGGGCTTGGAAAATACTCGGTCTCTAACATCAACTAGTAGGTTGGTTTAGTCGGTTGACTCGACTTTTAAGTTTGTGTATGTATACCGAATTTATACAACTATGACTGAATCGTATACTTTTAGTCAAACATGCATAAATGATATCAAATTTTATACTTCACCTTCTTAATACAGTAACTGTATACTAATCAAATACTGATATAATCTGAAAACGATATTCACATTTTAAATTGAAAATATCTTGATATGCTCCATTAAGTTTGAACCGTTGCATCTTCATTAGTTAATTGCATCAAGCATGTAGATACCTAATTTTGCATAGTGACGTAATTCCATGGTGCCAAGTTTTGATGGTGAAGTGGTGCATTCTGATTGGTGGTACATGATTCTAATTAATTAATTATTTTACCACCACCTGAATGATTTGATTTCATAAATAAGAAAAAAAAAAATAGAATGCGCACTACCATAATATGTACCACTTTCGGATAAATATTTCATGTTCTCTGAATTTAATATAATGCACTCAGTAAATAATCCTTCTATTTATAGTGCCTTGATCATACATGGTTGGATGAATTAAACAAGAGTTTGATTAAAGGACACAACAACAAAAAAAAACATGATGAATAAGGCTTCATCACTCTTACTACTTGTACTGCTCATGGTAACCGTCGTGGCTACGACTATTAGACCACTGGAGGAGCTAGCCGTGGCCGGTACAAGGAGAATTCTGACGACAAAGATGTTCGGAGAAGGGGTTGAGGCCGATGTCAATAACCACCATAGCATTCCAAGGGAGTCATGGGATAATAGTGAGAATAATCCATGAATGGTTAGATGTTAATAGCATCATGTTATGCTACTTTTATCCTTTAGTTCAATTATAAACCATACTTGTTTTCTCCATACTATTAATAACGAAATTGAAAATACCACTGACTATAGAAGCAGAACAAATGGTACATACATTTGCAAAATATTGCTCACATAATTAGTTAATTACATCAAATGAAATTAACTTTAGACTTTTCCAACTTCTTTGACAAGTCTTTGTAAATCTTCGATAGAGCTTCCATTTGTCTCCGTCACAGCGGCCTCGGTCTTCCGCCGTATCTCCTCCGCCCGAGCAGCCACCTCGCGTCCTCCCTCACTCATCGTTTCCGCTATGACCCGACCCAGCTCAACCGGGTCAGGTACAGTTTCACCACCTTCACAAACCCTAACCGCAATACCCAAATGCTCCACAAGCAACCTCGCGTTCACAAACTGATCCGCCTCCATGGGCCAGCCCAAGATCACAGCCCCACTCGTTATCCCTTCTAGCACCGAGTTCCATCCACAATGGCTCAAAAATCCACCAACTGCCACGTGTCGCAAGACCGCCAGCTGGGAAACCCATCCTCTAACCACCAATCCCCGTCCAGAAACCCGATCCTCGAACCCGTCGGGTATCACATCTTTCTTAACCACCCAAACGAACCGGGTCATGCTTTTCTCTAAGCCTAGAGCCAAAGCATCGCACTGATCTTTAGTCAACGCCTTTTGACTTCCGAAACAAACGTATAGAACTGACCCGTTTGGGGATCCGTCTAACCAACTCAGCAAACTCGAGTCTATAGAACCCGAATCCGATTTAAGACCCGACCCGATTGAACAAAGCGGGCCAATTACAAAAACCCGATCATGACCCATCCTCTGTTTCATGTAATCAAGATAATCATCTTCCAGAATCTCAGAAGAATTGAAAACAGATCCGTAGCTCAACAAATTCATGGAGAAATCTTTGATCGTTTCAAGATCCGGTGACGGAGTTTGGAGACTTCGTCGGACTATAGACGGAAGATGCTCTTCCTTGAAGATCGGAGCACGAGGAAGATCCAGGAGATGAATCGGATCCGTTGATTTGATTAGATCGATGTTTTCGAAGCAAAATTGGAGAACGGAAACTAAGAAGAAGCTGATGGAGAAGAAAGCGAATCTAGGGATACCGATTCGATTGCAGAGATCGTGAGTCCACCCGAGGAAGAAATCGGAGATGAGAGCGATCGGAGGATTAGGATGAGATCGGAACCAGTGGATGATTGGATCTCGAAGCTGACGAAGAGAAGCCATGATCGGGAGATTTCCTGAATTTCCGACGTCTTTAACGTTTTCGACGCCGGGAGAGAGTGAAGGATGAGGAGGGAAAGGGAAAACGACGGAGGTGACGGAGGAGGGATGAGCGGAGAGAAGAGGAGAGAGGTAAGTTAGGTTTCCGGGAGTGACGATGACGGAGACGTTGACTCCACGGAGACAGAGTTGGTGAGTTAAGTCAAGTAGAGGAAGTAAGTGGCCTTGTGCTGGGAATGGAAACACCACTACGTGCGGTGGTTTTGAATTCTCCGATCTAGTTCCTGGCAGCAATACTTCCGTCATTTTCGCGGTGGCGTTGTGGTTGTAGTTTTTTTTTTGCAAGACTTTTCAGAAGCCGTTAAAAGTAGTGGTTGCAACTTGCAACTATAATATGGGCTTAACGCAGGCCTGAACTAAATTGAAGGCCCAACAGTTTGTTCGTAACTATAATAGACACGAAAGGATTATGTTGTCTCAACAAAACAAAAACTTCTTAAAAACCTAAATCCGTAGATTTGAAAAATATCTTTCGAACCCTAGTTCTCAGCTTATCACCATGGAAGAATCGGCCATCAAAGTAAACTCTGTTCGTGTCTCTACTAATAGTTTCTTTCCGCACAAGAAAGTAGAAAAATATATGAAGTACGTCGTAGTATAATTTCTGATTAGATCTTCTTTTGTACCTTAGGGTCTGAAATTGCTGGAATTGAACGATAGTGGTGCAGACTCTCAAACTCCCAGGTAAATTTATTTATTTGGAAATTTTTGTCGTACGTGTTGATCATCATATTATTAACTCCACCTGCAATCGAAATCAAATTGTTGCATTAGCACTATCACGGCTATTTCCGTTGAAGGATATGACACTACGCTTAAGGAGTATCCTCTTAGGCTCGCGTTGCAAAAACATTTCGCTTCATGCGGAAAGATCACACAAATTTATGTTCCTAGAGACTTTAAAAAGAAACTCCTCAAGAGGTACTTTAATTTGTGGCTTCTTCCCTCCCAGCACTCATGTTGAACTTGCTGCTAACTCAAAAAAAATAAACTTTGTTTTTTGGTATACAGTGCCTCCTTCCTTTGGATCGAGGGAGACGATGCCGAAGAAAAGGCATTGCAACTTAGTGGAACTGACGTTGGAGGATGGATTGCAATCGTTAAGCCTAAACCCAAACAAGAAACTCCCACGTAAATTTATTTATATATATTTTGGGAATTTTTTATCGTAGCTAGGTGTTGATCATATAATATTAACTCGTGCAATCAAAATCAAATTGTTGCATTAGCCCTACCACTACGATTTCCATTGAGGGATATGACACTTCGCTTCAAAAGTATCTTCTCAACCTCGTGTTGGAAAAACATTTCGATTCATGCGGAGAGATGATACATTTTTATGTTTCCAGAGACGTTGAAAGGGGTATCCTCAAAAGGTTTGTGGCTTCTTCCCTCCCACCTCTAATGTTGAAATCTAACTAACTCAAATTAAAAGAATGGTTTTACGTACAGTGTTGCCTTCATGAAGATCAAGGGAGAAGATGCCAAAGAAAAGGCATTGCAACTTAGTGGAACTGACGTTGGAGGATGGACTGCTATCGTTAAGCCTGTACCCTCTCAGAAAATATTCTATGATGATTCTTGGAGTGCTGCTACTCCTGAGGCATCCAAAATACACAAGTAAATTTTGATAATATTATCAAGCTGCAATCAAATTATTATTATTTAGCATGTTAAATTCTTGTGTATCTGTAAGATGTGTTGTAGCTTGTCATGTTAATAAGATTTATCTCCTGCAATCAAATTATTGTTTTAGGGTCCGTGTTACGGGATATGACGATTCGCTTCCTGAGATTGATATCCAGATGGCGCTGTGTAAACATTTCTCTTCATGTGGAGAGATCTGGCAAGTTACAGTTCTCTCTAGGTTTGTGCCTTCTTTTTTTTTCTTTTTTTTTTTTTTTTTTTTTTTTTTTCCAATTTGTGAATTTTTTTTCCCAACGCTCAAAAGTTATTGAACTATATAAATAATGACTCTCTCTCTGTTGAATTTTACAGTGGTGTAGCTTTCATTTATCTTAAAGGAGAAAGATGTGTAGACACGGCGCTGGAACTAAGTGGACGTAACATGGGAGGATTGACTCTTGTAGTTGAACCTGTTGTGCCGCGACCCGATATCTTAAAAAGAAGAAGGGTGCGACACTGCACTACTACTGGCTATATGCCCCCAGGTACATAAGTTTGCTCTTGCTTCTTGATTCTTGGTAACAAATTAAAACCTCTTATTAGTTTCGTTATTTATACTTTATACACTAATAGGATTAGGAGATGGATATGGAGAAGAAGACGAAGAAGAAGAAGAAGAGGAAGAAGAAGGAGATGGACACGAGAAGAAGAAGAAAATCTCTTAGGACCTGGAAAATACTCGATATCTAACATCAATTAGTAGGGTTGGTTTCTTAGTTGGTTGACTCAACTTTTAAATTTATATGTGTATACCAAATAACTCTTACTATACCAAAATTATACAATAATGACTGAATAGTATAGTTTTAGTCATACATGCATAAATGATACGAGAAGATGCTTGATATGTTGGTGCACGAAATTCACGAAAGCAAAAGTGTCCATTAAAGTAAAATAAGCCACGGTGAATAAGGCTTTCTCGCTCTTTACTACTATTACTCACGGTAACAGTTGTGGCTACGACTAGTAGACCATTGGAGGCTCTGATTGGAGGAGCTAGCGTGACTGGTACAAGGGAGTCATGGGATGGTAATGATAATAATCCATGACCCATATTTGGTTAGATGTTAAATGCATCATGTTTCAGTTCAATTGTAAACCATACTTATTTTGTCTAATCCGTTGTATCGTCAAAGTTAATGTTTTCAAATTTAGATTTTGTTGACTTTAGTACACAATTTAAAGCTGGATTGAGCCAATCAGAATCAGTATTGAATATTCTCAAAAAGAGGAAAAAAAATCCCTATTGACCCGATTACGGACTTTTTTCCAGACCAACAAAATAAATAAATAAATTATAATAATTTTGCAACGATTAGTGAAAATGAGAAGATAAGTGAAAGAGAAAGAATATTATTACTTGATGATGATTTGATATTTTTTTTCTAAGAAGTGATCATAGGATCTTCTCTTTCTCGTTCTTCCACTGCTTCATCTAATCTCCTCCACCTACTTTGGCGTTGTTCTTCCACTTGTTTCGATTTGGCTTGTTTCTCTTCGTACTGTTGCTGGCAATCTTCAAAGAGCTCAGGGTCCATCTCCATGAACATTCTCTTTATATTTGCGCTTAGACCGTGAACCGCTTGGTTCCAGTGAGACTCTATGTTTTTCTCCAGGGATGCGAATATGATGGGAAGGATCACACCTCGGTTCTGAGCTATTAGACCTACAACGTGCTCATTGTTCCACAAGAACAGAGCTCGTTCTGCAACCTACATCACATGGTGGTATATGTATGTGAGCATGAGAGACTAAAAAGTTCAAAATTCCTAGTAATCGAGCATATATTTGGTTACGTTTGAGCTAGAGAGAAGATGAATTAGGGTAAAATGAGAACTCCATGACACATTAACAAAGCAAAGACAACGGTTAATAAGAATCAAGATGAGTGAAGCTATAGATGATTTAAGAATCAAATCATTCATTTAGCAGATTGTATTAGCTACTGCATGAAATAACCCCATCAATAGAGATGGCTATGATCAAGTTCATTTTGCTGAAATAGCATAGGGGATAAAAGGAGGAAAAACAACCAGAAAAACAAAACAATGTGAACCATAAATCTTGCAAAGCACATCAATTGCGGTATTTTTTTCAAATTGGGGAGTCAGAACATGAGTTTAAGGTGATGAAAAATGCAAAGTTATGTATGACACGGCATAAATTTTAGCGGGAGAAACAAAATAACAAAAAGCACCAGAATTTAGAGGTTAATATGCATAAATGAGAACCTTCAATGGGAAGATTGAAAAGAGAAACCAACCCAGAAGAGATTACTAACCTGAAAATTAGAGCTGCTGAGGCACCGAGCAATCTGTTGGAACAGAGGGACCATACAGCGTTGGAACTCAACAGTTTGTGTTGCCTCAAGAACCTCTTCAAGTTCACCAAGAAAGAGAACCTCTTTTGTACAGTTTGTCACAGGCCAAAACTTTAGCAATCCCCTGATCACTGTATCCGCAAGCTTATAATCTTTCTCCACAAACTGAACAATGCAGTAAGACAATTGTTGATGATACATAGCAATTGGTTTTGGCTTATGCAGAGGTATCAAAGCCCTGATCAAAAAGAGCTTGTGCTCCTCCTTCATTGGCAAGGCAAACCCATTTATAATACTACCCAGAATCTCCAAAAGCTCCCCAATCCCACTATGTCTCTCTGTCTCATAAATAAACCTATAGAAAATATTGTTCATTGCTTTCCTAATAAAGGGCCTGTGAACCATAAACTTGCCATAAATCCTATGAAGAATCGTTTTCAAGTACTCCCTTTCTCTTGGATCTTCAGTTTCAAACAATTCAAGCAACCTCAACACAAAAGAATGGTCAATATACCGTTTCGCAACCTTTGTATCTGTGTCAGAAGGAACAATGTATCTCAGCAGCAACTCATAAACTAGCTGTAAATGAGGCCAAGATGGTTCCAAATAAGGCTCCTCTTCCTCAAGATCAGCAGGCTCTTGACCTGTATTCTCGTGTGAAGCCGGAGGAAGACACCGGAATATATTAACCGAAATCATCTTTACCATTTCTTCTTGACAAACTTCAGAGAGCTTCCCTGCTCCAGACTGTATAAAATCAACTAGTTCCAATAACGTTTGCCTCTTAATCTCCTTCTCTCTCGCATTCTTCAACGTATCCGTAAAATCAAATTGAAAACAACAAATCTGGAGTTTCCTCAAGAACAAGGATTGACGCTCGGAAACAGACACGTCTCTGAACAACGGAAGAGGCTCGACTGAATACATAGGAGGCGGTTGTGTGGCCGCCGCCATTGAACCTGGAGAAGAAGGAACCAACGAACCACGAGATGCGTGATTTACAATCATATTGGATCCAGGACCTGACCTACCTGGTGGATCAAACCCATACATAGACGAATCATTCGCCTCAGCTTTAGAGGCCTTTCGATTTGCCCCTTTCATGATCTTCTTAAACATGACTTACGCACTTTAAACAGACCTCAGAGAACCCCTAATTTAGAAACCCTAGGTTTTGCGAACGAGATATTCAGTGGAAGAGAGAACTCAAATTGGATCCCTCAGATTCAATTGCTTTCCAACAAAAACCTTCTACTAACGCTTCTTCTGCATCAGTCTTCGAGTATGTTCTGTGAGATCTGAGAAGATGAAAATCAAACCGTTGGATTGATAGAAGAGATCCTCGGAGAAATGACCGGAGATTTGGACAGCGATTTTATCCGGCGAGCGAGCGAGAACGAAAAAGAGAAAGAGAAAGGATCTTCAAATAAAATGGAAACAGAAAATATAAAATTAAGGTAACGATTTTTATTTAAATTTCTTTAGTAATTCAAAATCTCTCTCGTGAGAGATTGTCTTCAAATCACAACCAAAGACACGAAGATAATTATTAAAATGTTTTTAAAATTATTTTGATTTTTTATTATCTTTTTGAAAATAACATTTTATGAATTTATCCTAAACGTTAGCGTAAGTGTGATGGCTTTGTGCACGTGGCTTGTGAGTGAAGTGCTCGCAACTTTAACAAATTGGTCCATATATGAATAATGAACTATGATTATGCAAAAAAAGATGCTTAATTCAAATAAAATTAAACACATGAAATTTATTTTCCATTCATGTCAATATAAAATAGTGACAAGTGGTCACCACTAGATTTTGATGATGAAATCAAATAAACAGAGTAGTCGCAATAGACAAATCTTTCAAAATTTTCTATTCCAAACTCTTCACTATGGATAATAACAACCTTTGAGTATAACGAAGGGATATAACAAGAAGACAATGATTTTTGGATTGGCTTGCTTGAAATATCGAAAATCAAGAGTTGTTAAGGTTGCTCAATTAAACTTACATTATAAACTAATAATACAACTTAGACTTTACGAGACACCATAACGCATTAAGCTCAACTAGCAGAGAGTGATCCGAGTTTTACTGAGAAATTCGAAATCTCCCACATGCAAAAGATTCTACACAAAAGAAGAGAAGAAAAGAAAAGAGAAGTAAACATAAAAGAAATTATCTGTTACGCAGCATTTTCAACGTATATCATTATCAGTATCACATCAGGTAATTTCAACTTCCAGCTTCTTCTCTTATCCAAAACATATATCCACAAATACAAAGGTTTTATTGAAGAAAAGACTCGGCCTCAATCCTGCTTAATACCACCCGTCTCCTCCGCTACAACAGGTTTAGCTATTGTTTCTGTACCTTCAGTTCCAGTTTCCGCTGCCACCTGAAACAAAAAAAAGTGTTGCACATAAGGTTCAAATGCACCCATGTATAAGATAAACACTGAATATACACAGATAGTAATGTAAATTCATGGAAGCTACTGGGATCACGGCATATTGTTGAACTCAAGTATTAACCTAAAACATAAATTGAAGGATTGAATCTATGTTTCCATTGACTAAACTGCTTCAACTAAGAAACGATTCAACGAAGAATAAAAAGTGTCAATCAAGTGATTTTCACTTACTTTGGTGGCGTTGTCGTTTTTAGCAACTGGCTTGAAAGGACAAGCTGGAGGAATTCTCGCTGGCTTCCTGTACTCCCATCCGAGCCACGCATACAATTTGGCCTAGTTATCAAGCATGAAGAGTCAAGCCCTAAGAGTTAACAAATGATAAGACGAAAATACTACCTGCAAGATTCACTAAAGCATGACTTGTACAGACTGTTTTTCTTAAACAGAGTACAGTCTAAAGATAATCGGTATGAAAAACTAACAACAATAAGATTTAGATATTACTAACATCTTCAACTTTCCCTCAAGCATATAACAAAAGATATATAGCACCTATTTTTCAGTTTTACAAGCACATATTATGATCATTTATCCTGATCATCATCTTCACTATCTTCTTCCCTTTCTAATCTCCAATTTTGATAACGTAATCTCCAATTTGTTATTCCTTTCAAATGGAGCTATCTCTTTTGAGACTAACCGAATTCAACACTCTAGCATCTTAAAATTCGAAAAATTGTAAGTCTTGACATTTAATACCCCATGAATCTGATCATTCTTCCGAGGAAAAATCAAAACTTCAAAGATTATCAAGAGAGAACGAGCCAATTACCATGAAATAATCGATGATTCGAGGCATTAAATTGATGAGCGGGACGAGGAACAGCGGCACCAAACACATAACGCAAACCTGTGAATTTCATAGATTCAAACAATCTCAAATGGAATCCACAAGATTGACAAACGAAAACTAGATCCATACAAAACAAGCGGAATCGAACAAATCTTACCATATTGAAATTAGGGTTCTTGACAATTGGGAATTTCGACAAAAAGATGTAAATTGGAGAGAGAGATCAAATTATGATTCTACTTCCCTCAAAGTCGTCGTTGCTTTTGCTTTATGACTTAAAAAATCTACAAATAAAGCAAACACTCTGTATCACCGAGAGAGTTTTGACGGCGTTGATAAACTAACGTGCCTCTTCCAGAGGTACTGAAAAATCCATTATTACTTGACGGCGTTAAGATATCAACGTGGCTTTGACGCTCAGTAAACGTACAATACCCAAAAAGCCCTTTTAGAATTATGGTTGCAAGTTTGGTGTTTGTGTCTCCCATATAAAACCAACATGTATTGGTAAGAGATTATTTATGATAAATCTTCATTCAACTTTAATACATGACAATGTGGAAGATCAATTAGGTCCCAATATGGTTTAGTAGGGTTTAGGCACAATCGCCTTTGCAAGGAACGTCTGCACAGCGGCAGACCGGTTTTCCAGAAGCTTCCCAGCCATTAAAGCCGCGTTCCAAGATCATGATGATTTTGATTCCAGTATCTTCTTTCTTCTCATCGAGATAATTCACGAGCCTTCTTGCACAAGTTGGACCACGAACCTGCGTTAAGAATTGGCTTCAAGGCTTTAGCAATCACTTCATTTTCGAGTGAAAAATCTATTCATTTATGGTAGGACTTGGGACAGAACAAAGAAATGAGAACTAGCTCAAATCAAAGGTTGATAAAGGACTGAGCTTGAGGATTTGGAGTGCTAGCTAATCGATGTTCTTTCTTTTAAGAATATAACGGAAGCTCCTACTCCATGGCATACATAAGAATAGATGGACAAATAAGAAAACATATCGAAAACAGTTGAAGTTTGCAACCTTGAATAAACTTTTGACATATGGAGGCCACTACACGAGGACATACTGTAGAACATATAGATATCCTTCTACGAATACCCTATTGATGCTGCTTATCTAACCTATTTAACACGAATCAACTAATCTTCCACCAAAACCAGTTATCATTCAATCATCGCAAACCGGTGCAATATCATGTGTTCCATCATATGAAATCAAACAAGAAGAAAATAAGGTATTGTGGGAAAGTAAAAAGAGTGTATAGAACAAACACCTGGCTCAAAGCACAATGGAAGACAAGTGTGTCTTTGTCCTTGACATTTTGAACAAGATGAGAGATCTTGTCATCAAACGAGCCACTGGCATAGTGTAGCGACCCAGCTATATGCCCGTCATAATTCCTCTCTTCATCCCTTCAAAACAACCAATTACTCCAATGTGTTACATACATACCTTCATTAAAAGTCTAGATTTTTAACAATAACTCTGTATCAGAAGAACCTATATAAGAATTACAAAAAGTATGTTCCTTTCTTCACTCCTAAGCCCATATAACCACAAAACCTTTGTTCCAAACTCATGAGATTCTTAATAGTTGTTTTTCGATTGAGATTCTACAAAAAAAGTTTCCAGTTTTAGAAAACATGTTCATAATTAATTGATCCCCCAGAATTCAAAAGTAAAGGATTCTCCTATAACCCATATCAGAGTAAAATCAAACCTAAGACCAATAAATCGGGATTGATTCGAACTAAAATTTGGTAGAGGATCAGATTATGACTAAAATCGACGAAACAAGTCGATTAATGTTTACCTGACATCGATGATGGCGATGTTGGGACGACGATGAAGAGGGAGAAGCTGCGTAGAGGTGATGTAAGAGATGCTTCTCGCCATCGCCATTTTTTTCTTCTTAGTGAAAAAGGAAAATATGCTTCTCCCCATATCTCTTCTAAACTCCTTTTCTTCCTTAAAAGTCACCAACATTATTACATTGAAGACTACGACCAATTTGATGTGACGATTGTATATGGGATTATTAATATTAAGTATTGTATATTAACAAAAAGCGGGGATAGCTCAGTTGGGAGAGCGTCAGACTGAAGATCTGAAGGTCGCGTGTTCGATCCACGCTCACCGCATTTAATTTTTTTTTTTTCCAAAACTTTATTTTATTCCGACATTCTGTAAATCTTCGATACCTCTGCGAAAACTTTTGGGTCTTGTTCTCTTCCGAATTCTGATACAGAAACGAACCTAATGCCGCCTCGCCGGCGTTACCCCTTCAGTGGTCCCGGAGATATAATTGCACGACTTATTGAATTTGAGGAAGAATATGGAGGCTATGTAGAAGAAGAATTTGGGTATGTCCACCATGGAGAAGAAGAAGACGAAGAAGAGGAAGACGAAGAGGAAGATGAAGAGGAGGAAGAAGATAGCGAACGCCAAACCAGGGAATACATCGATATTGTAGAGTCACCTATTAGGGTTTCACAGAACGAGAGTGAAGGGATAGAGAATCAGAAAAGGTCTCAAGGTGTTTGTTCATCGTCTTCAGGATCGCAGGAGGATGTCGAATGGAAACAAGGCGACACTGAGGGATTGTCTTGTTCGATCTGTATGGAAGTTTGGACCAGCGGTGGCCAACACCAAGTCTGGTAATCTCGATTTCAGTGAAACAAATTTTGGATTTCTATAATTGTTTGTTTTACCTCTTTGGAATTCAACTAATGTTCTTACTCTGGTGTGATGATACAAGTTGTCTTCCCTGTGGACACTTGTATGGATTTTCCTGCATCAACAAGTGGTTACAGATGCGACGAAGTGCAGGGAAGGTGTGTGTGGTTGATATGTAGATTTTTCAGATCCATTTGCTGTTAATTGATAGTTATCTTGCTCATAGAGTCACAGTGGTTTCTTTTTAGTGTCCCCAATGCAACAAGACATGTAGCATGAGAGATGTCCGGAAAATCTATGCTTCACGGGTTGCTGCAGTAGATGATGAAGCACACAAGGTCTTACACTGAGTGTTTTTTTTTCGAAATACATACATAAAAGCAAATCATAGTATCAAAATCTGATATTCTTTTGTTGATATTTGCAGAGAATCTTATTTCTGGAGGCCAAGTTAAGTTCAATTGAACAGAAGGTAGGACATATTAGTGCTGGGATATAGTTCATGATATTGCTATTATCAGTCCACACTATTTTGAGCTTAGTTATTTGAAATGCTTTAAACTCATTCTCAAGAAGATTTTCCTGAGTACTAAAACCTCGTTATGTTCATTTTAACTCGTCTATGTAGGTTATGTCTGTGTTAGATGACAGGAACGTTGCGTTTAACAATATGTTCTTATGTCATGCAGACTGCGAGTTGGAGTAACAAAGAAGCTCAATGGAAAAAAATTGAAGCAGAGCTACAATTAGAAGTTAATAAGCTGAAGAAGGTACACTCTAAGAGTTTGTTGTAACGTGGTCACTCTTGTCACTTTGCTTTATACTTGGACAGATTAAGATTACTATTAACTACTCGAGTCTGGAATATTAAGTTGGCTCGTAACTTTTAAAAGGGAGTTGAGTTTGACTAAGAGTTCCCATTTCCATTTCCCACCCAACCTAAGATTATATTTTTTGTTTCTTCTCATAAAATTATCACACATATTTCTCCTCTAGTTAGCGTCAAGGCTAGAATTTTTTTTTTTGCAGAAATTAGCTAATATGGAAAGTACGACTAAGGGTGCGCAGAGCCAGTCTAATGCGGCTTGTCAGGAGAAATATATATCTGGTAATCACAAAATAACATGCTTCACGGTTGCAAAACATGCAGTTTTTTTTTTTGTTTTTTTCCTCTTGAAATTCTCTGCGTCTAAACAGTTGTAAGTGCATGCCTGCAGGTCATAATATCTACCAAGAGCATCATGGACAGTCACCTTATTGCAGCTTCAGACATCAGGTGTGGCTTAGTGCTCCTTCACACACATTGTTTTAGAAATTTTGGTTGAAGTATTGTTTGTTTTGCATTTGTCGTAGGGAGAACTGCTAATTAACGGTGGCCGTATATTTGACATAGATGGTGGTAGACAAATATTATTATTGGCCCGTAGGCTCCCAGGCGTTGGTGGAACGTTTGTGCTTACGCAAGTAAGTTTTTTTGTTTTGCCTCTTATTTTTTTTTTTATCTTATACCAGTAAAATGATGCAACTATACGACCTTTTTGTTTTTAATATATTGTAGATGAGCCTACATTCGCCGGGTGAGATTGATGATATTTTGTTGCCTCCTACCACTAGAGCAATTAAAGATCTTCACCTTTCCCCTCACAGTAACGGGCTTGCGGTATTTGGTTCTCTAGGGAAAAAGTTATCAGTTATAAGCTTGGAGAGCCACAACACTGTCTTATCTTATGATCTACCGGCTGCACCTTGGTCTTGCTCGTGGGATCTCAACAGCTCTCACCATATTTATGCTGGACTACAAAATGGAATGGTTTTGGTATTTGACATGCGTCAAACCACGGGACCTTTTGCATCGATGACGGGCTTAACAACCAATCCAGTTCATACTATCCATCATCTCTCTGGCAATTCCACTCCAACTTCTGATGTTCGTACCCTCTTATCTGCTTCTTCCATCGGGCTGTGTCAGTGGAACATTAGTGGCAGCGAGGGAAGGTGAGGTTTTGTGTTTCTCTGACATTGATTCTTGTTCACATCTCATGAAACCAAACCTACAAATCGTTTTGATTGAAAAATACTTAAAAGTCAGATATCACAGAAGCTGAAGAATTTTATCATTGCATTTTTGAGGCTCTAACCTGTTATAATTTTGGTTTTTTGTTTTGTTTTGTTTAGCCCATCATTAGTTTCGGAAACGGGAAACCCAGGAATTTGCATATCCTCCTCGTACTGTCCCCGCAGCGATCATATAGTGGCTTCTTATAGACCGAGAGTTGGATCATCTGATGATACAGTCCCGACTCAGCCCTCATTGACTCAAACAGGAGCCAATAATAGTAATAGTAATGGTGTAGATGGATTTCATGTTTGTCATAAGAGAAGAGGTGTTGATTCGTATTACCAGAAACTTTCCTCCACACAAGCTATTGTTGATCCCATCCGTTTGCCGAGAACAGCGATTATAGACTTTGGTGGAGAAGGGAAAGAACTTTTTGCATCTTGTGACGAGTCCACTCACTCTCTCATCTTTCAAGATCCTTTGACTTTTACCATCACTCAACTGCTCCCATGGTCAAGTCATCTTCCGCTGCAAGATCTGAAATATGGTGATGTCAATGGTTCGGGTCTGCTCGGTCTCTTAACAGATGATAGATTGCAGCTTCTTAGGAAGGAATCGCCATTAAGACGAAAAAAAGATTGATAGTCTTGCAGGGATGGTGTTTGTTGAAGAGCAAACATGTATGTAAAATCGGCTAACTTGTCTATCTTTTGTAATCTGGAGATGTTATTAGAGTAGCCATTACTTAATATTATTATCTTAGTTATGAATCTATTGCTGCAACCTGCTACTTAATCAGTTTTTTGATCATTGGTGGATTTAAGAAATGAGAATGAAAAAGCATGGGAAAAAGAGACTTAGTTATTTGATGCGCAAAAAATACACTGAATTTTCCAGAAAGTAGAAAAAGACCAAAAAAAATCCGACCTGCCGGAATCGAACCAGCGACCTAAAGATTACAGCAACTACTACAGTCTTCCGCTCTACCAACTGAGCTAAGGTCGGTCTTGTTAATTCATTGATTATAATTATTTAAATACGTAAATATATCGTTGGAGAATCTATTCAAGTGCTTAAAAAAAAAGGAAATCAGAACTCAGAAGAACACATTCCGATTGGATTCTGCTTTTTTCTTTTCACGTTTCCGATTACTTGTGGAACTTTTGAGAGCCTAAGGTTTATCTCTTCTTCTAGTCGTCGATTGTGCTCATCGAAGATTCCAATCAGCTAAGGTTACATATCTTTCTCTTTATTCTCTCTTGTTGTCTTTGGTTTTGATTTTGCCAGACTGTGGTTGGAATGAATCATCTCTGTATCCTTCTCCGTTGACGAAACTCTTGAAAACCCATGAACAATTTCGGTTATTCGATATATGGGTAGAGTCAATTCTAGGGTTCTATCACTTTCATCTTCTGATCTTTTTGCCTTTTGGGTTCCAGAATAAAAGTTTTAGGGTTCTTCCCTTTTATTGCGAATGTATTCATATGCATTGCCTTTGATTGTGTGAATCATAATCTAGTCCAATCTTTCTCTTAATACGATGATAATAATTGTAATTAGTTGCTAATGAATCTCGTTTCTTTGATAGTTATGATTGAAAAGTTTTTGTTTTTGCAGAGTTTTTCCTGTCTCGGTGCAAGCTTCAAGATTCTCAGGACTGTGATCTGTCTTTGATTCTACAAGTGCTCTTTCTCAGTACAATGGAAGCTAATAATGAGCCTGGTAATGTGTCAAGTAATGCGAGCAATGATAAAGAGAAGTCGTCTGAGACGATCTTTGTGAACCATGGTAAGCTTTAACACTCTTCACAATGGTTAAGGGTTTTAACAATTTGACTCGAACAAGGTTTATTTTCCTATGGGGTTAGCTGATAGTCTTTGACGATTAAGGGAAAACTGATTGTCTCATCAGGTTTATTAGTGTCAAGATTAAGGCTTAGTTCTTATGATCAACACCAATATTGGCTCAGTTGTTTTGAAAGAATGTGAAATATAATAAACACATGATCTTAAATTGTGATTACCTTTCCTTTGTTGTGTAGCCGAGATTGCGTGGCAAGAGATGCGAAAGAAGTGGGTTGGAGATCCGTCTAATAGGACTTCAGAGATGCCTGCTGAACCTGTGATAGGGTACTTTACTTATTGCTCAGTACTTTTGATCTTCAAGCTTCAGGTTTACATATATATTAAACTCCCTTTTCCAAATCTAAATCTTTTGTAGCTTCAACGCTACTTATGAAGACTTGCTCACATCCAACAATCCTTTTCCCAAGCCCATCCCTCTAGCTGTGAGTTCCTCCAAAAAAAGTTTTCCTCTTCTGCATAAGTTGGTTTTTCGAGAATAAATCTCCTGTTCATAGCTATCAAACATCTCTTTCAACACGCATTGGTATTAACTTGGTTGTAATCTTCTTTGCAGGAAATGGTGGATTTTCTGTTCGATATTTGGCATGGGGATGGTCTTTTCGACTAGGTAACGGAGAGGGGATTCTCAGTATTCTTGGTACAGAATTTAGTTGCAGGCTGGCTCTAATCCATTTAGGTTTAAAGGATCTCAAATTCCATTATCTTTAGAAGAAACTCTGTTTTTTTCCATTGACTTACCATGAACATATAACTAATTAATTAGGTATTTTTGAGATTCTCATCCATGATAATTCACCAAAATCAAACAAGGATCATGCTTCTGATGCCTTGGTTCTTTTCTTTAATAATAACTTTAGTAGTGGAATTAAAAGAAACGGCAAAGATAACTTTGGCATTTGGGTTAAGAAAACGTGTAAGATCTTGATAAGTGCGACTGCGTTTGGTGATTGCGATTGTGTATTTGCGTGTGTTAGGTGTCGAAACGCACTCACTCAAAAAATGCCCATAGAAAAGTCAAAAAGAAATTCGTTGACCGTGACTAATCCATCCTCATGAAAATACTTGACAGTGAAGCTAATTGAATAATTCTGTACTAGATCATGACCCGTGCTATACAGCACGGGATTTAATATTTTTCATGAATTAAATTGTATATTTTGTTCGAAGAAATAAGAAATAATATAGTATAATAGTATAATACAAAAGGGAATATATCATAATATTTTATATTTATTACTATTTGAATATAATGTTATATATTTTATTTGACTAAAGAAAGAGAGAATATTGTATTTTAGAATTTAATATATTTAGCAGCATTAGATTTGTATTTTTTATATGAGATGAACAATTTCTTTGGTTCAATGAGGTATTGATAATTTTATTGTGTGATTGTGAACAAACAAAAAAAATAGTTGTATTGGGTCTAAGTTTTTAATGGATTATATTGGGTTTGTGGGGTCCAGTTTCATGGTTTAAAAAAAAAGAAAAAAAAACGGTTTAACATACCTTTGGAATTTGCTGATGTGTTCATTTTTGATGTCTGCTTGAATTTTGTTACCCTGTAATTAAAATAAGATGACTTAAAACTTACGGCACATATATTACAAAGAGAATTTTATAGAATTTCAATGGTACTTACAGCCTCATCTGTCAAAATCATTTCCAAAGACATGCCAGTACCTTTTGTAAAATGAATCCACGAATGAAGTATACCAACTTGAATACACCAAAAAGTCTTGACAGGTTTCAAGTTGTTAATAGGAGTGTAGCGACTAACCATAGCCATTTCTGCTGTATTTTTAATTGTAGGATATGAGAATGGTGCTGAGATGATTTCTGTGAGAAAAGTACGTTAAACCTAAATGGATATTTATAGTTGTAGATTGTTTGTGATAATTAGGAGATTCAGAAATATATTAATTAGCATAAAATAGTTAGATAATATTTTAGAAAGGTATATTCTAGATTATTTGGAATATAGGATCAAAATTATATACCAGAGAGATTTGACAATCTTTAGAAAAGATTTTAAGGAAACTGGATAGCTGATTATATTGATGCGTGATTAATCTAAACAAAAAACGTAAAATTAAACAAAAAACGATCTAGAATATAACAACTATTATAACTTTTTTTTTTTATAAAGGGTTTTAAGGAAACTGAATATATTCTCAAAGATTTTAGGGAAACTGAATATATTCTCAAAGATTACGAATTGCTTGAATACGAATTTATATCTAAGCAAAATATAACAACCTAATATCTTTAAGATCTTTAAACCCGTTTTTCGTTATTTGACCCGTTTTTTAATTAATTTGTTAATGTTAGTGACATGGAATTAAAATGATTATGATTAGAGATCTCTAATGGCGAATATTATAATTTTATACAAAATTAACGTTACGACTTATAGGATGTACTTCCCAAATAATAGTATAGGATATAATATTTTGAATAACATTTTCGAACTATATGAGTATTATAATTCAAAATAGCATTTTTTTATAAATTGGATGATATAAAATGTTTTCAATGATATATCATTTTCATTAACATTTTCAATATCATTTTTTTATAACATGTTCGAATAATGGATTACTATATAACATTTTCAATAACATTTCCAAATAATATATATATTAGTATATTAGTATAGGATTTTTACTAATTGTGTTACATTTTCGAATTGATTAGTATATAACATTCTCGAATTATATTAATTATGTATTATATAAACAAAATCTTTTAATATCTTTATACCCGTTTGACCCGTTGACCCGTTAACATATATTAGTGAAATTAAATAAAATGATTATAATTAGAGATCTCTAATGGCATATATTGTAATTTCTTACAAAATCTAAGTTATGACTCTTAGGATGTACTTCCCAAATATTAGTATAGGATTAAGCCAATCTCTTAACCAACAAAATTACAAGGATTAGTCCTTACCATTGGTTTAATAAGATGAAGACTTTGTATTTAGTGAGATCAATGCAACTATTGTATTTGATCTGAGTTAATATTAAAATAAACATTGGTTTTTAGGTTCAATGTATATGAAAGAATTTGCTGACAAGCAAAATACATTTTCTCGTAATCCTGTTAGTATGCAATAACACATTGACCGAGTTACTGTTAAGTCTCTCTTCTCTCAGTAAATAAATCTTCTGCTGGGAAATTTCATTTGTTTTTCTTTTTTGTTTCTTTTTGTCTTTCTCTGAATTTTATTCATTTTTTTGTTATTTTGTCAATATTCATGCTTTTTCTTTTTTTTTTGTTTGTTATCTCAGATTTTTGGTGGGTTTTAGATAAATTGGGTGTGGCAATAAAAAATTGAAACTTTATAAAAATAAAATCCATAAAAATTCCATTTTTCAAGAAGAATCTGCTCTTCTTGTCCAAAACGAATTTCTCTCTTCTTCATCTCCGGCAATCTAAATGCTTCCGACGAGATTCTCGAGATAAAGGTCAGACTTATACAAAAAAGCTCCTAAATCTGTGGATTACTTAATCTGCAGATTCAACGAATTTGTCTCGAATTGCAAAGCATTTGGGTTTTTCGTAGATTTTGATCAGGAGAGAAGAAAAAGATGGAGATCGACAAAGCGATCGGAGAAAGTGACGATAAGAGGTTGAAGACCAAGTACAATAACGCCATCTTCGTCATTAAAAGAGCTCTTGCTCTTTACTCGTGAGCTCTCTCTCATTCTTGGTTTATTTTATTCTTACTTGGTTAAAGTCTTCCATCTTCAGATTCATTTTCATAAAAGTGTGCTTGTTTGATTTGTTGCTGGAGATTCAAATTCTATGGATGTGATTTAGCTTTGAAAATCTGATAAAGCTTCCATTGTTGAACGTTGATAGATATTTTGATCTCAGTTAAAGTTACTAGTAGTGATATTATGGTCTCTTAGGATGGATTTTAAGTATATGATCTTTGCAATGATTTTGCTGTTATGTAATTCTGCCTAGATTTTAACCATATTTGACTATGTCCGTGGCATTGTCGAAAAACTTCATCCTTTTTCTCAATGGATGAGTAATGATAAGTGAGGATCTTTTCATTAAAAGAGTAATAAAGATTCATGGGTTTTTTTCAAATTTGTTAGAGCCTTATAGAGGATCATCTATATTGTGAGGATCAGTTTTTAGTGTTTCTCTGATGGTTTACTTTTTATATGCAAGAATTGTATGGTACTAATGATGTTTTGACATTGTTTCCGCCTTCAAGTTTGCTACACTTGCCTGCAAACCCTTTTTGGTGTCTTTTTCGTCGATTGGATTGGCAAGACCTTATCAGTTATACTTGTTGTTCAATCCAATCCGATAACGTGTAAACGTTTTGTACCGTTATAAAACTAAAGATGCTTTATGTTCATTTCTTGTTTGCCATGTGCTTGCCATGTTCAATGTTTGTGTAGGTTGTACAAACATTACATTATGGTTGTAGATAAAGTGATTATTGTCAATATCATTAAATGCATTTTACATTACTGATTCCTGAAATTATCAAACTTGTCGACTTCTGCAGTATTGAAGAGGTCGCCTTTAGTTTCAATGGAGGAAAAGACTCTACTGTAAGTTACTTCAACTGTTCCCTTCCAAAGCCTCCGTTTTGGATATATTTGTTTTTTCCCTGTTTCCTAAGTAATAATAATGACTCTCGTCATGAATTTAGGTACTGTTGCACCTTCTTAGGGCTGGCTATTTTTTGCATAAGAAAGAGCAGACTTGTTCTAATGGAGGTCTATCAAGTTTTCCAGTCCGGACCATATATTTTGAGAGCCCTTCTGCCTTCACTGAAATCAATGCATTTACATATGATGCAGCTCAAACGTAAGAAAAGTTCTGTTCCTCTGCTGTCATTTCTCTTTCTCGTATTTATATCTTTTAACTGAAGATGACAGCCATTTTGAGTAAGATTGTTAAACCGCATTGTGCTCCCAGAATGATATTTTCTGCTGGTTAGCTGATCATCTTATTCAATATGGGCAGTTACAATCTGCAACTTGATATCATTCGCCAGGATTTCAAATCCGGGTTGGAGGCATTATTAAAGGCTAACCCTATCAGAGCTATTTTTCTTGGCGTCCGAATTGGTGATCCTACTGCGGTTAGCTTCACTTCAAATCTTTAATATCAAGATTCAGATGCAAATATTTTGTAAAACTAGTGAAATAAACATGTGATCACTATGATTGATTACTTCTCAATGAATTTTTTCAGGTTGGTCAAGAGCAATTCTCTCCTAGTTCACCTGGATGGCCGCCTTTTATGAGGGTGAATCCTATATTGGATTGGTCGTATAGGTATCTTTTTCTCCGTAATCAAATCTTCTTATTGCTTTATCTGTTAAATCTTCTTATTACTTATGTTTTGGTATGCGTGACGTGCAGAGAATCTTGAGCACAATTGTGCTGACATATATTTTTTATAATGATAAAGTCTGGTGGTCACTGTAATTGTTACAAACATAATATGATAGAGTATCCCAAATAAAGTCTTTGGAAATTTGAAAACTAAAGCCATTTTACAGTGCTGTGATCTCTTATTCTTGTTTGATCTTTATTCTAATTTTTTTCTTTTTTCTTATGCAGAGATGTTTGGGCATTTCTCCTAACTTGCAAGGTCAAGTATTGCAGTCTTTATGACCAGGGGTAAAAGTGCTCTCCACAGTTTCACTTTAACAAGTTTTTCATTCTTGACCAATCCGTCTTACATTGTGTTTCTTTTCTGAATATACAGATATACATCAATTGGGAGCATTCATGATACTGTTCCCAACTCATTATTGTCTGTTAACGACACTAGTAGTAAAGAGAAATTCAAACCTGCTTATTTGCTTTCTGATGGGAGATTAGAAAGGGCAGGGAGAGTCAAGAAAATTGCTTCACTCAAAAATGACGTAGATACCGAATCACAGAAACACGAGGTGCTTTTGGCCTCTGTAATTGCTGTCGGCGATGAGATTCTGTAAGTCATTAATTCTTACTGTCAGGCTCTGTACTTGAAAGTATTTATGTTAAAAGAACATTATGCTAGATATATATCAAGCAATGACATTAGATTTAGGCCAACCACATGTTGAAAAGGGTCCTGCTTGGTTACTTATATACTAGGTGCAATGAAGTTCTTCCGACCCATTTATCTGTTCCATAGCTCAGGTCTGGCACTGTTGAGGATCAATTAGGACTGTCTTTGTGTAAGAAGTTGACTTCTGTCGGTTGGTCGGTGCAACAAACCACTGTCCTTCGGAATGATGTGAGTGAGATTTACTCATTGTCTTTGTTGCATCAGTTTTCACCTATGGATTCATGTTAATCAGAGAATTTAAATTTATCTTCAATCGGCTTATTAATCTCTATTATTGCTTCTCTGTGTTTCTTTTATTAGATAGATTCTGTATCCGAGGAAGTTGACCGCCAAAGGTCTACGAGTGATATGGTAAGTACTCTAAATATATGATCATAAAATCAAAATCAAAGAGAGGTTTTGTTGTGGAAAATGTGCTTGACAGATTTCCTCTGATTGATGCTTTGGAAGGTATTTATATATGGAGGAGTTGGTCCTTTGCATTCAGATGTTACTTTGGCTGGTGTTGCTAAGGCATTTGGAGTTCGCCTGGTACGTATCTCTTTCATATTAATTAGCGCAAGCTCATGATTAAGATATTTGTCTTAACATCTCAATGAATGTGGGTGTCAACAAGTGAAAAAGCAATCACCACTCAATTGTAATGTGAGAAGCTGATACTGCCGTTTATTCAGGCACCTGATGAAGAGTTTGAGGAATACCTTAGGCATCTTATCAGCGAGCAGTGCACAGGTGACAGGAATGAGGTGAGTGCGGTCTTGAAAATAATAGTTTTTATAGATCTTTCTGTATATATGTGGGGTCAACGCCATGCTTATGATTAACGTAATATCCAGAAACAAATAATATTTGTTGGTTCCTCACCAAGTTGATTGCTTTTCTCATTTCAGATGGCTCAGTTACCGGAAGGAATTACAGAACTACTGCATCATGAAAAGCTTTCGGTGCCATTGGTATGTGCTCTCAAAACTCCATTCAATGTAATTATGTTTCAGTATCATTTCCATACCCATCTGAACAGTGGTCATTTTGTGTAGATCAAGTGCCGCAATGTGATTGTTCTTGCTGCTACAAACACTGAGGAGCTCGAGAAAGAGTGGGAATGTCTGACGGAACTTACTAAATTGGGTGGAGGTTCACTCATAGAATATACGTCAAGGCGCTTGATGACATCTTTAACAGATGTATGTTTTACTTTCCATCTCGCCTTTTCTTTCGCCATGGCTTGCTTTGAGCTGATTAAACAAACATTTGCCACTTTTCATGCAAACACCATTGTTTGAACCAGGACTCATAATGCTTGATAGATGGGTGACTTGCTTTGAGCTGATTAAACATTCACTATCATTATGCAGGTGGAAGTTGCAGAACCTCTGTCCAAACTTGGTCTCGAATTCCCAGACATATATCTTGGTACAAAATCTTTGACCTGTTTAATATTATTTAACTGTAAGAGCATCCAAAGTATATGTCTTAACTGCAATCTTCTTCTCAGGGTGTTACCGGAAATCTAGACAAGGTCCTATCATCATCTGCTTAACGGGAAAGGTACAAACATACAAGATCTGGTTTCATTTCTTTCCTCATTTTTCGTGGCTGACAAGATTTTGCTAATTTGTTTTACAGGATAATGCACGGATTGACTCAGCTGCACAGACACTATGCAAGAAATTCAAGAAAGATGTGTTCGTAGAAATCAAGTAGACACAACTTTAAGAATCTGTTGAGCAAGAGACGCAGCTTCAATGGTCTACTCGAGTGGCTTCTATGTACCGGTCACAACCTGAGAGGAAGTAACTGGAGAGGATAGGATCAGAATCTGACACTTTAAGGAAAATGGAAGCAGTTATTGTGGCAAAAACATATTTATCAAAACCTTTAAAATTGAATGTCTTACTCTTATCAGGTATCAACTCTAAATAATGAAATTTGTAGGAAAGTAACCCATAAGGGTTCTGCTTTTACACATTTTGTCTTGAACGGTTTATGTTGCTAAGGGACTTGAAACCTTATAAATGTATTATTTTACCTTAAATTACAATTTTGTACAGAGTCTATCCCTAAGCCTTAAAGAATGAAAGCAAAACCTCGTAGACTTGAAATGATTTGCTCTGCTCCTTTCACCTGTTTAAGCCTACACCGATCATCTGGAGTGAATTCGACTTGAAAAAACAGTAAAAGCAAGAGATCATCAGCTGTCTACTTTGAGGATGTTGTTTGTGATGTGTCCTCTTGTAACCGAATCTTTTTGAGGATCCGTTATCCATTGCCCATCCACGATGAACTTTATCTCATATGTACCGGGATATAACCACAGTAATGTCGACCAACATTTCTGTTTCCTGCCAAAAAAAATCAACAGGTAGACTCTGAAATCAACGGATTATGATTGTTAACACCATTCAAGGCATACTTATGTAAGCAACATTACCCAAATGTTAAAAAAGTCCTTCACATGTTCATCATCAGAAGACAAATATTCGACGAAAGTAGAAAGAGTCAGGACCAATACTAACCCGATTGACTTGGATGCTTGTAGTTCCATTCCCACTCGGTGTTGCCACCCATTGAAGCTGCCAGTCACTTCCACAGCATTACCATCTCCGCAATATTCAAGCACAACCTGAATAAAAATTTAATAATCTTGGCTTTCAGTAATAAGAGTGCAATTAGGGCTCTAGCTCTGGAGGATTGTATTGATAGTCTCAACTGGAACCATGAAAAAATGATAACTATGAAGCAAAATTAAGGTACCTCTTGCAATCCTGAAAGACTTTCCTCAGCTTCTCGCAATTCAACTTCCTTCTCTGAGATAAGCATTTGGGCCTTTTGGATCTCTGTTTCAGCCTGTCTTTGGAGAACTGAAAGAGACAGCTGAACCGAGGAAATTGGATATTAGGAACACAAACAAGTATCAGCCTTTGCAAGAATATGTGACTAGAGAAACATCAAGGAGAGTATCATCCAAGTACATAAATGGACATATGGAATCAACCAATTCATTTGCGAGAGTAGTAGCTTACCTTTTCCTTTTCAATCTGCTCCTTCAGCCTTGACAACTCCAGCTCTTTTTGATGCTAACCATCATTCAATAAATTATCAGAAAAATTAGTTAGCAAATTTTACTTTATCGGGTCCACATATTGAGAGAAAGCAATCAATGTACCAGCATGAACCTCAGCCGATCAATTTCAACCTGATTTTCCCGTTTCCTGGTCTGTATCATTTCAGAACAAGGTTCTATGAGCATGGATACGAAACATAGTTAAAGTTCATTGACTTAAGATCAATTTGCGAGAGTTCAAGAGAAGGATCTTTCAAGACCTCATCATGTGAATCCGTGTCCAGGTCAGCACTCCCATCTCTCTGATCACTATTCCTGTGAATGAAAATTTAAGAGTCAGAGATATTGAAGTGAACCATGAGAAATGCATATCGACTCAAACTCCTACGATACCTACTCCAGGCTTTCAGTCAAGAATGGTTTATGCATTGCTCAAGTTTTAATGATATAAAAGCTTGGCGTGGTTTCCAATAATAGACTAACAATGCAATGTTCTTTTAATGCAATAAAAATCTGAACAATACCAGTTTCTTGAAAAACCTCGAATGATTTTAAGCGTGGATTTGATTTAATATCCAGGATCAATTATAAAATGCAAATAATCATCAAGAGCAACATACAAGACCTTCATGTTTAGACTCACCTGTCAGAGCTATTAAGTTCTTTAGCATGGGTAACCTCCTCCAATGCTAAGGCACTTCCATTTGGTGGCATACTGACACTTCTCTGACCACCATAACTGTCTCCTATGTACTCACCACCTTTGGTTGTTTCTACACCTTCTTTAGTGTCTTCAGGACAGCTTTCATTAGGTATGCCATTTTCATCATCTGAAAACAGATTCCAACTATCAATTAACTTTCATCACGGGGGTAAGGTTTTACTACAGCAACATGCATGAGTAATGAAGATATAGATACGGCATGCCATCATATTAAGATAAGTTTCAGGAGATCGAACATACCATCAACTGTATCCAAGTATCCATTCTGTATAAATCTGGTTGTTTTTTCTTCTATGCTTGAAGTGGAAGAAGAAAGTCCTGACATCCAATCCTTATCCTCAGACTCAACTAAACTATCATCAGCACTACCAGAACGATTTTCAGCTATATCATCAATCTGCTGATTCTGAAAATTCTCTGCATTTGCCATGGTATTCTCTGAGGTCAAATCATACGAGGATCCAGTAGCAATGTCGACATGTTTGGTGTAACTGAGATCTGGACTAGTGTAATGATTATAGGTAGGACTGGTGTAATGATCAAAAGCAAGAGAGGAATCTTTGTCTACATCATTGACCTTCTCATCCTCTGTCATCAAAACATTGCCAGCTTCTGCCTCAGGACAGCTTGAAGTATCATCTAAAACTTGAGAATAGTTTGCAGATATTAAAGCTTCAGAAGATGAGTTTTCAATGTCAGCTCTTTTATTGAGCTCCACGCTCTCAACCTTAAAATTGTTTTCTGTGATTTCTCCTGAATGATTACTGTCACCCAAGTTAGAAAAGGAGTTTTCCATGCTCGAAACTCCAGCAAAAGACGATTCATCTTTACTCAAACTTCCTTGTTCTTCAGCCTCGTTACTTGAATCTGTGACAACTACTTCTTCAGAGAAACTATCATTTTCCTGATCAAGAGGCATACTCCCATCTGTTGCAGTTAAGTATACTTCACGGCTCGAAGGTAGTTCAGTAGACAAGTTTACGTCAACCACATCCAGTGCTTCTTCGCCCTGACCTTCTACACCAGATAAACATATCAGAAAAGTGGAGAGACTATATATTACACAACCAACAATAACATTACAATTTTTTGTTTCTCTTATTGAGTTCAGCGTTTGACCTGTTAACGAATCTTCCAAACAAACTCCACTTCCATCTGTTTCCATGTTCGTATTATTGTCAGAGACTAGCTCATTACAGTCAGAGTTTGCAACAAGTTCCTTGATGAATTTGTATCCTCTTCGTCTGACAATGTTGGCAAGATCAACTCTACAAAAGTGTTCCCACAACAAAACTAAATCAAAATCAAAAGTTTTTCAAAAGCAATCCCTAAAAATCAAAAGACCTTTAAATAGTGAACATCACTGAAAGTTACTAGACTGATAGAAATTCAACAAAATCTGCAATATTGGAATTTGGAACCTTCCATGTGCGGAGAGTTCCTTCATGGACGGCACGTGACCTTGAGGAAGCCCAGCTAAAGCAACGAACTCCATAATCTCACTCCGAAGCTCCTCATTGCTCTTCACTCTCTTACGAACTCTGCTCAAAACACTCAAATTCAATTCAAGCAGACCAATTAACCAAAACAGTAATTGAAATTGACGCCCAAAGTACTTCTGCTGTCTCCAAGTTTCCACAGATCGGAGCAAAAACAAAAAAGCAGCGAGAAATTTCGAACCTGGTTTGTTTGATGGAACAAGCGAAACAGACAAAACTATGCTTCTTCTTCGTGTAATTCAAGTACGAAACAAAAAGTTGAGGTTGATGATGACGATGATAGTATAACAATGGTTTCCGAAATTCGAGAGAAGGGAAGGAGAGAGAGAAAGGTATCTGAGAAATCGTCGCCATCGTCGCCATGGCCGGACTTTCTCAACTTCTGAAGTTCCCAGCATTTATAAGATTCGAAACAACATGAAACAGAACAACATTTCTAATGATACTGGTTATATTTGAACCGGATTACGGTTCAACAAAACCGGACATCGATTAGTTCAGTTTCGTAATTTCCAAACGGTTAAGACTTAAGATAATTCAAGTCCATAATCGGGATTCGAAATTAAATAACTGAACATAGACTAATCCAATTTTGTAATTTCCAAACGGTTAATAAAATTCATTTCTACACCATAGAGCAAAGTGTGTTTATCCTATGGCAAAGATTCTTACAATCGCTAAACCCGAGTACGATCCTAGATTCGATAAACCACCACCGGTACATTTACCGCTAAACCGGCTATTCGTCAAAAAAACCAGGTCAAGTTTTTCAAGACTACTTTACAGTTTTACAAAAATTGTACAAAGGGTCTTCATACGTGTTTCAATTCTCCGGCTTCACGCTGGAGTTCATTATCCCTGGGAGCGACGGTGATTTCACTGGAGCAGTATCAGCGGCGGAAGCAACGTTGTTAGTCTCCGGTGTAGGAATGATTTGTAGCTGAGAATGCTGCTCATGTTGTTGCGGTTGGAGATGAGACTGGTACATATCCGCCTGCGGCGCTGGACCTGTGCTGGGGCCTTCGTTAGGGTTTTCTGGCATGAAATTGTGAGAAACCACCTGGCTGTTGTTGTGACCGTTTGGTTGTTGCGGCGGTTGATCACAAAACTTCATAGTCTTGAGGACAAAATTGTCGTCGTGGAGCTCGAATGGAGTGCTGCAAATAGTGAAAACAGTTGCATTGGTCATCGATCTAATGGGGCGAATTTGGTGAAAAGAGATCGAATTTGGTGTTTTAATTTTACCTGTTGAAATCAAAATGCACAAGCTGCATATCTTCTGATATTTCCACTTCTACTGTCGCATGAGGACGAGTCTGGTGCAGAGATACAACAACAATCAGACGATAATGGAACAGATAGGATGAAAAGAAGGCTTTTTATTCTTTGTTCTGAGGTTTGCTAGTGGATCAATCAAGGATCATAAGAAGCTGTTGGTGAAGTTTACCTGGACAAGGATAAAAGGAAGAGCAACACCACCACTGGGAGCATTTCCTGAGCTATATAAGTGCTCATTTCTCTGAATCAGATTCTGAAGGCCTACATACTTTCAGACACACACAGAGAAGATAGACTGTAAGAATCTACGATAAAAGTAACAGGAAAATCAAGCAAATAAGCCAAGAGTATTGATGATGTTCATTACTTGTTCTTCCAGTTCTTGGGAATATGCAGTTTTCTTCTCAATTCTGTTCCTAAGTGAGAGCCGTTCGTTCTGCAAAACAAAATAACTCAAATTCAGGAACATTTTCTAAACGAGCTTTGGAACATTGGCAAACAGAATATTTGGTCGAAAACCTTTAATTCTTCAATGTCGCTTAAACTTGTTCGAGGAAGACCTCTCCATTGAATCTCTTTTTTATCCTTGGATATTATATCCATAGCCATGAGGACGTTTAAAGCATCATATACTCTTCGTCTTATGTTCTTCTCATCATACTGTTGCTGGTAAAACGTTTTCATGTGATATAATTTCATCTGAGTTTACAACAAGTATTGCACATGTTCCAGGTAATAAACTATCGAAGAAACACATACCTGATCAGGGGATGTTCCATCGTTATTTGGAAGTGCAAATTCAGCAACAAGCTCGTCCGCAACCTAAAAGTACTTTAACCTATCAGATACCGTATTACAGAGCTACACGTTTGTAATAATACTAATAATGAGACAAATTGATATTCCCCTATGTGATCTTGACAAGTGTTAAATCACACTGGTAAGCACAATAAATCAGTTTCATGATATAACATAAACAGAAGTGAATGGATCTTGCAAGGCAGACATATTGTGAAAAGGAAACTACCGTACTTCATTGTAAGTTGTCCTTCCTTTGCTTTCCACCTTTTCACAAACTGAGAGGAAGGCCAGAAGAACACAAGATCAGTTACATGTATAACCAAAAATTAGGAGGCATTATCCTCAATTCATCGCTAGAAACTTGAAAGGCATTTAGATGAAAGCAGAAAAGAGGCAGAGAAAGAGATAAGACCTTTCATGCTAAATTGACGTAGTCCTCTTCCACTCTTATCTGGACCAGCCGCACGCTGTCCCCTCTTCTTCTTCTTAATGCTGTTAATAGAGTAACAATCAACTAAACTATACAGAACACATGTAACAACTTCCACACAAAAATTAACGCACAAAGACAGTGGCCTAAACAGTATTCTTTGTCCTAACAAGGATATTGGGATAGATGAGTATGCAAATAAGCAGTTTCTTAGATAGATTTTAGACTAATACATATCAGGAGAGCCAAAATCAACCTTGTAAAAGTATGATCCACACACCATAGTTACATCTACCAGTTAAATTTCATATACAGTGTTCATTAATCTCATAAAAGCAGCCATTGCAATAGAATGAAACCCTAAATCGCTAAACACAACATAACAATAAACAAATCAAAACCTTTACCAAAAATCACAGAATTGAGGTGGTTTACATACCCAGAAGCTCCTTGAGAACCAGCATCATCACCTTGAATATCCAAATTGTTCATGCGTAGAAAAGTACTATCGCTAGCAGATGTAGCAACGGTGATGGTTTGCTCACTCCGGCTAGACGGAGAGCCCATACTGCCGCTAGTAGACACAGATTGACCTGAAACCGCCGTGCCCCAAGACCTAGTACTAGGGTTATTGTTATTATTATTGCTTCTACCGGAACCATCGTCATGGTGGTTGTGATTAGAATTAGACCCAGTTGTCATTCTTCTTCCACCTAAACTAACTACCCGCACAAACCGCTACTGGAGAATTCAATAGAAAAACGAAAAAGATTTGTTAAAAATTTGTGAAGGAAAATTTCTGATTTTGAGGAAAACCCAGATTGAGTACTGACCTTGAAAATCGACTTGGGTTTTTTTGGATATTAACGAGAATTAGAAGGTTCAATAATGGCGGATCACCATTAGATTTATTAGTGTGATACTTCTCTGGAACGGTGGTTTTCGCGGCGGAGAGTTTAGAGATTTCGCCGGAGAAGGAGGAGGATAAGTCGATCGGAGTTTTTGTGCGATGATGAAAAGATGTCCACAATGAGAGAGAGGGACCAAACTGACTCCAGAGGTAAAAAGCAGTAAAGAGGATAATAATTTTCTTTACTTTTTTATTATTTTTCCAAAAGATTAACTCTCTTTTGTGAATTTTATTAGGTCTTTTGTTTTTTTTTTTTTGTCGTCTGTTTTATTAATATCACAAAGAAGGATACATTGTTGAAATACATAAGCCGGCGGAAACACTAGAAATCCCCGGAAACTTAAAGCCCAAAAGAGGGAAGCGAAAGCCCAAAAGAGGGAACCAGTTGAACACGTGGAGAATACAATCCACAAAAACGAAACAAAAGTCAAAAACTTAAACAAAAGCTCGAAAGAAAACGAACTTGCCAATCTTACTCCCACACCAATGTGAACAAAGCCAGCCACAAAGGACAACACGCGTCCATCTTGCAGTTAACGAAACCTCCTATTGCGTAGCCAAGGTACCTCTCAAATCGATTGAACCTAGACTTCTATTCCGACAAGAAAGACGCGAGACAAAGAGACCAAATCCCACAAATCTTTCGGAAGCGGCGTTTGTCGCAAACCACGACCTTTAATCGCCTCGTTAGAAGACATGAACTGACCAGACCTCGATCAGGTCTTGAGTGTAGAGACAAGGAGCGAAACAAACCTCTAACCGGCAAACACTAAACTCAAAAGGAGAAAAGCATACGATCGAACCGGAGAGATCACAATAAAGCTCATCAAAGGACAAAAGCAAGCTCAGCAAGACACGAAAACAAGAGAGCTCTAGCAAGCTCAGACCAAAGCTTCGGGCAGCAAGAGAGGAAGGAGAACGAGGTAGCCATACCAAAATCCCGGATTATCCGTAGAATCAGAGCCTAAACTAACCTACACAACCCCTTAAGCTACCTAAACTAACGATTATACAACCTTAAAGCCACAAGCAAGAGACCAGAGGCAACGATTAAGCCATCAACACAAACTACAAAGACTACACCAAGCGCAACCAAGGGAGAAACCAACGAGAGGAGCAGCCCACCCGACAAAGGCCAACACCACCACAGACCCGAAAGAACCAAGGGGACAGAAACTTCCAACAACCACAAGCTCTCGTCACTTACCAGATCCACCATCACCCGACAACACTAACCAGAGCCAACACCTTTAAAGCATAGAGAACCCGCCAATCCTTGCAAAATCCACCGTTGCAATCACCAAAGACCCACGCCGCAACCAAACCGCCACTCCAATCGCCAAGGTTTCACCAAAGGAAACACCAACAAGACTAAGAACAAAGCAAAGGAACAACAACAAGAGCCCTCTCGCGGTGCCGGTGAGAAGCACCGACCACCGGAGAGGCGGATCTAAGAATCGATTTTTTGTGACCCTCGACGGCTGCGATTTTGACGAAAGAGAAGAAGGTCGGCGTGTAGTGGAATTATCTTCTTGTTTTTTTTGGCAAAATACCAAAATTATCTTCGTCTTCTTTTTTTGGCTAAATACTGGAATTATCTACCAAAATATGTTTATATGGCATTAATAAGCATGAAACAAATATAAACATTAAAATTTGAACAACATTCAGTACATAATGTAGATAATGATGAAGTCAAAAAGTTAAAATAATGTGTTGATACCAATAGTCAATCACATTCGATATGATTTTTTATATGAAATTACTCATTTTAGTGTTGATAGAATTGAGCTTTTAGGAAATACATGTTCATCTCTTTCATATAGAAAAGACATTACCTTAGAATTGGAGCAAAGATCTAAAATCCGAAGATAATGTGACAAGGTAGCTTAAGGTTCACGAAAGGCACATAACAACATGCTGATTTTTCTTTTTCTTTTAACCTTCCTCGGTTTAAAAGAAAAATCACATGCGATTATAAAGCATGTGGCTGAAACATATGCTAAAAAAAATAAATTGGTTATACTAAAATTATGTAGCAAAAAGTATATTTTGTAAGACGAATAAAAATGAGTATTCAAAAGATCCATCAATAAAATTCTTAATGAAACCTTTGAAGACAAAATAAAAATCCAAAACTACATTGCTTTTAGAAAAGGACAATTGAACAATTTGTTCAAGCCTTAGATACTACTCCAAGTCATTAAGTTTGACTTGAAATTGCTCACCCGAAGACAAAACCTTGACACTGACCGAACCATCTTCCCACTCTGTCTTCCCAACAAGAACCAGCCTTCTTGCGTTTACCCGAGCCGCTCTCTTGAACACCCATTTCAGCGGTTTACTCTCCAATACTAAATCAACGGTTTGGCCTTTGTCTCTGAGAGTGGTTGCAACAGTGGCTGCAGCTCCTTGGAGATCTTTGTCCAAAGCACACACAATGTTCTCTACTTCTTGTCCCAATACTGGCAACAATTCCTTCTCCTTGAGCAACTAAGTGAAAAGAGGGAAATAGGAACCAGATATTCAGAGACAAACAACTTTTCACTGCGGGTAATAGAAGCTTAACAGGAGGAACCAGTGAGTTTTAACTTACTTCAACAATTACAGCATCGCCGAAACCAAACCCACAAGCAGGAATGTCATCTCCTCCATACGTGGAGAGTAATCTGTCGTATCTCCCACCACCACATATAGCTCGCAGCTTCCCTTTTCGATCAAATCCCTGTCACAACATATATATCAAAATTGCTATCACAAAACTACAGACCAGTATCCATGTATGGAGAAGATTATGTCATAAAAACTAACCTCGAAGACGATACCAGTGTAATAAGCAAGACCGCGCACAACAGATGCATCAAACTGTATCCACTCTGAATAACCAAACTTTTCAGCAAGTGAGAAGAGTTGTTTCAAATCTGCAATGGCTTCTCCTGCTCCACCAAGTATATCTGCTTATACAAATTACAGGTTCTTATTAGCAGCAATTTTCAGAGAAAAGGACTCATTAGAAATAATGAAAGGATATACCTTCCAAATCATCCAAGGACTTCACAGAAAGCACTTGCAATAACTGTTCAATAGCATCTTCTGATATTCCCGTGAACCCAAGTTCCTTTTTTATTTCATCAAGTGGAATCTTTTCTATCTATTTAGCATGCAACATATAAAAATAGGTTGGCAAAATCAGCAATAGCAGACTCGTAAAGCTGGAGTGTTGATTGATATTAGTAGATGAAGTAGCCATCTCAAAGCAGCAGTACATTGATGTTTAGACTACTACCTTGTCTATAATGATACAAACTCTTCCAAACAGGTCTTCGGGTACACCATACTTTTTTAGCAATTCTTGTAAAACCTGTACAAGGAAAAAGTTATGGGAGATGATAGCTACAGTAGATATTCAGATGCTGCAGATCGTGCAAAATAATCTCAAATCATGTTTGTCATTGCAAGTAAATTCCTTGGTTCTGTATCTTGAGTGTAAACCAAGAAACAAGATGATCATATAATCCACATCAAAAGAGAAAGAAAGCAAAAATACCTTGCGGCTTGAAACCTTAAAACCCACATCTGATGCAGTGATTCCAATTCGCTTGAAGAAGTTGACTATAGATGAAATTAGTTCTGCTTCAGCCTAAAAGAAAAAGTTTGAGAACCAAATTAATGACTTAAGGAGACTTAAAACAAACACAGGTAAGGTTTATATAGCAAGAAACTCGAAGGCCTTTAAGTGATTGAAGGTGTGAGAGGTGCATACTGTTACTTCAGGTACACCAATAATATCCATATTCCACTGGTAATGCTCACGTCGCCTTCCTCTAGTCATTCTCTCATAGCGCCAACACTGCCCAACAGCAAACCACTTCAATGGAAGGGAAACAGATTTTCTGGACCAAAAAGAATATGGGAATCAACATTCTCACATCCATACCTGGATACAAAAGTTTTACAAAAAAAATAAATAAAACCGCCCTTTGAAGATTAAGGACAATTCTCAAGGCTTGAGAGAAAATTCTGCATTAGTTACCCTTTCTGTATGACAAGCCTGGCTAAAGAAGGTGTAAGCTCAGGCCTCAATGCTACACGACGATTACCCCTATCTTCAAAGCAGTAAAGCTACACAACAAGGTTGCAAGAGTTTAAGCTAAGGATCTAAATTGTTTCAACAACACTACTTAAACTGCAAGTAAAGATCCCATGGATTAAGCAAGTGAAAACGAATGAATGAGAAATGTAGAAAGACAAACTTGGTCTCTAATCTCCTCCCCTGCTTTTCTGATGAACAATGCCTCAGTCTCCAGTACTGGAAAATCCACTTCCTCATACCCAAATAACCGTGAGACCTTCAAAGCAAAGTAAACAGATACAAAGTGTCAAACTTTGAACACAGTATTCAAAATTTCATCGATTGCAGAAACAAAACAACAACTAGCAAATTCATAGAGTTCATGTGATTCTCTGACCTCTTTGAAGTGGTTAAAGAGCCAATTGCGGAGTCGCATATCCTCAGGAGGGAAATCACGAGTTCCTTTGGGAGGATTGACATCGATCTTCTGAAATTCTTCATTCACCACCAATGGAGCAACAATCGAACCTGACCTGCCTCCTCCATTGGCCTTGGTCGCGGCACAGATAAGACGCCTAGGGATAGAGAACTGGCGAAGAGGCGAACAAGAAACGAAGTCAAGAAGAATAGGCCTAATAAAGCTCGAGCTCAATCGCGTCGTCACGATGTGAATTGCTCGCATCTCTCTTTTCTATCGTTGTTTGCTTCTTCAGGGGGCTGAGTGCGATACAAATAAGCAAAAGAAAGAGATAACAAGAGGAACGATTCGTGAGTGGCAAAAACAAAAAAAGTCTCGATATTTTATCTCAATTTTGCAGTGGGGAAGAAGAAATATCAAGTAGAGAGAGAGAGAAGCTTTTTGTTTTGGTGTAAAACAAAACCTTCTAGATTCATCAGAGGGTTTTGACTTTGGTTGCTTAGTCGTGGGTTGGGCATCAATTTCAGTTACTAATGGTTTCCTTGATTTTGCAGAGTTTGTGTGAGAATGAAGCACTCTATGGAGCTTCGGAGTGAGATTAAGGAGAGTTGTTTGAATATCATAAGTTAGAACATACAACCACACACAAAGTCACAAACTCCAAGATAGTCTAAAAAAAACATTACAACACCCAAGTACGTTGCAGAGAGTTTAAAAGCCACTAAGCTTCATCACTGGAGAGGTGCAAGCCAGAGGTAAGAAGTGGACAAAGGGGGCGGATCGATGACGTCATGGAGAGTGTTGGAGGAGAGGTCGTAGTAACCGAAACCCGCGTTCGTTCTTGCAAAGTAGACGGAATTAGGGTTAAGTCCGGGATAGTCGGTTGCAGAGACGCAAAAGGCCTCGCTCTTGCCTAGGAAAATGCAAAGATCGCCAATGTCTTCAGTGTAAGAACCGATCCCTCGCTCACTGTCTTGCCTAATCACCACAAAGGCCCTAGGCTTCGTCCTCAAAGAGGTGTTGTGATCTGATTTCACTTCTTCTTTGTTCCACAAGTCGTTATACCTTTAAGGCAAGAGGCAGCAAATGATATCATCAATACATGAGGATATCATCTAAAAATATATAAACTGCATCGGGAAGGTGTAATTCAACAATGCACATAAATTCAACTGATCAGAACAAGCACAAGCAACATATTTGTCTCAATTTTACATTCTTTCCCTAGGTTTCTGCAACAATACTTGTCCTTAAGGTATAAGAAAGAGGGTTTTGATTGAATTTACCAGTAAACGATGAAGGAGTCGCCAGAAGGTGACTCGACGAGATATTTAGTCTTGATAGTAGAGACAAACGACTGTTCTTGTCTACTCACGGGGATGTCAGAGTTAGGGAATCCCTGGTACAGACTCACCTGAGGGAAGTCGTCGGAGCTAGTGTTGAGATCAATGGGACCCTCGTACTCTTCCTCACTCGTCCTGTGGAGATAGAACTTGCGGTCTCTCGCAGAATACATCACCTTGGAGGCAAAAAAGGGGACCCTGATGCGTGTCCAATCCGAGTCACCAGGGCGACACAGGCTGATAAATGGACTATAGGACTTGGCGGCCACTACACAGTCTTGCTGGTCTGGGGAGGCTGAGAAAGAGATAGTGGAGATAAGAGTTTTGCTATCTTCCAATGGAGGCAGAGTGATAACCTTGTGAGACGAAACAGAGGCACAAGGGTTGAAGATATTGGTGAGACGCACTGTGGAGTCGTGTAAGTTCTTCACACCCACCCATCCCCTCGACGCTCCTATCTTCAACGAAGCCTCGAGATCCTCCGACAGGTATTGGTCGGGGACTTTCACTCTTTCCTTCTTCCTCGGATCGTACAAGTTCATGTCCACCAATGAACCACGAGGTGTCCTCACCAACCTGTAGTTGGTCTCACAGAAAAGCAGATACGGCGTCGCTGCCGAGGAGAAAGACCGCAGTTCACTGAAACAGAGTCTCTGCTTCTTCACAACTGAGGAGATCTTAGCGATTCGACACAAAAGCTGAGACATTGTTGAAATTGAAAACCCTAACAAGCTAAGCAGAACCCTAGAACCCAGCCCTTGCTTGCTTCATATACCTCCTTTGTTTCCCAAAATTTCCCAAAACTTCCATTTTTCCCTTTTACCCTAAATTTCCATTTTTGCTTGCTTTCCCCCTTTATTAATGGCACAAAACGGTTCCTCTGTTTCCTCAATTAATGGTACTTAGGAGTTAGTATTTACGTGGGAAAATAAGTAATAACCGAATATATCAAACCAGCCCAAACCTAATTCGATTTGATTTCAGTTATATACCGAACAGTTATTTCTATTGGTTTACTTCGGATGAGGCCTGAGAGACGAAGAAGAAAGAGAACAAGGGAAAAAAAAAACCACTTTTATCAATTGGATCAACCGAAAAAAAATTAAACCAAATTATCAACCGGTTATACAAACCGGTTGTAACATCCCAAGAAGAATTAGTTCAAGGGGAAGGGAAAAAATATCATTAAAAGATCAACACATCAAAAGTGTTGAAAAAAAAATCTACTTTGCTTGTGGCCAATAAAACAGAATGACAGAAGATTGTCATCAACGGTTACATTTCATACATACATACATATATAGGCTAATACATACAATTTAATTATAATTTACCAGAAATTTAATATTATTTAATTAAATTTTTTATAATCAAATCTTCCAACAAAGAAATATGGAAATTATAGTCTTATATTTAAATTTAAATAGATATTTCTTACATAATTTATTTTTTCAAATCACTTAAAACTGTTAACAACATTGGTCTTAAGACATGAAAATTACTTAAATTTTAACTAACAATTAATTATTTAAACTCATACATGATATACATGATCCCAAAATTTAATCCATATTGGCTATGTGCTTTATACCCTTACATATATATTTACATGAATATTTATTCTTTGGAAAAAAATCTAATATCTAGTGTTTGTTGTGGTGTTCATTATGAATATTATTTTATATTTTCTATAAAAACTTTACGTAAGAAAGTAGGAAGACTATGCTGAATAATACTCTGTAACTAAATCTGAAGAGTGACATCTATTATTTCTTGGGAACTAACATAAAGAAATGAGTGACAACTATTATGTTTTTTTAAAAAAAATGTTTTGGGAACTAATGTATAAAGAAATGAGTGACATCTAATATTTTTGGGGAACTAACTTAAAGAAATGAGGGTTTTTTTGTTATGTGGCATTTCATGTAAATTTTAACAACTTCATCTTCATGTCACTAAAGTTAATAATGATTTCCAATTAGTAGTCCCATTATAGAATGCAAAGAAGTAAACTTTAGGTTTATACCATATAAGAAAAACTTTAGTTTTATACCTCAAGCTTTAGACTCGTATCATCTATTTGTTGTTATGAATATTATATTCTATTAAAACATTAATTACGGAACTAGTAACTAGGAAGACATGCTTTTAAACTTTTAATAATACTTCGTACTAATTTTGAAGAGCGACATCTATTATTTTTTGGGAACTAACATACATAAATAAGTGACATCAATTCAATATGAATTTTTTTGGACGAAAAAAAAAAATGAGTGACATCTATTATTTCTTGGGAACTAACATAAAGAAATGAGTGACAACTATTAAGTTTGACGACTCGGAAACGAAAAGCAGTGACTTTTAAAGATTTTCTAGTTTTTACCCAAAAAATTATTAACGGCTCGAAATTCACTTGACATACAAAGAGATGCGTTAAGAGTCTTACGGTAAAGCCACCGGAAATGGATTTTTTCCGGCTATATAAATGGAGGGCTCTTCAATCCAAAGATGAACTCATCAATCAACAAAGAAGGGGGAAAAAAGGATCGGTATCTATATTCGAAGTTGACATGTTACCATAAGATATACCTTATTAAACTATTGAAAACTTAAATACTTCTGGAAAAATATGAAAGAAATTAAGGGACAGAAGTTAATCAACGAATTGAATTTTTTATGGTAGCAAAATTAAGTATAGTTGAATTTATAAAATTGTTATTATTTTTGAAAATGTTTGTACTTGGTGGGCATTAATGAAAAAAATATCAATTAATGAGGAGTCTAGCAGTGAATATTTTTGTTGTCAATTCCAAGAAAATCAAATAATTGTTCTTCTTTTTATTTCTATACCATCAATATATGACCCTAAGTCCCTAACCAATAACCATGATCCTATAGCCCCCTTGAATATTGCTGTCATTTACTTTAATATTTAAATAAACTTATTTGTATTTTTGCCTTGTAGTCTTGTAGACGTAGTAAATGAGTAATGAGTAATGACACCAATTGGCTGATACCATCTTCCAACAATTGACATGTTAATAGTTAATACTCAATAGCTAATACCATAATAATTTTATTTACAAAACAAATGTAAATTTGTATAATATTGAATATGCTTACAGATAAATGTTAAGCTATATAGATGATTCTTTTTCTTTCTCTTTTTCTATAGTGCGTATACATGAATTATGGTCATTTTTCAGAAATATTACTTTCAGCAAACTATTATGGTCGTTATATATATAATACATAGTTTCTGAAAGTGATTTTTCTTTCTAAGATCAGGAGGGCTCTTCAATCCAAAGATGAACTCATCCATCAACAAAGAAGAAGAAAAAGGATAGGTGGTATCTAGGGCTCCTATATTTTTTTTTTTGGCAATATCTAGGGCTCCTATATTGGAAGTTGAAATGTGTAATTCATGTTCCCATAAGATATACATTATGTCATTATTAAACTATTTAAAACTTGCATACTTCTAAAAAAAAAAACGAAAGAAGCGAAGTCTTTAAGAAGTTAATAAAGCTGGTTTGTTGTCAGTTCCCAAAAAAATAAATTATTTTTTTCTTCTGCATCTATATATATGACATTAATCATTATGATCTAGCTCCTTTAACTTATAAATATTTAAATAAATTTATTTGTATTTTGCCTTGTAGACATAGTAATGGACATCAGTTGGCTGACACCACGTAGGCAGTGCCTACTAGGCACGTACCAATACATGTCAATACTCGTAGATTATAGTAAATATTTTCAGCAAACTAATGCCAAAAGAAAAAAATATATATATACTTTCAGAAAACTATTATGGTCGTTTATAAATAATTAGTGACCAATTTACATTGTTTTTTCCGTTAACATTGTCTTTATTTATCATATAAATTTGAATCCAATTCGTTTCAATCCTACTGACTTCATTTATAAAGGAACAAGTAAACTCGATACTTGTCAGTTGTTAAAAAAAAAAAATAACAAAGGAACAAGTAAACAACTCTATATTATACTATACTTATTGCAATAACTACATTGGTTATAGATATCCATCCATTCATATGGGTAATTGATGTCAAAAAGAAAAGGAAAACAAAAGAATTGGAAGTCATAAACTTTAATATACGGTGAAAATCGTTGCGTGTGTATGTGTATAATATAAAGTGAAGACAGAGCATTAAAACCTTTTTTTACTCCTTTTCCCTAAAACTGGTCAATGTTTTAAATTTGTGAGATATAAAGAATCTGTATGATGACGATGTGAAATACTAGTAAATCTTTATTATCTTCTCTTTCTCTCTCTCGTAGTCTGAAACTTTACCCTCGTAGGAAACTGGCCGAAAGATTTCATCAAGATGAATCTTTGCCGGAATCGGCAAAGAATTAAATCGGAAGCGCCAGATCCTCTATATAAACCACCTTAAGATATTGCTTTGAAGCATCATCTCATATCAATAATGAAGAACGCTTTTAAGAACCTGGTTTTGTCTGGAGGAGGAAATCGCCGGAAGATGTTCCAGGCAGCTGCCGCCTCATCCTCCGCCGGTTCAGGCGACGATGACGGGAACCATCCGCCGCCGTCTCCGTCGCATTTGCTTCCGCTTCCGCCGCCGTCGCCGTCGGAGTTTCCGCCGCCGTCGTCACCATCGGGGTTACTTTCGCCGCCGTCACCATACAATGTGATACAGCAGGCTGAAGAAGAGAGAAAGAAGATCCAGCAAAGGGAGGATACACGCCTAGAGTTTCTGAAGAAGACTGTTGAAATGAAGAATGAGTCTCAGTATTGGTTCAAGAAGTGGGAGATGAAGCAGCAGGGTGAAGAAGTTTCTGAGCTGGAGAGAGCTCCGATGATGACAGAAGAGGAGCTGGAGATCTGGGCTAAGGAGGAAGAGGAAGAGGCTGAGGCAAAAGATGGCAAGGTGTGGGATATCGAGGAAAAAATTTCCTACTGGGAGGAGCAGCATGTTCACTTCGTCATGGAGTCGAAGTATTGGGAGTTAAGGTATGAATACTTAGGTTTATCTGACTAAGTGTTCTTCTAGATCCATCTGATAATAAGTGGCTTGCGTTCTAGCTTGCTCAGAGTCTTAATTATGGAGTTTATGTATTCTAGCTTTATCTGATAAGTGTCGTGTCTTAATTATGGAGCTTCGGTTTAAGCGTCTTAATTATTGAGTTTGAGTTTGTCTCTTAACTTCTTTAATGTATGCTTTCGTTTCTTTATTTTGACTCTGTCATCTTTTTTTACTAGTTGTGGTTGTGGATCATATCATTTGCACGATATCCCCATTTCATTATGAGTTTCGGAGAACTAATCATATGGTCAAAAAGTATATTTTGTAAACATTGATATAAAAAAATATACAAGATCCATAAATTTAAAGATTCCTGATAAAGAAAAACTTCCACGATCAGATACAAGATCAAATCTCAACTCAATTGCTTTATAAAAAGTTAAGGACAATGAAACAATGGTTCATTTTAATGAAAAATATCCTTTGCTCACATCTTTATTGATCCTTTGCTCACATGTTTTGTGGAAATTATTTGTGCAACTTTATCTGGACAAGGATAAACGGGAAGAGCTAGGAGCATTTCCCGCGCTATACAAGTGTTTGTTTCTCTATATCAGATAGATTCTGAAGGCCTACATATTTTTCAGGATCAGATAAGAAACCATTTATTTAAGAATCTATGATACAAATAACGAGAGGATAATAGCCGAGCGTATCAGTGGTGTTGTCCACTATTTGTTCTTCCCGTTCTTGGGAATATGCAATTTTCTTTTCAATCCGGTCATGCAAAAATGAAAACTCAAATTTAGAAGCAATTTATCCTAGCAGAAAAAAAACGGCACAAGGAGAAGAAAAGACCCACAAAACGAATAGGAGGAGTGAGCAATTAAAAAAAAAAAAAGACAACGGAAGGAGTTGTTGAACTAAAAACGAAGCATCCTTGTCGAGATTGTCATAAGTTAAACATACAAACAAATCCCGAATTAATATAAAATAGTCGGAAAAAGGCATAATACAACAACACATAAGTTACAACAGTTTATGAGCAAGTAAGCTCTATTCACTGGAGAGGGGCAAGCCACGAGAAAGGGGCCTCATGGATAACGTCGTGGAGAGTGTTGGAGGAGAGGTCGTAGTAACCAAACCCCGTGCCCGAGCTTGCATAGTAGACAGAATTAGGGTGAAGTCCGGGATATTCGGTTGCAGAGACGCAAAAGGCCTCTCTTTGGCCTAGGAAAATGCAGTGATCGCCAATGTCTTCAGTGTATGAACTGATCCCTTGCTCAAGGTCTTGTCTAAACACCACAAAGGTTCTGGTCTTACTCCTGCTAGAGATCCTTATAGGAGGGGGGTTCTTGCCGTTCCACGGCTCCACTTCTCCTTTCTTCAAATATAAGGATCTCTCATTACACCTTTTAGGCAAGATTGAAACACATTAGGATATCTCATCATAATCTTTGGTTAAAAGGTAAACTGCATCAGGTGTAAATTACACCATGTAATACAACAATGCACAGATTAAAGTGATCATAAGTCAGAAGAGCAAGCACAAGCACATATTCTTCTCTCTATTTCACACTGTTCCATGCCTTATAACCCACACACCTCCTTCTCTTACATTCTATCCCTTCTTACACTAGGTTTCTGCAAAGGCAAGAGGGATGATGAATTTACCAGTAAACGATGAAGGAGTCGCCAGAAGGTGACTCGACCAGGTATTGACTCTTGATAGTGGAGGCAAGCTGTTCTTGTCTACTCACGGGGATGTCAGAGTTAGGGAATCTCTGGTACAGAGTCACCTGAGGGAAGTCGTCGGAGCTAGTGTTGATGAGATCAATGGGACCCTCATACTCTTCCTTACTCTCCCTTGGGAGGAGATAGAACTTGCGGTCTCTCGCAGAATACATTATCACCTTGGAGGCAGGAAACGGGACCTTGATGCGTGTCCAAGCCGAGTCACCAGGCCGCCACAGGCTGAGGAATGGACTACTAGAGGACTTGGCTGCCAATATACAATCTTTCTGGTCTGGGGAGGCTGAGAGAGAGATACTGGAGATACGAGCTTTAGCATCATCCTCCAATGGAGGCAGAGTGATAACCTTATGTGACGAAACAGAGGCACAAGGGTTGAAGATATTAGTGAGATGCAATGTGGAGTCGAATATGTTTCTCGCAACAACCCATCCCCTCGAAGATCCCATCTTCATCGTACATTGGAGCTCCTTGGACAGATATTGGTCGGGGACTTTAACTGTTTCCTTCTTCCTTGGATCATACAGGTTAATGTCGACCACTGCTCCACCAAATGGTGTCCTCGCCATCCTGTAGTTGGTCTCACAGAAAAGCAGATACGGCGTCGCCGCCGTGGAGAAAGACCGCAATTCACTGAAACAGAGTCTCTGCTTCTTCACAAGTGAGGAGATCTTAGCGATTCGACCCAGAAGCTGAGACATTGTTGAAATTGATAACCCTAGACGGCTAACCAAAACCCTAGAATCCAACCCTTGCTTGCTTCATATACTTCCTTACTTTCTCAAAACTTCCATTTTTTTTCCTTTTACCCTAAATTTCCATTTTTGCATTCTCGCATTCTCGCTTTATTAATGGCACAAAACGGTTCCTCTGTTTCTTCAGTTAATTGCTACTCAGACTTAGTGTTTGATTCGATTTCCGTTAAACGTAATCAATTAAAGAAATCATAACCAAATAAATCAAACCAAGACGAATTCGGTTTCCATTTCGGGTATACCGGAACATCTCTTTGTACTGGATACCACCCAACCCATTACCGGTAGAGAGAAAGTTGGAAAAATGTAACATAATCAAATTAACAAAAAAATAAATCATCAACGGTTCAACATAAAGTATGGTAGTAAAAAGTCAAAATAAGTTTGAGTCAAATCCAATGGGCCAAGGATTGCATCAGTCCCGGTTAAAAAAAAAACGGAAGAACCGTGATTAAATAAAAACGTCGTCGTTTATCCTCGTCGTAAATGGGCCCATTTAATGATGAGGGTCCAGTTCGACGGCATAAATAAATTAACCCGCGTACTAATGCTGACCTCGTGGTTTACATATATATGTGATATATAACAAAGTTATATCATCACCATCAAACACATCATTAATCACATAAGAAAAAGGGTCTATATATTCCTCATCTTCCCCTTTTTCCTTATTCTCCAAACCAGACCAAAAATATATATTCTCTCGGTTTTTTCCAGAGCATTCAAATTCTTCCATAAAAAGTATTAATCTGATTCTGTCTACTACTTCCATGGGTGAGGTTAGTTACTTCATCTTCTTCTTCTTCGATCTCTCTGTCCGATCTCTCTAACGAACGCGTGATTGATTTCAATTTCTCTTTACGATTTTGCAGAAAAAGGAAGAAACGGCGACGAAACCTCAAGGAGAGAAGAAACCTATCGATGGTGGAATCACCACCGTCGTTATGAAGCTTGATATGCATTGTGAAGGCTGCGGCAAGAAAATCAAACGTATCTTCAAACATTTCAAAGGTATTAATCAACAAATCACTCAATTTCCAATTGATTTCTCTCTGAAATTCGTTTCGAATTTAAAACCCTAACGCGATTTCTCTGATTATTTTGTGATTTAGGTGTGGAAGATGTGAATATTGATTATAAGGGTAACAAATTGACGGTGATCGGAAACGTAGATCCAGTGGAAGTTCGTGATAAAGTGGCCGAGAAAATTAAGAGACCAGTCGAACTCGTCTCTACAGTTGCGCCACCGAAGAAAGAGACACCTCCTCCTTCATCAGGCGGTGATAAAAAGCCACCTGCGGCGGAGGAGAAACCGGCTGAGAAGAAACCAGCCGCCGATGAGAAATCCGGTGAGAAAAAAGAAGAGAAGAAGAAAGAGGAAGGAGAGAAGAAAGCTTCACCTCCACCACCACCTAAAGAGGTAATTAATTAATTAATTGTCTCTATCTGTGATTTATCTCTTCTAATTAAATATTTTATAAATAAAACTAGAAAAATACAAATTTTAAATTCAGATAGCGAAACTATATAATAAAAATATATTTCTGTTTGTGGTCTATAACGTGTGTGTGTGTTTCCACTTCGAAACTTTACGGTATTTACACTCGTTCAAATCCCAAATATATTTGGAGGACTTTTTCTTTTGTTAAAATAAAAATGGTTCCTCTAATTATAATTAATATTTTAACTAAGATAACGATGGTTGTTTCTGATGTAAATTTCTTTGATGTGATTCAGAGTACTGTGGTTTTGAAGACGAAGTTACATTGTGAAGGTTGCGAACACAAAATCAAAAGAATAGTCAACAAAATTAAAGGTATGTTTATGATCATTAATCCTATTTGAAACGTTCTTTAGTACTTAAATTTTAATAAACAAATTGATACGGTTGGTGATTGAGGAAGATAACAGAAGCAAAAGAAAATTTTATTATTCCTTAAATTAGGTTGGACTCAACTACCTATAGGTAGCTTATTTATTATTTTAGTAGTAAAAAATCATATGGTTAGCTAAGAAGTGGTTAGCCTAATTTTTGAGCTTAATTATTCTATTAATTACATGTTAAATTAATTAATTTATGAATTTTTATTTACAGGGGTTAATTCAGTTGCTATTGATAGTGCCAAGGATTTGGTTATAGTTAAGGGGATCATTGACGTGAAACAGCTCACTCCTTATCTTAACGAGAAGCTTAAACGCACTGTTGAAGTTGTTCCGGCGAAAAAGGATGACGAAGCACCCAAAGCAGCGGCGGCTGCAGCTCCAGCTGGCGGTGAGAAGAAGGACAAAGGTGCTGGTGAAAAGAAAGAGATTAAAGATGTTGGAGAAAAGAAAGTCGAAGGTGGTGGTGAGAAGAAGAAAGAAGTTGCTGTTGGCGGCGGTGGAGGAGGAGGAGACGGTGGTGCTATGGATGTGAAGAAATCGGAGTATAACGGTTACGGTTATCCTCCACAGCCGATGTATTACTACCCACAAGGACAAGTATACGGTCAACAACATTACATGATGCAAGGTCAATCATCTCAATCGTATGTACAAGAACCGTATACAAACCAAGGATACGTACAAGAATCGTATATGAACCAAGGTTACGGTCAAGGGTATGGACATGAAGCACCACCGCCCCCATATATGAACCACCAAGGTTACGCAGATCCTTATGGTCATATGCGTGCGCCTGAGTTGTTTAGTGATGAGAATCCAAATGGGTGTTCTGTGATGTGAGTAAAACAAATGGGGAGGAAAATGTAAATAACTAAAAAATATAGGGTGAGAATGGTAGATATGACAAATTATATACTACGAAAGCACGGAAACTTCCGAGTCCGGTAATCTAAACCGGCTGGATTGGCCGGTTAGAACCGGTTTTTGAGAGGCGTGGATTGGTTGGGTGGTTGGTTTATTTCTTCTATATAGCATATAGGTATAATTTTGTATCGTAAACATTGTGTTTTATAACTTTTTGTGCTATGTAATTGTCAGGTGATCATAATGAAAAACATATTAGTTCTGATTAACAAATTTTTTGTTTCAAGAAAATCATATTTGGTGTGTAATAAAAATGAATAGTCTACCACATACATAAAGTGATAAAGAGGTGGAAAAAAAAAAGTTCAAAAGATTATTATAACTAATCCTAAGCTTTAAAGACTCCTCGTAAAGCACTTTTAATATATGTGTATAAATAACTTGAATCTTATCAACTCGTTTTTGGTTCTAAAATGTTAGATGTGTAAGGAATCATAAGGATGAAATTAATACATATCCAATATCAGTACGTAACACAACCGACTAACATTATAACTCGTATAGGACCGCAATTCAAATGAAACCCCACAACGGCAGAAGAATAATCCAATTCATACTGGTCTTTTGTTCCAATTGGTGTAAGTTATGAATATAATGCAACATTTAATATTTTGCATAAAAATGACGTAACCCTGTATAGTATAATTTATTAATCAACCGACATTAGATCAAAAGTTAGGAAACAATTGTTTATATACCCTCTCTGTTTTCAAGCCGTTGAAAATTTTCGGAAATGAATTATTGTGAAAATGTATATGTTTCATTGTTGATCAAAAGTCTTAAGCAATGGAGCAAATGTTGTTTATTTATTTGGCTTGTTTTTTTTTCCCAATGTGAGTTTAACAAAAGTTAGAAACAAGTAAACAACGTCTTCTGGATCCATGCCAAAAGAAATTCTTATGACACAGCAATAGGGTTTTGTCATTCTTTAAAACGAATATATGGTTAGTCTTTCATATTTTAATAGCTATAAATAAGAAAAAAGCCGAACATTTAGAATTCGTCTTTAGTCTTTGCATGTAAAATCATCTTTAAGAGTTTCCAAAAGTTTCTACTTCTGAGGGTCATAATAGCTTTTGGTTTTCCATAAAGGGTAACACTATAATGGTTAACACATCATAAAACACATACAACTTGCATAAAAAGTTCTACTATAAGAAGACTAATGTGTGTATGTATATATGTGGGGTGTGTATATGTATATGATTGTATTATTTGGAAACAATATTTGACTCATTGGTTTAATAAGGCCAAAAAGAAGAGTCGATGTAGACGTTATTTATGGATGTTAGGTATAAATGAAGTTATGTAGTTGAAATTTAATGATTTATTGATCAAATGGTTGGATGTATTAAGTTAGCTTTATTGTATCAGAACAAAAAATTGTGCTAGAGTTAAAACTGTCTTCATCGGATATGATCATCAAAACTTGTGAGTGGTCAGAATTGCCAAGGGACAAATAACTATTAGCATTCTCCAATAGATACATGTACATATGGAGAGATCGATTTTAATAACTAATTATTTTATATCTCGATCATTCTCAATTGGTTTAACCAGTTGTGTGTATATTTTTACTGGAAAGCAAATCTATACGTGTTCCTAGGTAGGTGTGGCTTATATTGGATGATGATAATAATGATAACACTTTAATTTATTATGTATATACTTGTGGTAGAATCGCTACTACGTGATAAAGAAATTAGGTTTTCTATATCAAAATTTATGATTTTTGAAAAAAAAATATGAATTTATGGATGGTTAGTATTAGTATGCATTATAAATTGATCGTCCATTGTAATTTTGTTGTATGTACTGCGGATAGATTAATATTTTAGTAAATGATGATATAGTGTCATAAAGAAAAGAAAAAAGAAAAGAAGAAGCTATTGATCCAATAGTTGAATACTTGAAAGGAGTATATTATAACGACTAAAACAGATCGACTTGCATCTATAATTTGCTAAACAACATCCTCCTCACTCCTTCGAGAGTAGTCTTGAATCTTCCAGCGTTTGCATGGCCAGGAAACGATAAATATTTTAAAAGATTATAATGATTGAGGAAGTACAAAAACCAATGAAATGTTAATGTTGCCTTCGTAGATAAAATTGTTGGTTCCTTTCACACTCATACAAAGTTAGTGGGGGCAGATTAAGCTAATCTTAACCCTTTCATCTACTGATTAATTCCGTAAATCTAATAATATATCATCTCGTTAGAGGTAATCTGGATCAAACACCAAATTTTAAATATGAATTTTGCAACTGTCGTATGAAGTATACACTATTTAAATATGTAAATCGCATTAAATTAAAACTTACAAGTCGATCGATCTGGTTTCATTTTCTATCAACTAAGATAAACAGCCACATAATTAATTTAAGACTTTAAGAGTGGGTAGTTATTTGGACGGACCGACGTATGATCACGTTTACGTGTGTGATTCTGATATATAGTTTTGTTCTTATTATATATAAAAAACGCCAATAATGATTTGAAAAGATAAGAAGATTCATGCCGTTTCATACATCAGCAGACATTTTGTATTTTTTGCCTCCTTTATATTACTAAATTCTTGTAACTTGTTTCGTATAGCTAGTATATACACTTAATTTATTTTAAAATGTTTATTTTTCGTACATCTTAAACAATAAACAAATGTTGTTCCTTTGTCGATGTCATATGCAACAAAAGACAATTTGATTTTAAAGACAAATAGATAAAACCAGAAGCTATGGCGCTATGCATATAGGAATATTCCAACATTTATTAGTGTTTGATTTAATTAATAGAAAGGAAAAATGAAGTCGTAAACATGTATTCTCTTTGTTTTTTTTTTTTTACTTATAAGTTATAAACATGCATACTCAACTGCGTAATCTTTGATTTATTTTTTCCTTTTCCATAACATATCCATTAAATAATAACGCATCGACGATATTAGCATAAATTAAAACCACAAACTACTACTATAATAGATAAAATGCGCCATATATCTGATCCTCTAATATCTTAATTTTATACGAACATAATTATTATAAATTTCCTCCAAATCATTTGCTGATGCGAAAACCTAATCCAGCACTTATAAATGGATTATAAAACTATTATTGTAATATAAATAAAGAATATCCGTCAGCAACATTATAAAATATGTAGAATAAAGTTGCATCAGGATGACGAAGAGAGAAGTAAAGGAGAGACCATGAACTTTAACAATGCCCCGTGTTTCTGACTCAGCTTCGAATGTGACGTACACAATTACCGCTTTTTAGTTTTTACTTGCAATTGCCACTAATTGTTTACTAATTTCTGTTATAAACATATCCTAATTAGCCAAAAAAGGAGAGAAATCCTAATATCATTATTATGGCAAATTTTAGTAGATGCCGTTCGAAAACTTCTACACTGATAAGATACACATGGTTATGAATCTTGACTTGTGAGATTTTCTAGGATGATCATGAAATTGTATGTGCAATAACAAGCATGAATCATGATCATAAATGATGGGTGATGATGATGTATGATTAATGTGTAGTGTTTTATGTTGACATGTTATAATTAGTAGGACCGGTCCACGTCAGGCCCACATGGCAATTTTTGTCTCGGTTTGGATTGCACGGCACGAGTCGCCCCCACAAGTACAGCTGGAATGTGTAGTTGTGTTCCAAAATGTAAAATAAAAACTCGCTACATGTGAGACAAATATATATTCCTTTCCCATATTTTCTCTGATTTGTTCTAAATGGTCTATTATTTTTGGGGGTTTTTAATTTGAATTCAGATTATAAAAAATCATATACGTGAAGTTTATGTTTTTTTTTTTATTGTATTTGAATAATTTTTGATTATTTCCGATAAATTATTTGTGAAATTGAACTTCACATCTTACCTAATATTTTTTTCTTTAAAAATTGGTTACAATTTGTTATTTTCTTAATATATAACATCATTATTTGTATTTTACTTTCTTAATTTATACATTATTACTTTCAAAACTGGTTATTTTGACATGGTAATATCCTTTTATTAAAAAATTGTTTATTTCTCTATGACTCTATGCATACATGAATTTTCTGCTGTTAACAAAAAAAAACTTTTCATACGTTAAAACGCCTTTTTCAAACCCAATCTGATAATTTCGAATGTCAAACTCCTTGAAAAGAAATAGATAACAACTTGTAATTAAACAATGATAATATTATAAGTAAATTCTGACTTGTCAAAATTGCTTAGTCGCGCAGCCACACGTGCAACCATGTTTCCACCTTGTTTCGTTTCGTTTCCTCTTTTTTGGGGAGGAGCTGAGAAGAGTCCTCTCTATATACAAGAAAGCCACTAATTATAGTCCAAGTCTCCATGAAACGTTTTATTTGAATTTTGACTATTTCTCAAATTAAATTGGAAACTTATTTGACTATTCTATTTGCTTTGAACTTACACTTATTAAATGTTAGGCTGACTTGATTTTATATGATCAAATAAGGCTGACTTGATTTTATATAATCAATAAGATAATTCCATTTAAGCTTTCAAGTTCCAGTTTCTTCTATACATTAGTTCAACTGTTTTACATGTTGAAATTACTTAAATTTTGACTCTCTTTATTTTCACTGAGTTTGAATCTATTTATATCATCATCTTTAAAGAAAACGAGGGCAAGTAAAAAAATAATGAGCATATCTGGGCCGACTTCGAAATGGGTTTGAATGGGCTTCATTATTATGGGCCGAAAACGATTTGAGATACTTTTTGAAAACTCCATAATGTTGTTCTACAACGTTTGAAAATAATTTGCTTGCCGTGAACAATCCCAATTTCCTATTTCCAATTTGTTCATATCTAGTAATCACACATATGACATATCTCTTTGAGATTAATACCAATTAGAGTTCTAAAGAAGCAAAAACTATATAAATCATGTTGATTGCTAAATATTTTATTTTCCGTACTTGTTGATCACTTTGGGATGCCAAAGAAAGAGGAGAAATGGATATTTGATAACATCTGGGTGTACCATGTTTAAAAATTAAAATCTTGATCAGACCGAACCAGAAGCAATCGAACCGGTTAGTTAAACAGAACCGGATTCGTTAAGGAAATAACCCAAAATCTCTGAAACACGAGAACATTCATTACTTTAACGGAGAATGGCCTCGATTGTCGGAGTTCGAACAAGATTCCTGAGTCTCGGGAAGTTTCCACAAATCTCTACTTCACTGTTAAGACTCCATAATCCTCGTAATCATCATAATCCTCCTCTTCTTCCTCTTCCTTCATTCTCTGCCGCTCATAGTCGTCATCGTCCTCTGCTTTGGCTTCGCTCATCTCTGCCTGTGTCCTCCATGACCACTCAGGCTGAATCTGGGTCTTCCCAGCAATCCGATTCTTCCAAAACGGTATTTTCTATTCGTTGAAATTGTGGCTAAAGTTGAGATTTTTTTTCTGGTATCTGTTCGAAATTAGGTTTTCATTGGTTTTCTACTTAATGGGGTTTTTCATGTCAATGTCGATTGATGATAGATTTGCTTTGTTTGAATTCAGTGAACCTTATTCCATAGCCTTAGGTTTGATTTTTGGACTATATAGAATGGGTTTGTTGTTTCTCATTATTATCATTCAAAAACTTGTAACTGAGTCTTATACTATAAATGAAACTATGATGATGCTTGTTCAGATTCTAGACTCTTTTTATTGGTTATATGTTGGCGACTTAAAGTTTTATAAGGTTGAGAGTTTGAGACCATCAAAAGTTTGAGTGAGATGCAATTCTATAACCGAAATCTATCTGCAATATTGTTTTGCATCTTATGCCTCATGTAACTTCTTGATGCTGGATTATATCAGCCTTCTTGGTACCATAGTAGTTGTCTGAAAATATGGACTGAAGATGTCTAATGTTGGTGCAGGTTAGGGTGGTGATAAAGGGAAGAGTACAGGGAGTGTGTTACAGAAACTGGACTGTTGAGAACGCTGAGCAGCTTGGGGTTAAGGGATGGGTGAGGAACCGCAGGGACGGTTCAGTGGAAGCACTCTTTTCTGGACCACCTGAAGCTGTTGATGAGATGCATCATAGGTGTCGCCGTGGTCCTCCTGCAGCCATGGTTACCGGTTTGGAGGCTTTCCCTTCCACTGAAGATCCGGGATCAAGTTTTGAATACAGATCAACCGTCTGATTTTTTTTAACAGAACCATGTTCCGTGCCAACAAGAAGAAATACTGAAGATTCCACAAGGAAGAAGAAAACTTTTGTTCTCCAGCAGTAGTTGCAGAAGATTCTGAGAAAATTTACGTAAAGAACAACGAGAAATGTAATGAAACAGAGTTTCATTCTTACAAAACTGTTTCTCCTCGATGCCAAATCTTTACGGTGTTTCTAATAACAGATACATTATACAGATCATACTTCACTTTATCTCTACACAGTTATTTGGACCAACAAGTTCTCGTAAGCCAACTTGATATCGCCATCACTGCAGCTTCAATGAATGTATCTTCTCCCTGGTTTCAAGTCATTATCTTAATGGTTAAGATTTTAAGACATAAAAATAAAATAAAAAAGGAGTAAAAGTGACAGACATCTTTTATATATAGATTAAGAGTGTTCTTCTTGACTGATCAATACCTCAGTTTTCACTCCATGAAACTGAATTCCCTTTTTCTTTGTTGTCTGTTTTGCTATGGTTTCGTTAAGTTTTCATGTCTACACTTTGAGACTGCTCGAGAGATGGATATGATTAGAGAATGCTCAAGGTTGTTCTCCATATGGCTAAGTTTGAATCGTTAGGAATTAGGATCACAACATCTAAGGAAAGTTAAAAGGGGATGCAGGGAGCAAAGCAACATGATTACGTTCTTGTTCATTTCTCATTCGTCTAGATACTCAAACTTGGTACTTTTTAATCAATTGATGCAAGTTGGTTTGAAGAACTGCAGAACATGGTTCTGTTAAAAAAAATCAGACGGTTGATCTTTTTAATCATATCACCTTGTTCTCGAGATTCCCGGGAAGCTCAAAGTTCAGGATCCCGTTTCGTGCTTCCTCTCCATCAATCATATCGTCAATAGCCATGACGAAGAACACAGAGAACATAGAAATTAACTCGCCGATTAACAAGAGGATCAGCCAGAAACCGAGGATCAGAGAAACAGTCCTCAACCAACCGAACATGAGAAGCAAAACTCGCAGAGAAAAATTATTGGAATCATTGAATTGAAAAAGTATTTTTAGAAAGCAAGAGAAATTTAATACATATACAATGACAGAAAGAACTTTTACAGAGAAAATATAATAATACTTGCAGAAATAGGAAATAGTATTCTCAATGTAAACTATTTTCATCCTGCCTATTCTTTACCTGAAGTTCTTCAAAGTTTCTCCTCCCTTGATTATCAACACAAGTTATGGAACACGATATTGAATCAAGAATTTGGAAAGCTATTTTTTGTGGACAACGCTTCTGACAGTAGGAGCAAAGAGGTCGAGACATATGATGATTGCATATCGTTGAAATGGTGTCTCCATAAATCCATGTTGAATCAGGCTTCATGTAAAAATCCTCCCCAAGCAGACATTTAATGTGTAGGGTGACATAACAGTACTCATCACACATATAAAACCCTTTTCTTGGCTTTATTTTTCCCTCGCAAACTTCACACCAATGCGTCATGATATTTTCCCCCTCTCCATAAGAAAGAGTGAACATATGCTTATCATGCTTATACCTCACCTTTTGAGGTAAAGTAGCACATGTGAAACACAAAGAAAAGTCACACTCTTCAACGCAATTGAATGTTTCCTTTGTGGAACCATGTCCCAACGAATAGCAAACACAACATCTTCTTTTCTCTCCTGGTTTGGATGTTAGGAATAAAGGATGGATATGACTTACATGGACTAATGGCTCAGAAATTGTGGCGCACTGCACATGTAGCTGAAAATGACATCCTTTTTTACCGCATTCATAAAAGAAACCAACTTTGCACAGCGAAGGACATACCGAACATATATCCTTATTATAGTCAATAACACGGTCATATCCTCCCACTAGAGTGAGCAGATGTGGATGTATCGGGTGATGTAGTTTGTGAGAAAGTTCTGCACATTTTTTGTGGAGAATATAATCACATTGGATACAAGAGTAGAAGTTACCGAAGTAGATTGGCGTGATGCATGCTTGACATATCTTATTTTCGTCGTATTCTTTGGCCGTGTTCTCACCAAGTCTCAAATGATGATGTGCATGACTGAAATGCTTTATGATCCCATCGCTTATCGTCTCAAATGGCGCAACTTCTTCTTCTTCGATTTCTTCTGGAACTCCATCAAGGTCTATGCCATCCCACACATTGCTCTGTGTGGCACATCTTGAATGTACCGCATACGAACAACCCTTCTTGATATCAAGTAAAGCCCCCATAATCAGTGTTGATCTTTCGGCGACAAACACCACAACACCAATCTCCTTGGTCGAAAGAAGGGGTAAAAGAGATACGATGGGGATGACGAGATATCCTTATGGCGCGTGGTAAGCTGATACAATTTTGATGGACCAGGAAGTCACAAGGGGGACATACATAAAAAGGACAGCTTGAATGTGTCAAGGCACATACGGTGCAAGTGACGGAATCTCTTGTTGGAAACAGAGCAAGAGTATGCTCATGCCACTTTGGATGGTATATAGATAAGACAAGTGGTTTCTCCGAACAGGCCATGTTCAAAGCATAATCGCAAACCTTGCAGTGATAAAATAAACTTTTGAGAGCTTCACCACAACAATAGCATTTCTTGTTTCCACTACTTACTCTGGTCAAGACGAGGTGAAGATGATGTTTTGGATGAAGAAGGTGTTTGATGACAATTGGAGCTTTGTTATGTTCTTCATGGTTTTTGCCAATGCAACCTTGGCAGAGAAAATGGGTAGGGTCTTCCCCTCCTCGTAACCTGAATTTCTTCCAGAATAAAGGGAGACAGTTCCACTTGTTATTGCTGCTCCACAAGATTTTTTTTTCTGGCACCTTAAAATATCCTTCTTGGAAATTTAATTCTACTTGAGGGCGTATGGAAATAAGGTTCTTCCACTTTGAATTCGTAGAGACGACGAGTGAGAATATTTGATGGATTAGTGACATGAGCTTCGGTTCCGGCTTGAGTTCCAATGTTTCACGAATGAGATCCATGAAGTTCGACGTCAGCTCCTGCTTTGAATACGAGTCAATAGAGTCTTCGCGAAAGAGTTCTTGTAAAATGATTGAGATGAGCTTCCTAAGCGGATGAGGCTGGGAATCCAAATCCATAGAGTTGAAGAGTGAGATTGCTTGTTTAGTGAGTGACATAAGCTCAGACTCCGGCTTCGGCTGCGAATCCAAATCCATTGATATGACGAGGGAGATCATTTCAATACTGAGTGATATAAACTTCGAATCTTAACCCCAGTGAGTTTCAACAGTAACGGTGAGAGACATCAGTTGAGTAATCAGTGATATAAGCTTCGACTCCGGCTCCTGTTCCGGCTCCGAATACGAGACCGTAGAGTTGACGATAAAGGCTATTTTATTAAATAAACCTAGGAGCTCCGACGAATACGACCAATCCAAAGAGTTGAGACAAGAAAATATTTGAGTAGCGAGTGACCGGAGCTCCGGGGACGGCTCCTGCTTCGGATCCGGATCCGATTCTGTAGTGCTGATGAGAGAGATCATTTGAGTCACGAGTGATACCAAGTTTACCAACTGCGAATCCCGTCCCCAGTTCCTTCCAGATTTGCCGGAAGAGATTATTCGCTTAATAAGTGACATGAGCTCCGTCTCCGGCTTCGGCTGCGAATCCAAATCCATTGAGCTGATCAGAGAGATTAGCTGGATGGTGAGTGATATGAACTTTGACGGCGGTGAATCCGAATCTAAATCTGCATCCGTCTGATTATAATCCTTAGACCGAAAGAAAGATAACAATTGAGAAATGACTAATTTGAGCTTCGACTCCGGCTCCAAATACTTCGGGTTGAGACAGAATATCTTAAGAATGAGTGACATGAGCTCCGAATCCGAATCCAAAGAGTCGAGATGAGGGTATATTTGAGCACTGAGTGACCTAAGCTCCGACTCATGCCCCTGCTTCTCATCCGAATTCGATTCCATAGTGCTGATGAGAGAGATCATTCGAGTCACCAGTGCTACCAGCTTTGACTCTGGTCCCGAATTCGATATAGAGTTGCCGAAAGAGATTACTTGCTTAATGAGCGATATGAGCTTCGACTCCGGTTTCTGTTCTGAATATAAATCCATTGAGCTGAGCAGAGAGATTATTTGCCTACTGAGTTGTAATAATTTTGACGTCAGGTGTGAATCCGAATCGGAAACCGAATCCGCATCCGAATCCATAGCGAGTAATACAGATAGCATTTCAGAAATGAGTGATCTGAGCTCCGGCTCCGAATCCATAGAGCTGCCGAGAAAGTTTATTTGAATATTGAGTGGTAAGAAAGATTTTTTTTTTTTTTTTTTTTTGATCAAACTGAGTGGTATGAAAGATTATTTTGAGTGAGGGAAAAAAAAAGGAGGGAAAAAAGAAAAAAAGAAGAAAGATTATTTTTGAGTATTTTTTTTTTTGGTAGGAAGATTATTTTGAGTATTTGGGTAAGGAAAAACTTTGCTTCTCTCTATATATTCGTTTTTTTTTTCCTCTCTATATATCCGTGTGTTTCCTTACGCTTTAAGCCTTTAACGTATTGTGTGTATATATAATAATTACGAGACAAAAAACAGACTGTTCAAAATAAAGTCAACGATCAGTTTAAAGATTATATATCTCAACACGACAACACTAGTATAGTAGTACTACAATATTACAACTAGCATTCGAGTTTCTAAAAAATTAGCTTATCCAACTTTCACATTTTCGAAGAAAACAAAATCATTCAGTCTGACATTTTTTTGTTTCAAAAGCATTGAACGGTCAGCTATGAATTTCTGTAGCCTGCGAATCTTGTGATATTATTTGTATCGTTGAAAATAGCTAAATCAGTACCAACTATCAATTTATTTCTATTAAGAATGAGCCAACTTAAAAAAAAAACAGAATGAGCCAACTTAAAACTTCTTTTACGTTGGTTGCGGCCTAGACGTGTTCAAATTATTTTCGTATTTTCTCTCAAACCAATTTCTAAACTGTCCACTTGTAAATAAACATCAACTCTACAATGAAATAAACAACTACCACTTACAATTTCTTTTTATTCAAATGAGCCTACATATTCAAATTACTGTCATTTTTATTGAATCAGTACCAACTATCAATTTATTTCTATTAAGAATGAGCCAACTTAAAACTTCTTTTACGTTGGTTGTGGCCGAGACTTGTTCAAATTATTGTTGTGTTTTCTCTCAAACCTTTCAATTTATTTCTATTAAGAATGAGCCAACTTAAAAAAGAAAAAGAAAAAAAAGAATGAGCCAACTTATAACTTTTTTTATGCGGCCGAGTCGTGTTCAAATTATTGTCATGTTTTCTCCAAACCTTCTCCCGACTGTCCACTTGTAAATAAACATCAACTATACAAAGAAATAAACAACCACCACTTACAATTTCTTTTTATTCAAATGAGCCTACGTATTCAAATTATTGTCATTTTTATTAAATCAGTACCAACTATCAATTTATTTCTATTAAGAATGAGCCAACTTAAAAAAAAAAGGAATGAGCCAACTTAAAACTTCTTTTACGTTGGTTGTGGCCGAGACTTGTTCAAATTATTGTTGTGTTTTCTCTCAAACCTATCTCGAGACTGTCCACTTGTAAATAAACATCAACTCTACAAAGAAATAAACAACCACCACTTACAATTTCTTAAATAAAATGAGCCTACGTATTCAAATTATTGTCAATTTTTTCTCTTAAACCTATCTCTTGACCGTTCATTCGTAAAGAAACAATGCTCACTTTTGAGGGAGTATTATTGGGTTACATCGATAGTCGTTGCTCAATAAGATGCTGCTCCCCCTCCCTCTGTCTCAGATCGGCTGTTTGAGTCTCTCGAAAGTCGTGTATTTGTAATAACCAAACTTAATGTGTGTCTTCAATTAATGGGCTTCGCTATTGTGGAGGATATCCCTAAGAAGTTTTGAAAGATTTACTTAAAAGACTCCACTAACTTCTACAAAGTTTAAATATGACCCCTTAAGTTACGTCAGTTGCTCTATAGAATGTTAAAATCTCAGACTCAACAATACACATTCTCGTTCAGATATTATTAGCTTTTGTTCTCTTTCCTTTTCTTTTTTTGTGCACCAGCTTTTGTTCTCTTTCCTCATCCAACAATTCTTGGGTTCATCTTAGAGGTGAACCTCTCTTATTCACCCCTTTTAAGTAGGCAATAAAAATTTACTATATAATCTAATTAAAAAAATAAAAATAATTTATATTATCTATAAAAAAAAATAATTCACTAAAACCCTCTCAATTGAATTAATTATAAACCTAAACTCTAACCATTCTTTTATAAATCCAAACCGACATATATTTTCATGTAATTGAAAATCTAAACCCTAACCACTATTTTATAAACCCAAACTGACATATAATTTCATTTAATTGTAAAATCTAAATCTTAACCACTCTTTTATAAACCCAAACCGACATATAATTTTGTTTACTTATAAAATCTAAACCCTTAACCTCATCTATAAACCCAAATCGACATAGAATTTTGTTTAATTGTAAAATCTAAACCCTAATCACTATTTTATAAACCTAAAACGACATATAATTTCGTTTAATTGTAAAATCTAAACCCTAATCCATATTTGTAAACCCAAACCAACATATAATTTTGTTTAATTGTAAATCTAAATCCTAATCACTTTTTTTATAAACTCAAACCGACATATAATTTCGTTTAATTGTAAAAATTTAAACCCTAATTCAAATTTATAAACTCAAACCGATATATAATTTGGGTGAATCCAATAATTTTTCTTTAATGAATTTATTTGTTTAGTTATTTAGATAATATTAATCGTTTTAATTTATTTAATTAGATAATATGTCAAATTCTAATTAGTTAATTAAGAGGGGGTGAATGAAAGTGGGGGTGAACCCAAGAATTATTCTTCCTAGTCTTAGGTTTTTATAAGTTATAAGTTATAATGATCAAAAAAAAAAAAAGTTGTGATGATCATTTTCCTAATTTTATTGGATTCTTTGCTATTTGTTTAGATTCGTCTCTATATTATATTAGTTTCGTATATTTATGTCCACAAATAGTTAAGAAAAAGGTATCAATCACTAGATTATTTAGACGAAATTGAAGATCTCTTCGGTTCTATATTGTTCATAGATCCACATACTTGGAACAAGAGACTAGGTCGTAATATTGAATATGCCAAGGAATCAGATTACAGCCCCAACGTTGATAGGCTGATGAGCAAACAAGCTTCTAACTGTGTGAAATTCTAAATTTTTTTCCAGCAACACATCGACATTGTTATTGTAAAATCAGTGATCTTGGTGAGAAGGATCATACCAGATAGAGATTGACCAAGTGGGATAGCTCCACAAAAAACCAAACTGAGAGATTTTGACCAATTTAACCAGGCTAACGGGACAGAGTTATTTGTACATAGTAGTACATAATGGTGGAATGTTTTGGAGCACTTGAGGGACACACTAAGAAGAGTTTTTCGATCCAACCAAATATATTGCTTTCTCTTCAAATGTGCTTGAGACTTAAGTCACCAGTGGAAATATCTTACGTCATAACAATATTGGACAGTTCAGTGTTTGACTAATCAATACAACAAAAACCTACAAATTCACTCATCTTTTTTACATCCAGAGGAATGACTTAGAAACAAAAGCATAAATAGAGCACGAATCAGACAACTCATGGAACATAATAATTCTCCTAACTCCTAAGCGTTCTAAAACTATTTTTGTATGGACAATAATTCTTACAATAGTAGCCAATAGGTCGAGAATGATAATTGTTGGATAGAACATCTAACTTTGTGCTATTATAAAACCACGATGAACCAGTCTTCATGTATAAGTCCCACCCAATCAGACATATATCCAATATGTAGGATGACAGAACAATACTCATCACAATCGTAAAACCCTCCTTCCGGATGTACTTTTCTCTCGCAAGCTTCACTCCAATACGTCATGGTACTTGTCTCCTTCCCATAAGAAAGAGTGAGCATGTGCTTATCATGCTTATACCTCACAAACAGTAGGCAATTGAATGTTTCTTTGTGGAACCTTGTCCTGCCTCTTTACAAACACAACATCTTCTCCAATCTCCTAAGTTGGAAGTTAGGAATAAAAGATGCATAAGACTTACATGGACTACTGGCTCAGAAATGCTGGCGCACTGCACGTTTAGCTTTAAACGACATCCTTCTTTACCGCACTCATAGAAGAAACCAGTTGTGCACATTCAATTACAAGCTGAACATAAAGTCTCATGATAGAGCACATCCTCATCACCGATATATACTCCAACTAGAGTGAGCGGATGTGGATGTACCGGGTGATGTATTTTGCGAGAAAGATTTGCACATTCTTCATGTAGAATAAAGGCTTGGATTGAGTATAGAAACTCCAAGGTTACAGTCACTCTCGCGCCAGAAACTGTTAAGAAACCTAAGAAGCCTTTGATCGTTGCTCATTTAGACCTCTCTTAAGGTTTAAAAAATGTAACCCGATTTTTCCGGTGCCATGGGCCCTGGCGTTGAGCGTCACAACATTTGGAGCTGGACCTTCCAGAACAGTGCCAAGAGAACCTAAACCGGTTCTGTTGATTATGCTTTTTCAATTGTATCACAAAGTTGTAACCGGAATGAATAAAAAAGCAAATTATGCTGTTTTAAGTGTATGTATTTGACTGTTTTCGTAGTAGCATATCCTACGAGGACTTGTGCATTTGTTGTTATGTTGATTTTTCATTAATCTACGATTCCAAGTAGAGACCCTGACACACAGAAACTTCACAAGACTCGTTTCAAGAATCAAAAATTGATGCAAAGCAGAGTAGTTGCTTAAGAGTTTAAGTTCAATGGAAACATCTCATAACATTAGATAGATCAATGTTTGACTAAGCAGTGTGATAAAAGTCAAAACTTCATGTCGATCTCCGGTGGGAACAGTCTGCCACGGTGATTGAATATCATGAAATCTGAGTTATCTGGTAAAGACACAGTCCTGCAAAAGTTTTGAAAGAAACCAGTTAACAGAAGGTATTCACTATATCTAACAAAAGACCAACTCAAAACCAATTCAAGAACCATAATGTGCAAAAAGGTAGGGGAGAGGCTGTGACATAGAAGGAACCAAAGTGGGTCTAAAGAGCCAATGAAACAAATCTAAGCTGATTGAATGAGCTAGGAGCAGAACTGCTTAAAGCTCTTGTAACATATAATCGTAATTGAACCAAATCTAAACTAGAAAATGTCCCCATAACCACCAACCTACCTTTGAATGTCCTGCATTTTAGACAACCTTAGCTACACAAAGTACTATTAAAGAATTATCAATGTTGGAACCCAGAACATCTCTAGACGACAGTTTCTTATCCATAAACATGAGTCTTTGGTGGTCATTCTCAATCATCGGGAAAAATATTAACTATCAAATTTCTATGTTTCAGATTGATAAACACTGATGCACAACAGAGAGTTAAAGAGACATCAAAACTAGACCTCGAAACATCTCAAGAACACAAGTTCTTTAAAATGAATTCATGAACAAACACATCCGTAAACCTTTTTAGTCAAAAGCAAAGGCATTCACTAGAAACGCCCATGAAACTGAATAATTGAACCAAATCTAGCCAGAGGAAGTCTCTATAAGACCCGTAACTCTATTCCAAGCTAAACATACGAACAGAGAGAAAAATTCATCCTTTAACTGAGGCATCAATGTTGGACTCTTTAACGAATCCATGACCACAAATCTATGAACACCCTAAGTCAATAGCAAAAACACTCACTAGATAACATGGTTTAAGATTGATTAACACTGACACACAACAGAGAGTTCAAGGGAAACATGACCACAGACCTGTTTTCATCAGAATCCGGATGGATCGAGAGAAATTTCCCAGGGAAAGTCAAAGCAGCCCACATACACAGAGCTAGCCCGATGATCAACTCCAGAATAACCTTAAGAAATCCAATCATGAGACATGTCAAATCATAATCACTGCTGATAAAATTCCAAGAAAATTGGGGAAAAAGAGAAACCTTTATCATATACTCACATTAATCGGTGGTCGAGAGAACTCTTCCTCCATGATCTTCAACAATCCTCTATCTGAAACAAAGATAGAGAAACTCACATGAAGATCCTATCTCAAAAATCAAAGTAGATCTGACTCAATTGGAACTGGAATTGGATTGGGAAGAGTTGACATGCATTGGATTGTTGAATAAGCGGCATGGGAGAGAATCAGAACGCCGAAAACTCCAACTACGAACCCTAAATTCATCTTTAGAAGTTGTCTTTTTTTTTCCTTCTCTAAGTTGATTCCCGATCTGGATTTTCTCGTCCAGTACGCCGAGAATCGAACTAGAATAGAAGACGATCAGTGGAATTTAAAAACGACAGGTAGTTATAATATCGCAAATCTCAAAGTGAAAACGACGCAACGTCTAATATCGAAGAGACTAACAAACGGCGCGTAGTTCTAGATTGAGGATATAGATAGGGGAAAACGGCCAATTCCCCCCTAAACTTAGTTGCTTTATCGTATTCATACATAGAACTTTGTTGTGTGCCTATAACTACATAAACTCATGTTAAATTTGAATTTCATACACGAACAAAACAAATCCGGCATAAACCCACAAATCGTCAAACGTCGTTAATGTTCCGTTAACAAAAAGCTGACTAGGATGCCACGTGTACGATAACACAAAACGACGTCGTTTTGCTTTTAAAAAAAAAGATAAAAAAAAATCCCTAAAAAATAATTTGCCCCAAAAAAAAGGATTGTTGAAGATAACAAAAGATTTATCTTTGCCCCAAAAAAAAAAAAAACTAGATGAAAATTTAATTAATTTGATAACATTTTTAACAACAAAAAGGGTTTATCTTTTTGGAAATTAATTAATTTTTCTATAAGAAAGTTCAATTCAAATGAGGTTTTAAATATGAAAATTTATTTAGAATTTCATATTGATTAAAATTTATTTAGAATTTCATATTGATAAAGATGCAAACAATAATTTCTGCAGCTAACTTATATTGATATAAAAAAATGGCATTCTGTTTTAGATCAAAGAAATAAAATTGTAAGATATTAAAATTTCTATTTAGAAAAAAGTAAAAAAAAAAACAAATGTAGTTTGCTTGATACCGCTAACTAATAAGAAACTTCTATTCCTTTCTTGTGTTTGTTATCACCTAGAACCAAAAAGGAAAACTGTTATCCTCACCTCTCTTGTTACTTTTATTTCCAAATTTCCCCCATAACTTTTTAATCTACATTTAGGTACTCTCACCACACTATAAAATTAAGTTAAAAATTAGTCAAAGTGAGATCGATTTTTTTTTCCTTCTAAATATACTTATTATTTTTTTGTTTGAATGCTTGATAAATCATAATAATATAAATTAATTGATATGATTTAAAGCGAACATGGGGTGTTTTATTACAATACAAAAGTTTGGGAAGGTTTTGATATAAATTTAAAAGGTAAGGGGTCGTATAGCGATAAGTAAAATAAAAAGAAAAGGAAATTAAATTCCGCTTCTTTTTCCAACAAGAAGGAAATCAAAGAGCTATAAATCCCGAAATCAGCTCTCCTGAGATCCCATTATCATCATCATCATCAAATCGATCTCTCTAGAAACAAATTTCGCAACTTTCTTCAGAAAACTCTCTCTGGTCAATCTCAGCTATCACTATGTCAAACCAACCTGAATCTTCCGACTCGTAAGTACACCCAGATCTTCGATTTTCGTTTTCCGATCATAAAGTTTCGATTTTTTTACTTGGGGTTTTCGATATTGGGATTAGGGTTTTTTAGTTTGATCCTAACTTTAAGCTGGTTTTTGTTTCAGGAAACCTAAGAAGGATTTCAGTACTGCGATTCTCGAGAGGAAGAAGTCTCCAAACCGACTTGTTGTCGATGAAGCTATTAACGATGACAACTCTGTTGTCTCTCTCCATCCTGCTACCATGGAAAAGCTCCAGCTTTTTCGAGGCGATACAATTCTCATCAAGGTTAGGTTTTTGTTCGAAAATAGGGTTTTCTTTCCTTGGCTAATGGATTCTTATGTGATTCGTCTTGAATTATGATAAATTGTCACTTTGATGTTTTTACTTTGTATGATCTTGTAAATACATTCAGTTAGTGTTTACAACTATTTTGTCTGAAGAAGTGGTTTTTATCTCTGTGATTTGATTTCTAACTTGATTGGGGTTTTGGATTTGCAGGGTAAGAAGAGGAAGGACACTGTGTGCATTGCCCTTGCTGATGAAACATGTGAGGAACCCAGGATCAGAATGAATAAGGTTGTAAGGTCTAACTTGAGGGTTAGGCTGGGAGATGTTATTTCTGTTCACCAGTGCCCAGATGTCAAGTATGGAAAGCGTGTGCACATCTTGCCAGTTGATGATACAGTTGAAGGGTTTACTGGAAACCTTTTTGATGCTTACCTTAAACGTAAGTTTGCTTTAATCTTTGATTCTTTTTCATATCATAGTTGAGCTTGTCCTTTGGAGTTCGTGTTTGCTGTGAGATATTTTTTTTATGAGTTTGATTTTTTTCTGAGCTTAAATTGATTTTTTTCAACAGCTTACTTCCTGGAGGCATACCGCCCAGTGAGGAAGGGAGATCTTTTCCTAGTGAGAGGAGGAATGAGGAGTGTGGAGTTCAAAGTGATCGAGACTGATCCTGCCGAGTACTGTGTGGTGGCTCCAGATACAGAGATTTTCTGTGAGGGTGAACCAGTTAAGAGAGAGGACGAAGAAAGGCTTGATGAGGTCGGGTATGACGATGTTGGTGGTGTCAGGAAACAGATGGCTCAGATTAGGGAATTGGTTGAACTTCCCTTGAGGCATCCACAACTCTTTAAATCAATTGGTGTGAAGCCACCAAAGGGAATTCTGCTTTATGGACCTCCTGGATCCGGGAAGACTCTTATTGCTCGTGCTGTGGCTAATGAAACCGGGGCATTTTTCTTCTGTATCAATGGACCGGAAATCATGTCGAAACTGGCTGGTGAGAGTGAGAGCAACCTCAGGAAAGCATTTGAGGAGGCTGAGAAGAATGCCCCTTCTATCATATTCATTGATGAGATCGACTCTATTGCACCAAAAAGAGAGAAGACGAATGGTGAGGTTGAGAGGAGGATTGTCTCTCAGCTCCTTACGCTTATGGATGGACTAAAATCACGTGCCCATGTTATTGTTATGGGAGCAACAAATCGCCCCAACAGTATTGATCCGGCTTTGAGAAGGTTTGGAAGATTCGACAGGGAAATTGATATCGGTGTTCCTGATGAAATTGGACGTCTTGAAGTTCTTAGGATCCACACGAAGAACATGAAGCTAGCTGAAGATGTAGATCTAGAAAGAATCTCCAAGGACACGCATGGATATGTTGGAGCTGATCTTGCAGCTCTATGCACTGAAGCTGCCCTTCAATGTATCAGAGAGAAGATGGATGTGATTGACTTGGAAGATGACTCAATTGACGCTGAAATCCTCAATTCCATGGCGGTGTCTAATGAACACTTCCACACCGCTCTTGGAAACAGCAATCCATCCGCACTTCGTGAAACTGTTGTGGAGGTTCCAAATGTCTCCTGGGAGGATATTGGAGGTCTTGAGAATGTTAAGAGAGAGCTTCAGGAGACTGTTCAATACCCGGTGGAGCATCCAGAGAAATTCGAGAAGTTTGGTATGTCTCCATCAAAGGGAGTTCTTTTCTACGGTCCTCCTGGATGTGGGAAAACCCTTTTAGCCAAAGCTATAGCAAACGAGTGCCAAGCAAACTTCATCAGTGTCAAGGGACCTGAGCTTCTCACAATGTGGTTTGGAGAAAGTGAAGCCAACGTCCGTGAAATCTTTGACAAGGCTCGTCAATCTGCTCCTTGTGTTCTGTTTTTCGATGAGCTCGACTCCATTGCTACTCAGAGAGGAAACAGCGTGGGTGATGCCGGCGGTGCAGCTGATAGAGTGTTGAATCAGCTTCTGACAGAAATGGATGGAATGAATGCAAAGAAGACGGTATTCATTATTGGAGCAACTAACAGACCGGATATCATAGATCCAGCTCTTCTTCGACCTGGAAGACTCGACCAGCTTATCTATATTCCTCTACCTGATGAAGATTCCCGTCTCAATATCTTCAAGGCCTGCTTGAGAAAATCTCCTGTCGCTAAAGATGTAGATGTGACTGCACTCGCTAAGTACACTCAGGGATTCAGTGGTGCTGATATCACTGAGATCTGCCAGAGAGCATGCAAGTATGCCATCAGAGAAAACATCGAAAAGGTCAGAGATTTGTTTACCTTCTGAAACATGTGATTAAGTAACCTTAAGTTCCAATTCGTTTTAATTGTTCTAATCTTGACCCTTTTTTTTGTGTTTTTGTTCCTCAGGATATTGAGAAAGAGCGTAGAAGGAGCGAGAATCCAGAGGCGATGGAGGAAGATATGGTGGATGATGAAGTTTCAGAGATTAGAGCTGCTCATTTCGAAGAGTCGATGAAATATGCAAGGAGAAGTGTAAGTGATGCTGATATTCGCAAGTACCAAGCTTTTGCTCAGACGCTGCAGCAATCAAGAGGGTTTGGATCTGAGTTCAGGTTTGACTCAACCGCTTCTGCCGGACGCACCGTTGGTGGTGCAGCCGCTGATCCCTTTGCCACTTCTGCAGCTGCAGCTGATGACGACGATCTCTACAGTTAGATCATGATTTCTCTCATTTTTTTTTCTTTTATGATCTTTTGGATGATGTCAAGAGTGATACAGTTATAATTATTGATCACGCATAGACTCTCTTGAGCAAATTATTATGATGTTTATTTCATTCACAATCCTTTGATCGGTTTCTTAAGGTTAATTTCCTTGGTAAGTAATAATATGCGAGGAAAAGTTTAATTGTTGAAAAACTGTTAGAATTTGGAATGTGAATTAGCTGCATAAGGAAATGATCAAAATGTTGTGTATTTTTTATTTAATTAGTTAATTCTGTTTTTCTGGCAGAAAATTTTCTTTCTTTCAAAGAAGAAAATAATATTATTGTAAGACTTTGAAGCTGTGAGCTCTGTTCATCATCCTCTCCCTCTACGAAGGGACTATGTCAAAGAACATTTCTCTCTCACAAGTCAATAAATATTAATATAACCCAGTGATGATGATCCATGGCCTGTCTAGTTTCCGAAACGCCACCATTTTCTCTTCCTCTGTAGCTCTGTTTCAGATGTATCTAAACACCAAAAGTGTGAAGAAGAAGAAGAAGAGAATTAAGATGAAGAGGAAAGAAGCAAAACTTAGTCTGTAAAATAAAAGGTTTCTAGAAGTTACCTCTGTTTAAGTAGATGGCGTTGTAATGAACCTCTGCCCAGAAGCTCAAGAAGATTACTGCAGACAACAGGAACAAAATAACCATCAAGAGAGAGGTATAGTAAGACAAGCAAATTTACAGTGAAAGAAACTCTTTACCTCCTTTAGATTCTTGGGAGGTAGGAAGAATTTCAATGTAACATGTATCCTTGAACGATGTTAGGACTACTATTTTCACCCGATACTGCGATGTTTAAAAGTTTCACCAAATTGATTAACTATGAACTGAGGAAAGTAAAAGGAAGATCAGCTCATCTCTTTTTACAAGTTTAAGAATTTATACCGCATCTGCAGCTGCCTGTAATGTCACATGATCGCCCCACTCGCCACTCCTGTTTCAAATTTTGACACAAAGCTTTAACAAGAGAATTGGCAGCAAATGCGGTTACGGAGTTCACTATGAGAAGAGATTTTACCGAGACATCTTTTTTAGATACTCAGAGAAGTCCATAGGAACGTATCCTTGATAAGAATCTGGACGAGATTTGAGCTAAACCAGGAGATGAAAATTGCAAAAACAAAAGTGAGTTCATGCAACTTGTGGAAGCTTGTAAAGATTCTCAAGAGCAAATAGATCATCAAACCTGTTTTACTATTTGTCGTCTAACATGTTTATGGCGATCTGCGGTTTTGTACAGTTGATCAGCTAAAGCACGGAACTGAAAAGAAAAAGTTGGGAGGGAGCATTCAAGATTCAAAGTGATGAGTAAGAATCTAACTAATTCTTCCAGAACGATCTGCTTATGAAGAAGTTTACCTGGCAATTACCATCTCCTGGAACCTTAACCTCGGTGAAGTCAAACATCTCTAACCTGAAACAATGGGAAGATAATGGAATCAAGAATGGTTTATATATGATAGAAAACGTAGAACGAGCAAAAATACATACCTATTCCGAAGTCTTTCATGATCTGAAACTGCTTCTTCTTCCGGAGGTATTTCTCCATTTATTTTCGGTATATACTGCATATATATTATGATTGATTGTCAAATTATAAGAACATATTTACATCAATTTGAACATAATAGAGTACTTACCGGAATGGGAACCATTTGATTCAATCTCCTTCCAAATTCACCATCAGCATCACATTGATCTGATTCCCACGAGTACACATACTCATCCGTATCACTCGGGCTTGAACACGAAAACACATTAACCGAGTCATCGCTCCTCCCATCTTGATCATTATCATTTCCTACCCATTCTACAACACCCAAAAAACACATCTCTGTAATCTAATCCCAAAAACCATAACAACACACATGAAAAGCATAAACCATTGAAGAGCTAGTTCAATAACAAACCTGAAGAATAATCCACAGCAGACTGATCATTCCAAGCATATCCATTGTTGTTATTACTATAGTTGTTAGTATAACCTTCTTGTTGATGTTGTTGTTGATTCTGATGCGAAAAATCGTTACTTTCTGCGATTTCAAGCTGCAAAAAATCGTCTTGGAGAGTTCTAGCAATGATCTCATCGTTATCTACATCGCTACTACGATGATCTTCATACTCTCTGTAATACTCACCACTCTGGTGATGATGATGATGAGATACTTCATCATCCTCATGAATCATCTCAATACCATAAGGAGGATACGTGTATGGATGTGGACCAAGAAACCATTCCACAATACTTGTGTTCTCTTCATGTGACACCATCTTCAAAAACACCTGCCAAGAAAAAAACGTTATCAAGAAATCAAAAAGCTTATCCAAAACAAATCAAATCAAATCAAATACTCCAAAATGACTTAATTAACACTCCAAAAAAAATCAATTAATTTAGTTGCGTAAATCTTGGGAGACCTCTCTGGGCATTTGACGGGAAAATTAAACAACAGAGACTTTTCAACAAAGACGAAAATGTGACTTCTAAAGAATTAACACAAATGTTGTTGCTACTCCAAAATTTCTCCAATCATTTTTCCTAAATTAGAAATAGTAACTAAAGTCATTATCACAATCAGAACTAAAAAACAAAGAGACCAACTTGGAGATTTAGTAATGAACTCAAAGAAGGAGTTTTTTTTTTTGCTATGAATCGAGAATAAAATCGACCTAGATCTGAGAAAATAAATGGTTTAAAGGAAGATGAAGAAGTTAGATCAAAAGTTGAAGAAACTCACCTTTCACTTACTAAATCTCTGCAACTTGAAGACGGAATTGAATTTTTACTAAAAATAGACAACTTTTAGAATTTTGGGATGAAAGATTGAGAATTTAGGTTGGAAATAAACATAATTCAAATGGGTTTTTTTTTTTTTTCTCGCAACTTTCTTCTTCTAAAAAGACTGAATTTTTTTGGCTGATGATGAAGAAAAAGGATCGAAGAATGATTCGAATAAAAATAAAGTTCTTCCCTTTTTCGATTCGAGAAAGAAACCCAGAAAAAAAAAGAATAAAAATAAAAAAAGAAAAATGAGAAAACGCGCAAAATGCCACTCAATATTTATATGAAAATCTGGGCTTTAGCTCTTTTGTCACGAGATTTTGTAGCCGTTGGATCATTAATATGAACGGTCACGACTTCATCGCTTATATTTATTCATTCTTTAATGTTGTTACAACATTTTCCAAAGAGGTGTCTACTAAGGAAAATAATAATCAACTTGATTCTAATAATTAATTATGGGGCGTAGAATCTAGTTTTGATTCTAATTTATTTTTCTTATCATAAATAGAATCGAAGTGGAATCTATATCGTTCAAGTTTATCGAGGTTATTTCAACTTATATTTCTTGTCATAAATACTGTAAAAGAGGGATTTAAATATTTGAAATGAACAAAAAAATTGGAGGATATATTTTTTACATGTAAATTTGTTATTTCAAGTTATTTTTCATTGATACAATCATAATAAATGAATCATGATTTCTTTTCATTGTTAATATTTTCGGGTCAGTACCAAATCCCCATAAAATAAATTTATAGTTAATGAGCATTTATGGAAGGATTAACATGCAAATGTAATTAGTTAAAAAAATTTTAAAAATCTAACTAGTTAGGCTTAAATGTTGAAAAATTTCTTAAAGAAGCAAATGGGTCCAATAACACATGGTTGCATAGTTTGAAGTTTTCCCAATCATATCCGGCGCGAATAAATATTTTTTTACTTTATTTTTTTTGTCAGTGTAAGAATTCCACGTGGCACAAACTCAATTTATTGAATTCCAAAACTATCGAATTCAATTCTTTCAGGCAGCCCCCTTTGTTTGATTAATTAAAAACTCACGCAAAGACTCATCGACAAATTTGTGTATAGTACTATTTTTAATATTCTTGGGAACACATAAAAACAAATTTGTTTTTATTAAAGTTTCTTAGGTTATAATAAATGAACTAGGTTCTATGTTCTGGCGGTGAATGAATCATATGGATGCTTTGCGAATGCTTCAATATAATTTACAGAAAATAATTAAATATATAAAGTATAAACCTAGATTGACAAATTCATGCAGTATGAGATCTAATGAGTAATAGTTACACTATAGAATAATATAAATGGGTTAGTCGAGATAAAATAAGTCAAATTGGTTGCAAAATAAAACAGATTAGAAAAGTAGTCAATTTATGTTGAATCAGCCTATGATAATACGGTATATTTTAATTTGTATGGCATGGGTCATGAATGATTTGAGAAACCCAAAAGCCAGTTTTTGTGTAATTCATTAATTTTGTTAGGTAGCAAAACTTAATTAAACACATACGTAATTATAGTGTGTTTTGATCAACGTTAGTAGTTGTGAAGATTATGCTGATGTGGGCATTAACAAATAGCAACTCTCTTTAAAAAGAAAAGAATTTCGATTATCCTATGTGCATATTATATGTTACATGTCAATTAATCGAATATTATAACTAAAATAGTCCATTTCAAAAGGGTCAATCCATTATTTTATAGAGTTACATTGTTACAATATGTTAAATGTTACTATTGTGGTAGTTCATTGAGCAAATATACCAAACAACATGCATGCATTGTTTTCTAACAATCATATATAGTTGAGAACTGAATATATTAGCGCGTGGTTTACTACAAATTCTATGTTCAAACTAATCATGCGCATGCCATATAAATTTATAAATCTAGTTAATACTACTTGATAAAAGAAGTAATACGTGATTAATGTGACTGTACAAGAGTATCTAGTGGTTCGTATTAACCAAGAGATGTAACAAAATGACACATGCTTTCGAATGCAGCAAGGGTTTTTTTTTTTTTTTTACAGAGTTCGGTTATGTAATAATAATAATATATTATGTTTGACATAATATGCTTACAATATATATTATGTTTTGTATATGATATCATTTAACTCTCAATTGAGTGGTTTTTTTTTTCCCTCTGTTCGTTTACACTAAAGCAATGAGTGAATTTAGGCTTCTTCTTCTCATTCTTCTTTTTTTTTCACACCAATTAAGCTATTTATAATTTTATTTGCCTACTATTTGCTTTTCACGTTACTTTTTATGAAATTCTTCTTTTGATCTTGAGATGCTATGAGAATTTTACTTTTAGTCTAAATTTAATGGCTTCCCCTGTTTTCAGCCAAAATAAATGCTTCAAAAGTCAAATTGTTTCCCATTGTTAGTACACATGAGTTGAATGCAATCTAATCAAAATTATTCCACTTATTGGGACGAAACTAATATTTCATAATGTGGTTTCGGATCTAGAAGAATTACGGACTAATATTTCATAATGTGGTATTCAAAAAAAGATAATAATAATAACTTATTGTGTTAAAAAATAAAGAGAACAATTGATGCTTGTTTTCCTTCTATTATTTTCATTTAAATTTAAACAAAATCTTTAACGAATCTTTATAATGGGCTTATCAGAAGATTATTAAGATTGCGACGAAAGGCCCAAATAGCCCATTAGTAGTATTGTTTGGTTCCATCGTGTATGACCAATGATCACTATGAAGTGAGTGAAGTACTGCAAAAAATATATTCGAAAGCACTTGAATATATGTCAAATAGATCGTTTAATAAGGAATATGGAACATCACACCAAAAATAAAATTAACAAAACACTAGTAAAAAATAAAAAATGGAATGTAAGAAGAAAACTCACAAGTTTGTTAAATTACAGTATTTAAACAAAGGCTTGAAATTCACTAATGACGTAGCCCGAATCAACAAGCTCTCACATTCTTTGGGTTCCACAATTTCTCTAACCAACCTCCTTCGCCACCATCAAGAACCTTCTTATTCTTCCCTTCCTCGTCTCTAGAAGCTTCTTGACTCTTTAGCGGAACCAGCTGTGGTTTCTTGCCACCATTCCCAGGCGATGAAGCTTCCACAATCTTTGTCACCATCTCTAATACCTCGCTCATCTTTGGACGCGCCTTTGCGTTCCTGGTAAGGCAGAGGTTGGCCACAACCGCGAGTTTCTGCACTGGCTTGACCATGTACTTCCCCTCGAGCCTCGGGTCTACTATGAGACGGAACCTCCTTGTGTCGGATAAGTAAGGTCTCACCCATTCTAAAAGCTTCTGCTCTCCTTTAGGCTTGTTACGGTCTAGTGGCCTCCTTCCTGTAATGAGCTCATAGATGAAAACTCCGTATCCCCACACATCGCTTTTCGATGTGAGACGACCGGTTTGGATGTATTCTGGAGCTGCGTAACCCATTGTTCCTACTACCTGTTAAACCCCAAAAATTAGAACTTTCTTGATCTTGCAATGATTTTCTATAACCAGTCAAGTGATAATGTACAAAACTTACATCAGTAGAAACATGACTTGATCCTGGTGAAGGACCTAAGCGTGCCAAACCGAAATCTGAAAGCTTCGCTTTCCAATTCTCGTCTAGTAGAATGTTGGATGACTTGAAATCACGGAATATTATCTACAAAAGGAGACATATTTATATTCAACTGATCAGAGAAACAGATGAAGTGAAAACAAACAGAGGATTTCATGTTCATTTTACCTGAAAGTCCATTTCTTCATGAAGGTATGTTAAACCCCGAGCTGCGTCTTGTGCTATTCTCAATCTGAGGTCCCAAGTAAGTACTGTCGGTGACCGCGGGGATAAATGGAACTCGACGCTTTGGTTTGGCATATATTCATAAACCAAAAGCCTTTGGATTCCACGTTCATCGTCTTCTGCACAATGTCCCAACAATTTCACCAAGTTTGAATGCTCGACTACACCGAGAAAGTTTACTTCAGTCACCCATTCTTTATGACCCTGCAAAAACCAAAGCATGATATCTTAAGTTATAGAAAAGAACACTAACATATCTTGAGAACGAAGATGAAGAAACCTTACCTGCAACCCTCTTTTGCCGAGCTGTTTAACCGCGACTTCGATTTTCTTGGACGGGTCTTCTAAGTTCTTGATCGTTCCCCAGAAGACACAACCAAAACCGCCTTCCCCAATCATACCAGACCTGCTGAAGTTCCTTGTGGCAGATTTAAGATCACCAATAGTGAACTCTCTAAGGTTGTTTTCTCTAGCTGACATGCTAGTGTTGGAGTTCCTACCAGTGGATGATACTGTGCTCGTTCCAGAAACATCCCGGGGACTAAAATCTGAACCGCTTTTGTTTACATCACTGAAGTTAGACGTTGGTGAAACCGGTTTAGGGCTTCTCTGTTCATCTTTCTTGTCCCCAAGAAGGAATAAGAAGCATTTCATCTTCTTCTTAAAGAGATTAAAACACCGAGGTTCCTCCACTGGTGCACACAAACGAATTAGAGTGAGTGAGCAAGTTTTGTTCATTGGAGCATTTAATCAAAACAATCATCACAATGATTGAAACTCTAAGCCACTTGACTACACTTAGAAGACTCAGAATCAAATGTACTATTCATTTGTTCAATTCATTCTAAAATTTTGATCTTTGAATCCAAACTAATCCAAAACAAAGGATCAAATTATGTAACATCAAGGAATCTGATGAATTGTCGAATCAAATTAGAGATTCAAGAAAACCCCAAATTCTGTGACGAACCCTAAATTTTGCAAGTTAGTGAAAGAATGTTTCTTGGCCTAACTTGCAAGATTTATAATAAAGATTAAACCTTTCCTTTGTTCCCTAAACAAGAATTTCAAGAAGTATGAATTTCGTGGTAGATAGGTAAAGTAACTTGGAGGAAATTACAAACTCACCTTTGAGATCTTTGTGTACAGACAACAACAACAAAGAAAAATCAAAACTTTGTGAGAAGTTGAACAGAGTTAAAAATCACCAAGCGAAAGAGTTTCCGATTAAAAAAACAGTATTGTTGACTTGAAAAGGAAGATACAAATGTTGGAGCTATTTTTAAGGTCTTCTGAAAATGAACTTGGAACTGAAAGATGGAAGGAGGAAGAAAAGATGACGAAGACTCATAAGATGAGGAAGGAAAAAGGAAGTCAAAGGTTTGTTGAGACGACGTTTATAAATTAAATATTTATGATAATATATCTATAGTGCGATAAAATAAAATGATTTCAAAAAAAAAGAAAAGACGAAGACAATTTGGTCAATGAATAATAATTGAAAGCAAAGATTGGCAAACAAAAAATGGTTGCCAAGTTGGAAACTCGAAAGCAACAAGTTAATAATGCTTGAAAGAGTACATGTCTTCTTCTTTCTTCTGTTAACACTCACAATATAGTCCGGCTTGGGTATAACATGTATCCAGATTAAGTGAATGTAAATCATGTTGTTTCACACGGGGAAGATATGCACATTCTTCATGGAGAGCATAATCACATTTCATGCATGTATATGCTTTACCATCATATAGAGGGAGTATACACGCTTGATGACAATATTTTTCTTCATCGTACATCTTCCTCAAATCGCATGGGATGTTCTCGATGACTAAATGTAATATAAACCCATCACGTATTTCCTCAAATGGCGGCTTAATATTTTCGTCGTCTTCTTCTGGTTCTCCTTCGAGCTCCTTTCCGTCCCAAATCATTTCTCCTTTGCCACTTATGCGCCCTGTCGCACATAAAATATGCACAACATAAATGCAGCCCCTTTTGATGCAAGTATTGTATATGCCCCGGAAAGACGGTGTTTGTGACTAGATATTTTTATGACTTGTGGCAAGTATATGCACCTTTTATGAACATCGAAGCCGCAAGGAAGACATACAAAGATGATATCCATGTTAGCTAATCCACAAACATCACACTTTATGACTTTAACTTGGATTTTCTGGGAAAGTAGTATAGATGATATCCATGACAAAGGTTCATTATATTGGATTTTCATGGACAATGTATATTTCTCCTCATTAATATAAATAATTAAACAATAAACAAAAATGTAGACTGCATGCGAATTAGGAACTGCGAAGAAACTTGATCTAGGCTACTATTATGCGCCTTCTTGACACCATCTTATGCCCATTTGGTTTTATACACAATTGAGTTTTTTTAGTAAAGGTACGCAGCGAAATATCGGATGGTGAAATTAACCATAATATAATGAACCTTCGTCAAGAGCATGGGACAATATATTAGTAGATTATGAGAAATTTTGTAGGTTTCTGGTTACAATTAAATTTCACGTGGAATAGCAGGAAGTGTATATCAAACAGTTAGGAATGGATCTAATTTTCTGATCCAAAGGCTAATAATCTCTCGTTTCCTTAACGAGAGACACTGAAGCAATGGGATGAAGCACCGGCCTGTCTCTATGGGGGGATGAACCGGTCGTCTCGGAATCTCCAACACACAAAAATAGAAAGAAAAAAATAAGAAAAACTTAATACCTTCACTTATTGATGATATTTAATAAAGTATTTTGATTTTGTTAAACCATCAGTGACAGATCACACAATGGATATATCCAGCATAACAAATCATTTCGGATTAGATAATTTGTGTAAAATATGTGAGTTACAGATCGCGATGTATGGTACGTAAGACCATACGCAGTGGACCAATTCTCCGGGTGTAAGTCGTCGAGTGTTAGAATAAAAAAAGAGAAAAAAATGCAAATGTTGGCTTAGATCCGAAACTCGGGTGTTAAGTTACACTCAGGTGTACCGATGACGTGGCTTACTGGGATTGGTTACCTTTTTGGGTTAATGAATTATTCCTTTCTCTCTCATCTATCTCTCTCTCTCGGCGAAAGCTTTAACACAAAAAGTTGATTTCATTTACAGCGTGCTTCCAACGTGTCCCTATTCGTCTTAGATTATTTTATTAATATTTCCCCCCATATTCATATCCCCAAGGATGTCCCATTGCTGTTGCTCTAAGTGGAATTGCACTTTGTCCAAGAATCTTATCTCTTTTCTCATCTCTTATCTTTATCCAACATTTAATCAAACGCTGGGACCCTCTATTTTCACAACTTGAATAAAATGTGTCTCACTTTTATAAGAAAAAAAACAATCTTTATAATTTTAGTTCTTCACAAATGAATTGCTGCTTTAGTAAAATAACACCTACTTACATGAGTATACATACTCTTTAACTTAAAATCAATAAAAAATTTTAGGGACCAATTGATCCATAAATATATTGAATTTAAAAACAAGAAAGGAACAAAAAACGAACAATAACCTAAAGTGATTCTACCACTAACCGACCACTGTTAATTGTGTATCAATAATTAAAAAATAGAGAGAGATATATCTTTTACGGTCTTTGTATATACAGGCGCACACACACACGTATATGTTATCTCTAAATGCACAATAGTTGAGTGCCAATGTGCATGCCATGCCGATAAAACTAAAAGAGTATTTTTTTTTTTTTGTGTTCATGAAAATTTAAAGAAACAAAATGAATCAATGATTAAAGCTAAAGCTCCCATTGGGGTAGCTAGGGAAGATGCATATTCGTACGATTTCGTATGTCGTTAGTACAGCTTGGCCGTTGTCGACCCCAAAAAAAAATTATACATTTATTATTCTTTTCAGTTCTAAGTAAATGTCATATGATGAATTAATAAAGACATCTTATTTTCAAAACAAATTGATGATGACGTTCCCAATATTTCATTTATATATTTTCTTGGTAATATATGTATATATTGAATGGAATGTATAGTTTTTCATATTACTAATGTTAGACCATGTATTATTGTAAAGACGACATGGTCCAAAAAAATGATTACCCATACCTATTCATCCATATTATAGTATACATACATTAAACAGATATACAGTGGACCTATGTTTGTGACTTTGTGTATAAATACACACGTACGACACCAGTACTTCTCTACATTTTATCTCACACTAAACCCCAAAAACGTCTCTCTCTCTTTCTCATTCTCTCTCATAAACATGATGAAGAAGAGCAAGCTGATCACAAAGGCATGGAAGCAAATGTCAAGCAGAGTTGCCAAACACCACGTCGCCACTAAGGATCAATATCATATTCCACATGACGTACCAAAGGGGCACCTAGTGGTGTACGTTGGTAAAGAAGAGGAAAGTTACAAGAGGTTCGTTATAAAGATCACGTTGCTTCACGATCCCATCTTCAGAGCTTTGCTTGATCAATCAAAAGATGAAGCTTATGACGATTTCACTTCCGGAGATTCCAAGCTTTGTATTCCTTGTGACGAAAGCCTCTTCCTTGAGGTCATCCGTTGTGCTTCTCCTCGTTATTCTTGATGAGTCTTTGATCACGAAGAGGGTTCTTCGTACTTCTAAGTTCTAACGTTTAGGGTTTTTGATAATGTGAGAGGATCCATTTGAAGTGTTGTGAAATGAGCCATTGTTAGATATTATTAGCTGATAGAAGATATAATCTTCTCATCGAGGCCTTCATTGATTTAACGTGACTTGTCTAAACCTATGGTGGTAATATCAAATTATCAAATAATTATGGTGATAAAATGGTAAAAAGTACACTCAAGCAATAATCGTGGGAGTTTGTTGAATCAAAGGTTGTTTTATTTGGAAGATATCACAAAACTGAGGATGACTCAATCGTTTAGTTAAAGTCGGGCTTCTCAGGGTAAGTGCAGCCAGATCTTTGGATCACCACGTTCGACGCATAGCATCCAGCCTTCACGCATTCCTCAATCGATTTCTCTTTCACCAACTGTGACATGAATCCTCCCACAAATGCATCACCTGTAAGAGAGATCAACAAAAATAGTAGGGGTTAATTTATCCGTATTATGACACAGACAGGAACACGTTTTGTATTCGTTTGAAATGCTAAAGGATCAGCTTATTCTATGATCATGTCAGTTTCTATCTAGTAAAATAAGCCTACAGTTGAATGTAGATTTGGTTACAACCCGGTCTTTCGATTATCAAAATTAGTACCTGCACCATTGGTGTCAACTAGCTTCTCCTTTGGGAGAGGGATGACTGGATATTTCTTCACCTTTCCATCTTCAGCAACAACCACTGGATCTGCGCCCTGTGTAATCACAGTGGTCCTCTTGTATGTTCCTGTGGCCTTGGGAAGCTGTGAAATCTTGATGGCTATTTGTTCGACATCTTCAGTCTATATACATATATAAACATATAAGTGGTTAATTATATCTCAGCTATACAAAACAGAATAGCCTGCTGAAATTTAATCGTGCAAGAGAAACTTCTTACCTCCCAGCCATGAACCCTAGAGAAGGTTCTTGCCTCTGTCTCATTGCCGAAAACAAAGTCCATGTACCTGTACGAGCAATGTAGAGTGTTTTTCAGTACATTTACGCAAACATAACATCTGTAATGGATAAAAAAAATTAGAAAGAGCTTACGGCAAGAACTTCTCCTGCACATCTTTGAAGAATTCACAGATGAATGGAGCAGAAAGGTTCATTGTGAACACCTGATAGATAAGTGAATAAGTAGGGGCTGTTAATACCAAAGGCACTTTGTAAGCAAATAAAAGATTCTGCTGCAACAGGGTATCATGAAATGGAGGACCATGTCTTATTACCTTGTTGTTTGCAGCAGCATGCTCAGATACCAACTGAATGGATTCAGGCGATACCGTGAGGAAGAATCCAGCAATGTAGTAGAACTTGGCCTTCTCAACTACCCAAAACATATTCGATCACAGATATCAGATCATGAAGAAATAATACATTACTGTTAAAAGGATGCAACGATGGAAAAAGAAGTTTACCCAATGCCCAGTTTTCAGGCTTCTTAAGGTGATCAACCTTGTAGCAGTTTGCAGCTGAAAGATTTGCAATAAGAGACCTTTCTCCACCAACAACACAGACACCGCAAGTTCCAGTAGGTGCCGACTCATCTTCATAATAGTGAACCTGATAAAAAAGCATACTGTCATTTTAATGCACTTTGATTACAAATTCTGAATTCAGTTTCAACAATAACTTCATACTATCGTCAAAAGACAAAAAATATGAAAACCAGAGAAGATTCAGGACACACAGCTTACATTGACACCAGCTGCAGTAGCATCCTTCTTCATGGCCTCTCCATATTTGTCCTTTCCAATGGATCCCATGTAACTGGTTGCCCCAGGAATTTGAAGCATCCACTGCAGCCACCAGCAAGTAAGAAGAAGAAAGCTTGATTTCAGCATTGGTTACTTATAACCCCCAAAAAAGTGCAAGGATAAGGCAAAAGAATCTACCTGAGCCACTTTGATTGAGTTCTGAGTAGCACCTAGAGAAAGAATTGAACCATGAAGATATCACAATCTTGTCAAGGCATAAGCGATTCAAAGGGTTACAGGATAGTCAAACAGGAAAAAAGATTAATTACCTCCGGCAATGTATTCAACATTGAACTTGCTACTCATCTCATCATACCTTAAACAAAAACAATTTGCAAGTGAAATTTTATTTCTTAAACCATCAACTATATTACAAAGAGAGGATGAGACTATCATATATATATTTTGCTGAAACCGTCCAGACTTGTGAAGCATTGAATCAATCTCTACTTGAGTTTATATAACATGATCAACATTCTTGATTACCATACCTAATTTAACCCTGCCCATCATATAGCATAAATCAAAACTTACATAGGCAAATGTTTGTCTTCCGCGAGAATCGCATTGTTCAACTTGATGTCGTACCTGTCAACACGATTACATAACAACATCAAAAACAAAACAAAAATCGTACGCAAATCACAGAGTTTATGCCACTGAAGAAGAAGCAAACAATCAAATCCAGATTCAAACCTAAATCCCAGAAAGAGGATAGCGACAATGATACAGCAAAAGAAATTGGAAACAATTTGCAAAAGAGGGATCTGAAGCGTTTTTACTTGGTGAGAAATTCGTCGTCGACGACGGCAGAGATATCGAGGAGTGGGTTACCCATACCGAGAAGGATTCCATCGTAGTTAGAAGAAGAAGCCATGATGATGATGATGATGAGAAGAGATTTTGAGAGGTTTAGGTTTAGATTCAGATCTGGGATTGGTTTGGAGGCAAGTTTAGTGCTGCTGAGTGAAGCGTCTTGCGTTTATAATCATAGCTCGAGGGGAAGTTGGTGCACCAACGACATATTATTATTTTTTAAAATAACTTTTAAACTAAATTAATAAAATAAACTCTCTTTTTATTGTCAGTGGATCGACTAATTATGCCATTTTGTTGAAAAAATTTGCAAATATAATAATTAATACAAAACTCTTTTTGCAATCATAATTATAGTTTTTTTCTCACAATCTTACAAGTTAAAAAAAAAGGAATTATAAGATACTACTAAACCAGCAATAATAACAGAACTCTTCTGATAGATTCAGAAAAACATCATTTTCCTTGTGTGTCATGAATCTTGCCTTATGGCAGAGCACTCAAAGAGACGTTTTGAAGGAGAAACAAAAACTTCAAAAGTAATAAATCTCATGAAGAGCCGTTTTTCTTTTCTTTTCTTTTATTCTAACCGTAAACAAGAAACAAGAAGAATTCGAGGCTAAAAAAAGCCCTCCAAAGAAGATTCGATAAAGAATTGGACTTTACGATGTTCAGAGATGATCACAGATTGCCTTTGTGAATTCCGTGGTGGTCGAACTACCTCCAAGATCTGCGGTTCTGTATTTTCCCTCCGCTATGGTGTTGATGATTGCACTGTGGATTTGTTCTGCTTGTTCGTTGAGCTTCAGATGACGTAACATCATCACTCCACTCAGAAGCAGAGCGGTTGGGTTCGCCAAGTTCTACATCACAAAAAGAACAAGGATGGCAACAAATTCAAAAATCATATATATATTAAGTCATTTGAAATTCAAGTCTAATCTTTCAACATTGAATTGATAAAGCTTAAACATTGGAAGATGCATAAATGAAACTCGTTAGCCGTAAATGACTCAAGTCTATAATGAGACTAAGCAACTGACTATGCTACCAAGAAAAAACACAGCAAAGCGGGAGATGAGGACTCTTTTATCTGTAGAAGTTTTTAATTATTATACTTGGTCTTACGATAAGAGTTTGAATTGAGTTCACTTAACTGTTGAAAGTTTACTTGCTTTGTAGCAGTTATAATCTCTGAGAATATGATGAAATCGGAATTATAAATTGCTTCAAGGACTAACCTTTCCAGCAATATCAGGTGCAGAACCGTGAACTGCCTCAGCAAGGGCTACACCATCTTCTCCGATATTACAACTGTGTCAAAGATAATAAGGCCTTCAGATGATTTAGCTCATAATCACACTAAATAAAACTATTACCCAAGATGAAGGAACCAATGTTTCACCTTGGAGTCAACCCTAGTCCTCCAACCAATCCGGCACACAGGTCGCTGATGATGTCACCGTAGAGGTTTGGCATCACCAAGACATCAAAAAGTGCTGGGTTTTTCACAAGCTGCAGGCATCTCAATATTATCAGTCACATATTCCACATTAAAGCAGTGAGAACACGGAACTCAAATACAAGTCGCTAAGAACTTCTAAAATCTAAAAGGTAATCCCGAGCACTAACTTAATTAACAGAAAAATGGTAGATTCAGTATCATAGCTTACCATCATACAACAGTTGTCAATAACAACCTCCTCGTAAGTTATCTCAGGATATTTCTCAGCAACCTCGCGACAACACTGAAAAACAAGAACAGAAGAAACATTGTCTCAAAACAAACGGTACCAAAACTAAGCAGACATAATAATCATTGCTTTGATATCCCTATAAGAAATTGTTAAATGCATTACGGAGTCATAAAATGGACAGACCTTAAGGAAAAGACCGTCAGTTTTCTGCATAATGTTGGCTTTGTGGATAGCAGAAACTCTCTCTCTTCCATGAGTCTTGGCATAGAGAAAAGCATACTCTGCAACTCTCAAACTCGCCTGACGGGTAATGATTTTAAGACTTTCCACCACACCTCTAACAACCTATAATGAGTCAGGAGAAAACATAACAATTATTAGAAACACTTCTTCGAAGAACTAAACTGAAATGTTCGATCGAATGACCAAAAGAAACTAAACCTGATGTTCAAGGCCACTGTATTCTCCTTCCGTGTTTTCTCTGATGGTAATGAGATCAACATCATCGTAACGAGTTTTGTAACCAGGAAGACTGTAACAAGGTCTAACATTGGCATATAGATTCAGCTCTTTCCTAAGAGTCAGGTTCAAAGAACGGTGACCTTTCCCAATTGGAGTAGCCATTGGACCTTTCAAACCAACTTTGTTTCTACGCACAGATTCGAGACTTTCCCATGTCAAGAAACTCTGTGTTCTCGGATCTATCTCAGTCCCAACATAGTGTTCTTCCCACTCAATTGGCACACCAGCAGTTGTAAACACCTGAATCAGTACAAAACGCACAAACTATCAATATACCGAATTCCCACAAGTCGAAAATTTGTACACAATTCAAAATTCAATCAAACAATTCTCTCGTAATTCCAGAACTCGAAATTCTTCGCAGAAAACAGATTAGGATGAGGGACCTTTTTGACAGATTCGGCGATCTCGGGACCGATCCCATCACCAGGGAAGAGAGTTGCGGTGATCGGAGTGGTGGATGAGCAGAAAGCCCTAGCGACGGAAGTAGCCGCACCTGAGCTAGAGTTCACAGCACCAAGGATCTGAGTCGATCGGTTTCCGATCAGCCGTCGCGCGAGATTTGCTGCCATGGTCATCGCTTCAAGCACCAGAAGGACGCAGCAAATGAAAAATTATTATTCGAGAGAGAGAGAAAGAGAGGACTTTTCTGCGTTGTGACAAAAGTTGTAAAAGAAGAAGCGAATATTTTTCTTCTTCCGTCAAAACGCCGCGTAGTTTCTAAGTTGCATTAGGTAAGTACGGAATTTAAACGGCACGAAGTGTGATTACGTTAAAATACAAAACGGAACGAAGTGTTTCCTTAGTAACCCTAGGCCCAATCAAGATAAATTTTATTTGACTTCATCATCGGCCCAATAATAGTGACATCTTATTTAATACACACACACTACATAGGATGTTTACGTAAGTATTACGTCATCATACATACACTAAACCGCCTCCGGTGGCTTCTCCATAGCTTTAGGCGGTGGTGCAGGTGCCGGGAAATTAGCCAACGGCGGTCCGTAGTGAAACTGCGACGCTGATTCTATCCCTTCTCTCCGGCCGATTTTTCTTCCGATGAGATAAAAAGCGATAGCTACGATCAAAAGGAGAAGAATCGCCGGAAACGATAAGTAGATCACATAACCCATTATATTGTTTTAGTTACTCTGCTGGTGTTTTTTTCCCCAGAAATTTAAGGATTCGAGGAACTAGTAAGGAACCAGAAGACGATTCGAGAAGAAAGAATGTTAAGGACACGTGTCAGTAATCTAGCGTCGATGTGTCTGACACGTAATGAGATCCGGTTAAGCAGATTTAACAATTCAAACCGACGATTTCTTTATGATTCCGCATCAAATTACACAAACCGGATTCGGTTTGTAGCTATGGTCCTATGATGATGATATGTATATAACATAACATGTTACAACCAAATTAAGAGGAAAAAAGAGCGAAAATTCTGAAGCAACAAAAATCCATTTTTTTTTCTTCTTTTCTTAATACACAATTAACGGAGCAGAGGAGCAATCAAAAGCAAGAGTTTTGATTCTTCGGCTTCCCTCTCGACGTCTCTTTGATCATGAGATTCTCACATTCACAATGTTCTTCTTCAACCCAATGATCCGTACGCAGTCACGTTCTTTCTTGAACCGGGTCCATCCTGATTCAGACCTACCGGTTTATTCGATAACCGACGTTTATACCGCTTCAGAACCGAAGCCAGATTTTCTTTTCCCTTTGGGAAAGCCACGTCCCCTGCAGCTGTACCGGTTCGGCCTTTTCTACAAGAGATTGCCATTTCAACGTCTTTGATTAGATCAAGAAGTGTGACTGCGGTTGTGCATTTGCCTTTAGCCGGTTTTGCAGCCGGAGGTAACATTCCGTTAGCTGAAGGCGGACTCGCTCTCTGGTGGCTCGCTGGAATCTGAAGGCAAAAGCATGGTGTCATCGGTGTCCGCAGCTTTGAGAACGCCGGATCAATCACTCCCTGTTTAAAAATCCATACGTGTCAATATTTTCAAACTGCAAAACTGCGGTTTTCAATGAAGAGTATTGCGGGTTCTTTTACCTGAAGGCGGTTGAGAACGTAGGTGTACTTTCCCCAGAGCTCAGGCCGACTCTCCATGAGAGACAAGTCAAGGACACGGTGGATGCACCAAACTCCAAAGCTCACAATCAGATCAGCTCTCCAAACGCAACCATCTCCACAATTAGGAACCGATGAAATTAGTGGCTCCCCCATGTGACCCACCTGGTTTATTTCTCGAGCTTCAGCTTCATAGATAAACTTCTCTCGTGCAGCTACCCGGTCAATCAGTTCTTCATCGACTCCATCGCTTTGTCCAAACAACCACTCGGATCCTTCCAGTTTTATAAGCTTTAGAATACAGTGCCTGAACGACTGAAGAAGCTTAGCCTCTGCATCCACATTAGAAGAAGCGCTGTTGTCTATATTTATCGGATTAGATCTATTCCTGAGCTCCTCACCAACAGCACCATTCCTCTCCGCTACACCAAACTGCTCAAAGGGCTGTCTGGACCAAAGCGATCCCGTCCCTGTTGTTGCACTCTGTGGCAAACTGTAGGCATCTCTGTAGCCTCCTCTGGATTGAGAAATGTCATCATAAGTAGAGGGTACTCCAACCCGTGACCCCAAATTAGAATATAACGATGATTCATTGCTTAACCGACCATAAGACGCACCATACCCTCCTCCTCCACTTGACGGATCCCAGAATCCACTCTTGTTGTTCGGCAAATGCATGTTCCTTGCGGACATAGACAATCCTGAGATATCTGGCATGCTACTATACTTTTTCTCATTGGCTACTGCTGAGTCAACAGTATCAGTATTTCCAGAAGATGGAACACCGTAATAAGATCTTTCAGATTGTCGCGATATGCTTCTAGACCCAGCAAAATTCTCAAACCCAGGAGCTGGTCCAGGGGTTAGACCATTCTGGGACTTCTGTTTCAAGGCTAAAGCAAGTTGCTGTGTATAGCTCAATGTACCAAGCGCCATAGATCTCGATGTCGGGATCTCTCCACGGGATTGTAAGGCTTCAAGCCTTTCTTTTGCCAAATTGTCTACATATGACTTAAACTGGTATCCGTGAACTGTAGCTGGTTGCTGGTGTTCCCAACCCTCTGAAGATGATGGAGCACGCAGGCTAGAGTATCTTCTCTCACTCAATTCATAAGCATTATTATTATTAGTGGTGTTACCATATGCCCCCAACATCTGCATACGGTTGACCAATGGTGACGGTGACGAACCTCTTTGTAGTCCATACAAAGAATCGATACTTCCGGGTGTCCTCTGCTGCTTCAGTGAATCATATAAACTTGAAGTCATCTGTGAATCCATTCCCTTTGCAGTTGGTGACATGCAATATCCACTACTCATGTCTTTTCCAAAAGAATCTGCTTTCATAGAAGAGGCTGATTTTTGATCAGCGCCAAACAACTGATCTATTTTCTTTGCCCTGGCTTCAGCAACCAATTGCCCATGAAAATCATATAAATGTCCCCAAAATTCATCAAGGATCGCAGATAAGTGACGCCGGGCAGCACGCCCCAAACCTTGCAACCGTGAAAGGCTTCCAGTCCCACTTCCCCCTTCCCCACTTAAGCTGCGGAATGAAGGAGGACCATCAGATCCGACACTAAAGTTGCTTGCAGTAGCAGCTTTGGTAGCTTCTTCTGTTTCCCATGAAACCCCTTCAACATCCTTTTCAATGAACTTGCTGTTATTCTCCATGCTAACAATCTTATCCACAGGACTCATCGGTTCAATTTTTGCCATCTTTGTTTCAACAATCAGATCCTTATCACTGACCTCATTAACCACCGTTGACTGCAATACAGACTGTTCCTTTACATCAGAGTCTTCCTTAAGACTACTAACTTGAGAGGTAGAGAATTTTACATCCAACTCGCTTTCCTCTAGGGGGCTAGAATGGATTTCTTGATCCGTCATTAGAATGTTCTCTGGCAAATCATAGACCGAGCTAGTAACAGACGTAGTATCCAACTGATCCTTTACCCTGCTTTCCAGCCGCACTATCGATTCGTCTTCATTCCGCCTTGTTTCGCTTCTTTCAATTTCCTCTTCTTGATTAGCTGGATAAGATATAGCATTTTGAGCATCCATATTCCATATTTGAGCTTCTGCTCTGTTACTCGCAGATTTCAGTGGCGTAGCTGCAAGCCAAAGCATCAGGCATAAGGATGCACATGACGATACAAGTAGAGTGGTGTACTGAATCGAGGTGCCCATCACGGTATTCCATCTCAAACCACCAGCCCAGTCACTGCTCCCAAATACCATCTCAACAACAAAAACAATATTCAAACCCAGAAATCCTAAAAACGTTGTAAGCGCGAGGAACTCGCCAACCTGAGGGATTTTATGGACACCCATGATTTGTCTCGACGAAGCAATGCGGAACAGTGGTATCACAGAGCAAGGAAGCATCATCGCCACCAGGACCTGGGTGAATATAAGTAACTGGTATATTCCGTCTGCACCAGATGTCCATACACAATAAAGGGCAGGAGCAACTGCAAGAATTCTGATTGTAGCACGATGAAGCCAACCGGGTATTTCTATCTTCAGGAAGTCATGCAGGACAACCTCTCCACCGAAAGCCCAAGCTAGTGCTGTAATTTGACTAGAGAAGAACAAGAGCATCAGAAAGACCACTGGAATGATCGGACTCATAAATACCTGCGCTCAACAATCAAGAACAAAACAATTAATAATCACAAAAGATTTCTGAAACTGTCTCCCTAAAAAGAATTATAGACTAATACGAAACATAAAACCGTCAGAACAAACCTGCTCCATTAGTGACATGGCATCGTGAAAAGTCAGTACCACAAGGCCAGTACTGTGGAACACATTAGCTGCTGCATTCATCAATACATAATTTACAAGTGAAAGTCCGCTGAAGACACCAAAGATGGCGAACAAATGGTCTTGACACAAGCTGCTCTTGTCCACATCTGACGAAGATGTACTTTCCTGCAATAGAGCGTTCACTGCTTAGTATAATTATTGCATCTTAATAGAAAAGAGAGATACATAGAAAGAGAAAAAGGTACCCCAGCAAAATAAGAATGGATATAAAAATTGTGAGGGACGATGCTTGCTCCAAGAAGACCCATCAGTGCAAATGCGCTCTCTCCATTTAACCGAGTTAACACTCCGTTCATAGAGAATGGGATCTCAGACTGACTCAGCAAGACGCCAGAAACATAGAGAAGTAAAACCAGGCCTGCCGAGCAAATGGATACTGTATTTGCCATACCATTTTCCTGTAAAATTTGTATCCATGTCAGCTAATTTCTGATATTGCAATTTCAAGAACACGGAGGAAAAAAAAGGCAGGAAGACCAGTCATACAAGGAAAGAGGCGAAAACAGGAAATAAAAATGCATCGATGGCGGCCAAAAACACTCCAGTGGATAACTCCACCCCAAACAAAAGGTTAAGTGCATGTGCGACTCCCACAACCTGTTTATAATAGAGAAGCTCAAGTCAGAGGAATCGAAATTTTACCACATAATTAAAAATTTAAGAACGAAAAAGATTGTAAGTGACTACCATGGTAAGGTCGAGCAGAATTGCTGAGAACTCGGCCTGAATGCCTAAGAACATGCACGTCCACTTGTCATATTCTTCATTGCAGATCTGTCCCAGTAAAGAACATTAAAATGTTAGAGAAATAGAGAAGGTGGTTAGTAGAATTCCACTCTGAGAAAGTGACAAGACAACCACAGAGCCCAGTTTTGTTATTTTAAAAAATGTAGCTAAAAGCTTCGAGACCAAAAAAATGCAGAGAAAGGAGGAACAAATACCTGAGCCAAGTGTTTACCAGTTACAACTCTTATTCGAGCTGCTACATACTGGCACAAGATGGCGGCAAAATTGAAAAGCAGAGTAATTGCCACCAAGTCATACCCGAAACGAGCACCTCCTTCGATATTTGCAACCCATTTCCCGGGATCAATATATCCGACAGAAACCAAAAGGACTGGCAGTAGAGCAGGAACCATTCTCTGGATGAACCCTAGCTGAGGTCTCACATTCACAATTTCAGCTTCCATCCTAAATCTATCTGATAATATAATTACTCAGAGTAGGATTTAAAGTCAACTCTACAAATCAGTCGTGGTTCACAGATTTGATCTAAAACACCTTCCTTTGCTAAATTTGATTCCCTCAAAAGCTCACAAACAGCAGCGAATCAGTCGGTTCTTCTGTCACTGAGGCAAATAAATCCACTCTAACACTGTCTTGTTTTACAGCTCTGTACAGTCTTTTTTAACCTAATAGCTGAAGTTTCCTCTAGTAGCCAATGCTAAGTTAAGGACCAGACCTTCTTCTTATTGCTGCTTCGAGATCATACAACATGAGCTGATGAGCTAAGTTGGTCCAAATGGAGGAAGCCCTAATAGAGCAACCAAGAGCAGAACATAGACTTCCATATGCTTAACCAAACCATTCGAAATCAGCCTCAGACCTGAAAAAATTTATAGTTTTTCAAATCAATAATTGATCTTAGTAGGAAGGAACAAAAAAAGGAGATAAGCTCAAAAAAAATACAAATTTCAACTAAATTGAAGCTAAAAGAATCGTAACGCTGACGAAAAGATACAAAAATGCAAAGATCCCGTATGATCTACGCATTCAGATCTTCGAGAAAAAAAAAGGTCAACCACAAACCAAGTACAGTAGAAAAAAAGAAAAAAGCTTAAATCTCGCAAATTAAAACAAAACCCAGAAACCAAAGATGAGAGAAACAATCGCGAAGAACTCAAAGTCTGGAAAATCCAGAGAAAATTGGAGAGGGAGAGAGATCTAAGCTAAAACTAAGAATTCGATCCTTGTGATGAAACTATGAAAAGCTGAAAACGAGCAGAAAAAAAATAAACCCAGAAAGTCTCATTTGCACAAAATCCGAGGCAAAAGCTACAAAAACCCATGAAAGTCCGTACAAAGTTTCCCAGCAAAAACAAAAAAAAAAACAGAGAATTAGGGTTTTTGAAAGAGGTCACCTTTGAAATCGCCATGATCGCAAGTTGACCTAACAACAATAATCTCAGTGAGAGAGAGAGGAAGGAGTAGAGAAACGGATCTTCAAGCTACGAGAGATAGAGATAGAGAGAGAAAAAAAGAGGAAAGAGAGAAAGAGAGAGCTCAGTTCCATCCAAAGAGAGAGAAGAGAGATAAAAGAAGATCGAAAAATCAATTATATAAAATATTTATATATAGATTACATATACATACATATTTGTATCTATAGGCCTGAAGGTTATGGGTGCTCGTGCCACCTTCAAAGAGAGAGAGAGAAAAATTATTATTACTATATATGTAAATAAAATGTAAAAAACAAAGGTATTATTCTTTTTTTTTCTTAAGCTAAAAAACGTCTTTTTAATTAAAATTTTCAGGTTTAACATTAATTCATCTTTATTTAGTATCTTAAACTAATCGTAGTTTTTGATTCCAAGATTAGTGGACAAAGAAGAGAATTATTATTATTTTAAAATTCTGGACCCCTCTTTCTCCCATTGCATATGTAATAATAATAGCATCAAAAATTAAAATTTCTTTTCTATACACATCAATTATATCACACTTTTTAATTGCTAAATCAAATTATTTGTCCTCAGCCAAATTATTATAAAACACCACACAAATGTTTATTAGTGCATAATCTCTATTAATATTATGCCAAGAAATCACTCTTACAATTAAAATACAAGGAATACTAGTAGAAAACTCTTAAAACTTCTAGATGTGTGAATCAAACTGGAAAATTGAGAAGACTTCATGTTCACTAGTTAAATCTTACTTTGAGAATTCCTTTCATGAAAAAAGCTTGATAATGCGGTTTTATATGGAAATTTGATCACCTATTTTACTTGATTGTGAAACGCGAGCTAAATTTATCTTTTTGTACTTATGATTTATTGACATTTATGAGCGTAAACAAAAATGTTGTTTTCTAGTAATACTTTTATTTTTTATTTTTATTAAAAAAATCTAACCAACGGTTACAAAACGGAAAATAATATAAACGTGACTAACTTTAAGAGTACGAACAAAAAATCATGTACAATTGTTAAAATTGTGTATGACTAAAGATAGGGAATCAAATCTTCTAACTCGCAAAAGATTACATGTGTCTAGAAGATTTGAATTTTTTTTGTCACACTCTAAAAAGGTTTACGCGATTCTCGCATTCTATAAAATTCAAATCTCAAATAAATAAAATTGTTTAACTACAGTATATATAACTTTTTGCTACCATTTTTTATTAGCATTCAAAATCAAATATAAATTTAGATCTATTTATCTTATATTAGATACCGATGTCTATGAATTTTTAATGATATACTTATGTTAGTATTAAAACAATCTTTAAATGTAAAAATATACCTGAAAAGGTTCTATTTTACATTTCAGTCTTCCGCAAAATAATGGAATTGTAATTTGCCATTTGCATAAATATAATACAAGAGAAAACAAAAACTTCCTTTGAAAATGACGTTATTTGAGAAAACTAACTAAAGTTGCTGATACAATTAGGCGTTATCAAAAGCTGAAGTTGTTGACTAACAAAAATGGAAAAATAAATGAAGGCGTTAACACAATAAATATGTAAAATCGGAAAACAAAACAGGATTGGACATTATACTCCACAGAATGCTATAAATAATATGTCTTTATATGGCAAGTTTTTTTTTTTTATTCTGCTGTCTACGTATTAGACATCAATATTAATTGCATAAAACAAATATTTGTCAAAAATAACAATTCATGGCCTTCAAAAAAGAAAAAACTCAGACATTTTGTTCTCTGTGTCTTTTGAATTTTGATCTCCGAACTAAGTAAGAGCTTTATTTCTTAAAACATCATTGAAAAACACTACTTTAAAAACAAAACAAAAATCATATATGAATTTCCATTTTATATAAAATATGTAGTTGGATTTTATATCTAATTTCATATCAGATACATAAGTGATGTATAATAGCTAGATTTTGTTCTCACCAGTTACAACAAGTCATTAACATTTGTCAATAGAGTCTAATAAATGTAACATTTTACTACTAACGAAGAAACAGTTACTAAACCAAACTATAATTAATTAACTGAATCATATTTTAGTATGGTTAAGTATATTCATTGATCAAACCATCACAAAATCAAACACAAACCAAAAGAAGAAAACAAATATAAATAGAATTTCTACTATTTTTAGTGAAATACTATAATCCACGTGTTCCTAATCATCTCCTACATCAATGGAAGTACAGCTTGGGCTTTCGATAACCATACATTGTACCTTCCTATTTTTTCCAATTTGATTTCTTTAGGCTTTTTTTTTATGTAACTTGTCACTATATATTTAACATACTCATCATTATCCATATTCTCTTGTGAAACTATATATACATGTACATTGGATAGGAAGCAAATTAAAACACAAGAAACTAAAATTTTGCATCAATGAAAGGAACATGGGCTCCTCTCAGTCCTATGTTGATGTATATGTTCAATGAACCATAACATAGAGACCACACTTGTTTTTTATAATATTAAAAATAAATGGCTCATATACTTGAAGGTACCAACACAATTTCAGAATTCTTAAAAGAGTCAAGATAGTCATATTTCAGTTACATATGGAATGTATAAAATCCTAATTTTAAATATGTTTTGACTAATAAATCAATTTCAGTTATTTATTTTGGTCATATGGAAGTTTTTTTTATAAAGTCTCGTTGATGTTGTTTGGGCAGTTAACCAAAAAGGGAACAAAGCTACATGGTACAGATCATTCATCAGCTTAAAGAATCTTTCTTGTCGATCTTTTTTAACTAGATTGTGATCTTTTGGGCTTTGTGTCCAAATAATTTATTTATTAGTACTATTAATCTATTAATTTATTGGATTTTTTTTTTAAAAAAAAAAAACCTTTCATTAGTGTAAGGGACAATTTAAATTATTTTTCCTTCTTGGTTCACTGAATCTCTCTTGGGCTTAAAACACATGGTGGGTGGGTTCATAAGAATTGGAGATTTGATAATTTTAGTAATTAACCTCGAAACATGAGACGTCAGTTACAAATCAGACTCGTTTATTGTTCAATTAATTGGTTCGATTCAACAAATGTTTTCGTTTAATCAAGTGGGTTTTCTTTATTTTTGTTTTTTGTTTTTAATTAGAGTTGAGTTATTACGTGGAGACCAGAAGAATAAGATCGAATCGGGCTGTTTTAGGAGGAGACATATGGATATTAAGTAACTTAAACAATTCGAGATTATGTTATGATTTTCTATAATTAAAGATTGCTTGGCTCAGGACTTGAGATCGAAAGTTGTAACTCAGATATATGTTTTTGTTAGTAAATTGAATCGAGTTGATCTACACATTCAGTTACAAAAATTTATCCAGCTAAAGATTTCAAAACAAGAAAATTGATTAGTAATATAATTAAGTGGGTAGGTCTTTCAACAACCAAGTGTTGCAATCGATATTAGTGTTTAAGTAGGCCCAACGAATAATAAATTTAGCTTGGGTCTACGTAACATTTTTAGAAATTTTGAAGGCGAATGATCTATTCTATATAGGGTTTGTGGCATGTTGGGGTACTTTTAGAGATAGTTTGAGCATATGGAGTAGTTTAGGGGTAGTAGGTAGTTTTTTTGAGTTTTTTCACTGTTACAAATTTTTTAATACAACTTTACCCTTACCACATTCAACCATTTAACCCAACCTTGGTTAACTTCTAAATTCTCATCCGTCGGATCTTGTGGGGGAGATACTAGATCCAACGGCTCAAAACAATCTCCAGATGAGAGTTAACAGTGTGTTGGTAACGCCGACAAACTTGATTTTAGGTTTTGCTCCCCAGAACGAAACATGGCTGCAGAGGTAAAAGTTAAACTTGAATGTGGATATTGGAAAAATTGTGGATTATTGTTGATGGTTGTAAGAGTTTTATCTTATTTTTCAGGGTTCATTCGATAGGTATTGTATGGTAATTTGCGGCGAATGGGGATGTTCGGATCTTCAAGAATGGGAATTCGATATCAACAAAATTCTTCTGTCTAGAATTGTTCCAATTACTGACGGGATGAAGCTATGCGAGTTGGAAGAGGTTGTGCTAAAAGAATTTGAGGTTAAAGCTTCAACTTTGGGAAAACCCAGATTTAGTTATTTGCCGCCGAATATAATGGATTACACGACGGGAAAGAAAACTCCTCCGATATTGGTTACTAGTGAGGTCGGTTTGAAATTCTTCATTGAGATGTTTCTTAGGAACAGAGGATTGAATTTGTTTGTAAATTTTGGTGAAATTACTGGGAAAAGGATTACTGATGGAGATAATCAAAGGGAAGAATATGTTGGTGGGTTATGTGTGAAGAAAAGCAATAAAAGAGTGTTTTCTTCCTCAAGTGAAGGAATTGAAAGAAGTGATGATGACATTGGATGGGAGGCTCCAACAGCCGGTTCAAAAACTCCAAAGATTCTAACCAGTCAAGATGATGAGGCTGTTTTAGCGGAGGTTGAAGTACTAGAGGCTATGTATAAGATAGGCGATGAACATGTGATTAGCAGTGGATGTGAGGGGAAAAGTAGAAGTAGTGGTAGTAGTGGAGACTTTGAAGATATATTAGAGGATAGTGAGGAAGAGATTGAATTAGGAGAAAGTGAAGTTGAAGTTTCTCCAACAGGATATGATACAGAGTTTTGGGGGCATTTTTTGGATGATGAGTTAGCTGGTTCAAATGCTCCTGAGATAATGTGTAGTCCTAGGGAATTTAGTCCTCAAGTAGAAAAAGGTTTTGAAGATGACTCAACAGCCATGCCAGTTGGAGGGCAGATGGAAATTCAGACAAGGAAACTTGAAGATGTTGATGACGAGGAGTTTGATATACCTCCACTGTTTGATGATTGTGAATATGAAAGGGATGAAATCCCTGATCTTGATATTGAAGATGATGAGAAAGGAATCTTTAAGGGAAGGGTATATGCAAGTAAACAAGATTGCCAAATAAGCTTGGCTATCCATG